TGTGCCCCTGTTGGCCGTATTTTAACTGTTCTCTAGGAGACAGTCTGGGCCATTCTGTGGAAAGGTGACGCAGTGTTAGCAGAGACATTAACCTGAGTCTGTTGGGTTTTGTTTGCTGCCACTGGGTCTGTCTTCCGGGTCTGTGTGGGGCTCCCTGTCACAGCCCTTCCCAGCCCTGCCCCCAGGAAAGAAGGAACGGGTGGCTTCTGGTCTTTTTTTTTTTTTTTAAAAGATTTATTTATTTTTATTTTATGCATGCACTGGGTACAGTCAGAAGCATGGGAGGGTGAGAGAATTCACCAGAGCCAGAGTGGAGAGTAGAACAGGCAGATTGACGAAGTACACTGCTGAGGGGAGCAGCGGGCGGCAGGAGAGGTCTGCGCGCCATGTGGGACCCTCCTCCGGTGGCCGGGGAGCAGCCGGGGATCGAACCGGCGCTGCAGAGGCTGTGGGCTGCTTCGCAACCCAGCGCTCAACTGCTGTGCCACCGGGGAGGCCCCGGCTTCTGGTCTTAAGCTTCTTGATGGATACACTGGAATGTGGCTCAGGTGTGCAGAAGGTACAGGCATTCCTTGCCTTGTAGTTCTCTATTTTGAAACTATTTCAAACCAAACGGAGAAAGCTGTGTATTTCCTTTTATTTCTCATATCTTTTTTTTTTTTTAAAGATTTATTTATTTATTTATACAAGCACTGGGTACAGTCAGAAGCGCGGGAGGGTGAGAGACTTCACCAGAGCCAGAGCAGGGAGCAGAGCAGGCAGAAGGACCGAAGTACACTGCTGAGGGGAGCAGCGGGCGGCAGGAGAGGTCTGCGCGCCATGTGGGACCCTCACCGGCGGCCAGGGATCGAGGCGGCGCTATAGAGGCTGCGGGCAGCTTTGCAGCCAAGCGTTCAGCCACTGCGCCACCAGGGGAGGCCCCTATTTCTCATGTCTTTTTAACACTAGGTATCAGTGCATTTTTCCTGAATTATTTGTGAAAGGAAATGATGTATTTACATTTTGATCCTTTATCTCTAAGTTCTTGAATATTCATCTCCTGAAATGACTCCTGATCCCATCACGATATTCTTAGTCTCTAATAATAGTGAAACTGAGACCGTTATGCCGTCTGTTACATATCTATGTTCAGATTTCCCATTTGTCAAAAAACGTGTTTTAAAGCTGTCAATATCAAGGTCCATGCATTTCATCTGACTTTCATGTCGTCTTTAGTTTCTCAAATTAGAAATTTCTTTACCTTCTGGGTTTTTTGTGAATAGCAGCCTTTTGAAGAGTTCAGGCTCTTAACTTGTGTGGATTGGACCCTCCAGATGGTGTTTAGCTTGTCCTCTGCCCTCCCCCTGCTGTGTCCACTCTTAATTCCAGCCACCAGAATTAGCAGAAGCACTGGGGGGCAAAAGGGCCTCCCTAGTGGTGCCAGGGGTTAAGTCTCAGCACTATGAAGCTGTCCACAGCCACTGCAGCATGAGTTCGATTCCTGGCCAGGGAGAAACCCACATGGCGTAGCAGATCTCTCCTGTCTCGCCCGCTGCTCCCCTCAGCAGTGTATTTCAGTAGATCCCCGCCTTTTCTGCTCCCCACTCTGTCTCTGATGAATCCTCTCACCCACCATAACTCTGGCCTACACCCCAGCTCTTGTATCCATAAATAAATGTTTGGGGGCAGGGAAGAATCTAACTCCACCTGGGGCCATTTCAGAATCATCTCTTATTTTTTTTAAGGATCTATTTATGCGTGTAAGAATGGGGGTGTGTGTGTGGGGTGGGGGACAGTGAGGATTCACCAGGGACAGATTAGAAAGCAGAACAGGCATATCTACTGAGGGGAGCAGCGGGTGAGCCAGGAGAGGTCTGCTGTGGCATGTGGGTAGCTCCCTGGCCAGGGATCGAACTTGTGCTGCAGTGGCTGTGGATAGCTTCATAGTGCTGAGACTTAATCCCTTGCACCACCAGGGAGGCCCAGAGTTAGATTCTTTGCACCTGATGACCATTGTGCCCTACGGTACCTCATCTGGGATGAGCCTAATCCCTCTTGTCTCCTTCCTAGGACTGCGAGGAATGTATCCAGCTAGAGCCGACCTTCAGTAAGTGCCTTTCCACTGCTTCCCACATCCTTTGAGTCTGGCCAAAAGATTGAGGGAGAGGGCAGGTGTTTTGGTCTGCCCGTATGTCTGTGGGGGCCTGACACTGAGGACCCAGCACCGGCGGGCACTGAAGGGTGTTGAGATGACAAGGTGGAAGCAGCAGCCTTTGGAGCTGCACTTGGGGTAACGCCCGCCTCTGATTCTGCCCCCAGTCAAGGGCTACACAAGGAAAGCAGCTGCCCTGGAGGCCATGAAGGACTACACGAAATCCATGGATGTCTACCAGAAGGCGCTCGACCTGGACTCCAACTGTAAGGTGGGCTGGCTTCGGCCTTCAGTGAGCTTTTCCTGCCTCCATGTCTCCCCTGGGTCTTTGTGTCCTTCCTCGCACCTGTTGCTCACCCTTCCCAGTGATCTTGTTATCTTGGACTTGCTGGGCCAGGGAGTTGCTCACTGTCCTGGGGGTTTTGCTGCAATGCAGGAGGCGGCCGAGGGCTACCAGCGCTGCATGATGGCCCAGTACAACCGGCACGATAGCCCTGAGGACGTGAAGCGACGTGCCATGGCTGACCCCGAGGTGCAGCAGATAATGAGTGACCCGGCCATGCGGCTCATTCTGGAACAGATGCAGAAGGACCCCCAGGCACTCAGCGAGTGAGTAGAGTAGGGGAGCGGGGGCTTGGAGGAAAGGGGAGAGTGGCATTTGGTGGGGAGCTGCAAGAGCCTTGTGGGTGTGTTAGTTGCGGCTGTGTTGGCGGGTCATTCAGAACGAGCAGCTTTGCTGGGAGAACGGTCTCCACTGAAGGCCGTGCCTGTGGGCTGTGCGCAGTGGGGCTGGCAGTGCGCAGGCTGCGTAGCAGAGAAGACCCAGACAGTTCTCAACCGCCGTGTGCCGGTGCCTTCCAGGGGGCTCCCGTTAGGTGTTGCTCTGAGAGCGCGGAAGACTTTTTTAAGGTGTTAAGTGTCATTTCAAATAACTTTGCCTTTTCTTTATTAGACACTTAAAGAACCCCGTAATAGCACAGAAGATCCAGAAGCTGATGGATGTGGGTCTGATCGCTATTCGGTGATGACTTGCTCATTGCCCCCTTCCCTTCACCCTCGTGTGGAAAGAGGAGCTGGGACCGCGGCGAGCAGCACAGAGCAGAAGGGAGAGAGGGGAAAAGCCAACACTTATCTCTATATTTATACAGACCTATGTGGAAGAATCAGAGACTTGTACTCACGTTATTCGTACAGCCGCTGCCTCTGGGCCTCCCAGCACACGCATGGTCTCTTCCGCCGCCCTTGAGTTCTGTGTCCCCTTCCTTCTCAGTCGCTGTCTCAGCTGCTCTCCCATAGTCGGTTATTTTTTATTTGGGCAGTGGGCATGTATGGGGAGGGGAGGGTGTCTTCCCAACCTTAGGTCCCACCTGTCTTCACCTTGTTAACTCCGCGTCTCCAATAAAACAAGCCAGTCGGGCGTGGTTCTACGTTGCTATGTCCTTGTGATTGTTTTTTTCCCCCAAAAGACTAACGCGACGGGGTTGGAAGAGGTGTGGCTGCATTAACTAGGCTGGCAACCAGGGCCTGTCACCTTCTGGGTGTGTTTGCCCTTCTGATGGGATGTCCTGTGGCCAGGGCTTAGCTCCTTGCTGCTGCCAAGCAGTCACTAGGTGGCGCCATCACCCAGTGGAGAGCTGGGAAGGATGGGGGCTTCCCCCTACCTAGCAGCACCCACTTGTGCTCAGGTGATTCCCCTGCCTTCCGGGCTCCACACTTACCAAAACCACACCTGCTGCATGCAGAGAACACGGTCCCCGCCACAAACCAAGCATGGTGCCCACTGGAGTGGTGCCCCGGAGCTCCTGGAGGGGAGATGTCAGCTGCTGTTTCCATTTTCAAAGAATTTGCTGCTCTTGAAGCTTAAAGCTGTAGCTGTGCTTACCCTTTCCCATGGTTGCAACAAGCTTCAAAACCCTTTCCTTGAACTGGGGATCACACTTCCTCATTTTGGGCAACAGTGTGGCTCTCGACTAGGAAGCCACTGCACTTCCTGCTGCCCCCACTTTGCAGAAGCTTGCTTTCCCCTGGGAATCCCCAGCAGGCCCTCTTCCCCCAACCCAGCCCCCAGGGCAAGCTGCACACCTTTGGCGCTGCTGTCCCAGGCTCCATTTCCTCCAGCCCCAAATTCCCTCTGGAGAGGCCAAGTTCCTGCTGGGAGCTGGCAGAGCACAAGCGACCTCACTGTTGCAGCTCACATCCCAGTGCAGGTGGCAGGCAGGGACCCTCCAAGGTGACACTGGAATAGTAAGTGTGAGCCTTGGTGCTGGGGAGGTGCTTTGCAGGTGGAGGGGGAGGCTTGAGGTTTGAGGCTTTGAGACCTGGAGGTGCAGGACAGAGATGTCTGGATAATCAGGGGCCAGTTTCTGTTCAATATTTCCCTGGGCAGCTCTTAGGATTGACAAGCTTGGAAATAGAGGTACTTACTAGGGCCAGAAGAGACTGCAGCCTTCAAGGGGCCACTTGGTGGTGATGGGATAGCCCAGACTCCCGGTGCCTCGACCTGCCGGCTTCCTGGGCCTCCTGGACCCGAACCTCCTGCTCATAGCTCTGCCTGAGATTCTTCACGGCCCAAAGGCCCGTCCATAGCACACATGGGGATGGGATATGGCTTCCCGCAGAGGTCCCAGTCCTGAGCCAATTTCTCTAGCTGAGCCCAGCTTCCCTCCAAATAAAGGGATGCTTCGGGTGGCATAGGGTCCCCAAGCCATGGCCTCCTCCCTGGCTTCCTGCGTGCACTGAGAGGAAGGCCCCACTGGAACCCACAAGCACTCTGGCAGTTTGCGCCCTGCCCACAGCCAACCCACCCTGGGGTGGGGCTAAGCCCGCGTGATAAAGCGCAAGGGCTGCCCTCTGAGGGAAGCACCAAAGAGAGCGGGGAGGAGAGGCTCGTGCCTGGCCGTGCAGGTGTCTAAGGAGCAGCCAGGAGGGGCTGACACCCCAGCTCCCCACCTGCAACCCCAGCAAGCAAGGTAGGCTGGGCCGGAGGCTGACAGCCCACGGGTGCCCTTCGCCTCCCACAGCCCCGCTGCCCAGCGTCTCTCCCTGCCGCAGCGCGGACACCCCACTGCCGGGAGTGGCTTCAGCTGGTGCGGATGTGCCTTGGGCTGGGATTGGGGCTACTTTCTGGGCCAGGTTCACATCCATTTCCAGGGTGGGCGGCTGCCAGTGTGGACTTGGGGGTGAGCTCTGGGCCAGGAAAGCAGACTGAGTTTGTGCCAGCCCTGGCAAGGAGTAGGGTGATCTATAGGGAGCCCCTCTGACTCTACTGGGTCTTAGGCTCCCCCAGTGTGAGATGGGAATGGGCTGGACAACAAGGGCTCTGAGGGGCTTTCAGCTCAACCATTTGCAATGGTGAGAGCATTTGAGGTTTGCCTGAAACAACTTGGCATCCTGTGTCTTGCTGCTGCGCAAGCCGGCCTGCGGGCTTGGGCCTGGCCACCAGGCTCTCCTAGGCTCTGTGGGGCACTTCGCCTTAACCCCGGCAGCCTACCAGATCAGTCCCTGACCGCCTGCATCTCTCCACCCTCCCTGCAGGCCGCTGCAGCCATGGCGGGCATGAAGACCGCCTCCGGGGACTACATCGACTCGTCCTGGGAGCTGAGGGTATTTGTGGGAGAGGAGGACCCTGAGGCCCAGTCGGTCACGCTCCGGGTCACCGGGGAGTCACACATCGGTGGGGTGCTCTTGAAGATCGTGGAGGAGATCAGTGAGTGCCCACAGGCCCAACTGCTGACCTCAGCTTCACGGGGTGGTTACAGCACACCACGGCCCTGGGCACTTCCGGGCCATCCCTGCTGTGCTGCTCGAGATAATGGTGTGGGTGACTCAGGCACCAGCTTAATCATTTGGTTCCAAAAAAGACTTCCCCTCCCTCGCCACCTTCCCTTCCTTCCTCACTCCAGCTGGTCCTACTAGGTCCCCGGGAGCTCATGCACCCTCTTGGGGGGCAGGAGAGGCTTGCGTGGGCCACACAGAGGTCGCACTCTGGGGATCTGAGGGGAGACCAGAGGGGGCTCCTGAGGGGCTGCACCCTCGTTCCCTCCCCCAGGCGGAAGCCCTGGGCAGGCTGGTGACAGGCCCACAGGCTTGCTCAGGATGGGAGGGCCCTGCCCCCACAGGAAGTTACAGCAAGAACAGACTGTGGTATCAGCCGTGGAGAAGCAGGGCCAGAAAGCACGGGGGCTCTCGTGGCCCTGCCCTGGGGAGTGGGGGCGGCCGCTTCCTGGGAGAGCAGCAGGCATACCCTGATACCCGGGGCCGGAAGGCAGGCCCGAGATAGTCCCTGTCAGGGGCTTGGGTCATGGGCCTCCTGGGTGGAGGGGTGGGTGGGCTTTCTGAGACCAATCAACCCCCCGCGTGTAGCCCAGGAGAGAGGCCAGTTGGCTGCAGACAGCACAGGCCCAGGACAGCCCAGCCACAAAGCCGAAGTGAGGGGAGCTTCCAGGAGGCTGGGCCCAAGGAGAACATGAAAGCAGAAGTGGGTTCCTGAGGAGATTGGGCGTCAGGCTGAGGCTCACCAGGCAGGCCTGGGCCCAGCCAGGGCAGGGGTGAAGATGCAGTACCCCCAGGGGAGACCCGGTTCACCCCAGAGCAACACAGGAGGCCTAAGCAAGGAGTCAAGCAGACCCTGCACCCAGCCCAGGTCAAGATGCCCCAGGAGATGCCACACAGTAGGAGTCCTGAGAGGATTAACATGCGCCCTGAGGGGGGCAGGGAGAAGCTAGGCCAGATGTAGCGGTGGAGGGGGAGGTTCTGAACTGGGGCCTCCAATTGCCTGAAAACACCTAGAGCTGGATTAGAAAGGAGGCTGGGCTGTGATCACAGGCCTTGGGATGCCCTGGGCTGCACTGCAGCTTGTAGATGGCTTTCAGGAGACAGTCTGGCCTGGCTTTGCATTTCTGCAGCTCCCTGAGGCTGGGGTCCAGGGCTCCCTACCAGAGGCAGGGGTGCCTGAGGGGACAGTGTCACTTGTGCCAGTGACGATGGCAGAGGCTGGTCTTGGAGGTGGGTTGACATAGATTTAAGTGGTGGCTAAAGGTGAAAGGGATGCCAGTTGCTCGAAGCTGGCAGGGGACCCGGGAGCCAGGACGCCCAGCACCAGATGAGGGGGAGAAACCGGCGGGAAGGGAGGGACACGCTGCCCACCTTATGGCACCTTGGGGGGCCAGGACAAGGAGTCCCAGCATTTGCAGCTCACGCCTGCTGAACAAGGGTTTCTGGAAGGAATGAAGCTGGTGCTCATGTCCCCTTGGCTGGTGGCTCGTGGGTTTCTGGCCTGGCACTTGGGGCAGGGTGGGTGTGTTTGGGGCTCACTGCAGGAAGCTGAAGCTGTAGACTAGGCGAGACCCCAGGAAGGAGATGAGGGTCCCCGAGCGAACCCGGAAAGGATGGGGCAGGCTAGGAGAGGGGCCAAGGCAGACAAAAAGCAGGCCAGGCGCTGGACTCTCGGCCTCAGAAAAGAGATGACAAGGAGAATGTCACCACCTCCTGCGCGGAGGCTCCCCGGCACCCCCACCTTTGGAAGTCGACCTGCAGCCGGCAGGGTTGACCAGCTGAGGAAGAGCAAGTGTGCCCGCGGCCTGTGCTGAGAAGACCAAGTCCCAGCAGGCTCCAGCCAGGGGAGCTGAAGAGGCCACGTCCAGACTCGCAGCATCAGGACTGCAACACTTTCTTGCCATGAATGTTCTGGTTGTAAACTAAAGAGCCAAGAGCCAAGAGGAGAAGCCTAGAACACAGTTGGGGTGCAGGGGGTGGGAGACCCCCAGGAGATCAGGCGTCCCCCTGGCCTCTCCACCTGAGCATCAGGGTGATGGAGGGAGGGTGGAGGAAGCAGGGTTGGCGACACAGCCCACAGGAGAGGCTCACTCAGCGCCCATCAGTAGCCTCGGAGGGAGGAAGACGGAGGAGCCAGGGTGCCCCCCGTCTGGCCGCACAACACGTCCCAGCCGGCCGCTGCTCACCACACAGTGGGCAGCGCTGGGGACCTGGGGCAGGTGGCCACTGTTCACCCCCTAAGAACAAGGGGACTGAGGCTCCGAAAGGTTAAGGCCCAGGTCACGCAGCTAGTGACCTCCTTAGCACCCAGGCCTGCCAGAGAGAGGCCAGTTAGTGGGGAGCAGGGGGACACACTATGGAGTGTGTGAGGTGGGAGCGCAAAGATTAGGGGCTCCCCTGAGGGGCCATGTGGTGGCTGAGCCCAGGGTGAGCTGGGCCAAGACCCTGGACCTAGACCCTGGGTTGGGTGAGGGGAGGCGGCAGCCCCCACAGGCCTGGGGATCCGGGGTGTGCTTGGCGGTGGGGGCAGAGGGAAGGGAGGAGGGCTCGGCACTCTAAGGCTGACGGCACCACGTCCCCTCCCTGCGGCCCCCAGATCGTAAGCAGGACTGGTCAGACCACGCCATTTGGTGGGAACAGAAGAGACAATGGCTACTGCAGACGCACTGGACCCTGGACAAGTACGGCATCCTGGCCGACGCCCGCCTCTTCTTTGGGCCCCAGCACCGGCCTGTGGTCCTGCGGCTGCCCAATCACCGAGCTCTGCGCCTCCGCGCCAGCTTCTCCCAGCCCCTCTTCCGGGCTGTGGCTGCCATTTGCCGCCTCCTCAGTGAGTCCCGGCCGCGCCCCCCAAGGGTCCCTCCGGGGTCCCCTCCCGTTACAGCCCAACTATGGTCACCTTGTCCTCTGTCCTGCTCCCCACCCGCCTGTAGCACCAGCCCCCAGGTGCCCGTCGGTGGAGCAGGAGGTCTCAGCAGCACCCCCCACCCCCGCCCCACCAGCCATGCTGAGGCCTGGCTCCCTGCAGGTATCCGGCACCCCGAGGAGCTGTCTTTGCTCCGGGCTCCTGAGAAGAAGGAGAAAAAGAAGAAGGAGAAGGAGCCGCAGGAGGAGGTGTACGACTTGACCAAGGTCGTCCTGGCTGGGGGTGAGCAGAGGCTGATGGGCTCTGGGTGAGCCTCTCCTGTGGGCGGTGTCCCCAACCCTGCTTCCTCCACCCTCCCTCCATCACCCCGCTGCTCAGGCAGAGAGGCCAGGGGGATGTCTGATCTCCTGGGGGTCTCCCACCCCCTGCACCCCAACTGTTTTGAGCACAGGGGCCAGGCCCATGAGGCCTGGGGCTGGGGGCCAGGCAGGCCTGACCCCGGTCTGCCCTCTAGGTGTGGCCCCTGTGCTGTACCGGGGGATGCCGGCCCACTTCTCAGACAGCGCCCAAACCGAGGCCTGTTACCACATGCTGAGCCGCCCACAGCCCCCGCCCGACCCCCTCCTGCTCCAGCGCCTGCCCCGGCCCAGCTGCCTGTCGGACAAGACCCAGCTCCACAGCAGGTGAGCTGCCTGCCAGGCCCACGTCCCCTTGAGCCCGGGCTCCCCCGGTTCGGGGCCTACACTCCTGTGTTCTGCTTACCCCAAATCCACACCTCCCGTCCCCAGGCCTTTCCTATGTGTGTGGCCCCCGTGCCCCCTGCCGGCCCCCACCCAGCCACCGCGCCTGGCTCAGCCCTGTCCCCGCCTGTGCTGACAGGTGGCTGGACTCCTCCCGCTGCCTCATGCAGCAGGACGTCAAGGCGGGGGACACGCTCTGGCTGCGCTTCAAGTACTACAGCTTCTTCGACCTGGACCCCAAGGTGGGCCACCGGCGAGAAGGGGGTCTGAGCCACGGGGGACCTAGGGTGCACAGGTCTGGGGATGTCAGGGCCCGGTAGGGGTCTGTCCATCTGTTCGTTTGTCCATCCACACCTGTTTGCCAGCCCTGCCCACGTGGTGCCCGGCTCTCCCCGCAGCCCCAGGCAGCCTCTGATCTGCCTGGCTCTGCCTGTTCTGGGCCTCAGAGGAAGAGCCACTCCTAGCGGCTTCCTTGCTGCATGCGTCTGTGCCTCGTTCCTTGCCGGGGAATGTCCCACCGTGAGGATGCGCCACATTTGATTGCTCCATCGTCAGCCACCCGGCGCGTGGTCAGCCCCCTCGTAGGCTGCTATGAGTGGTGCTGCTATAGCCACAGCTTTTGAGTGGACAGAGACTTTTCCTTTGTCTTGGGCGGATCCCAGAATAGTCTAGTTGCATTGCTGGCACTGTTATTTTTACTTGAACCAATTATTTTCTATGAAACTTTTTGTTTTGAGATGGCTACAGACTCACAGACAGTTTGTGACAAATACTCTATAGAGGTCGTAGACTCCGTGCCTCTGCTGGGATTTCCCCAACAGTAACTTCTCAGCCAGGATTTTCTCTCTGTACTGAATTCACCCTCTTAACTCCCCGATTTGTAGACTCGGGTTGTGGCTAGGATCTTTTTCTGTCTGCCTGAAGAACTTCCTTTCACATTTTTGATGAGTTGATCTACTGGGGATGAATTTCTTCAACTTTGGTGTGACTGCAGAGCTCATCATTTTACCGTTGATTTTGAAAGGAATTTTTACTGGGTGTAGAGTTCTTGGCTGGCGGTTTTTTCTTGCAGTCCCTTAAAGATGTTGCTTCATGGCCTTGGCCTCTACTGCCCTGCTGTGGCAGCCGTATCTGTTCTCTGCCTTGCCCAGCTGGACATCTTGTGCCTCGTTTTCTGACTGCTTTCTTGTTATTGCTGGTTCTGAACAATTTGATCATCATGGACCTTGGTTTGCTTCAGGTTTCTCATGCCTGGTGTTCACTGAGCTTCTGGAATCTAAGTTTACAGTTTGCAAATTTGGACAATTTTGGCCTTTTTTTAAAATATTCACAAAGTATGTTTTCTTTAAAAATTTATTTATGCATACAAAAACGGGTATAAGCCAGATGTACAAGGGTGAGAGGATTCACCAGAGACAGAGTGGGGAGCAGAACAGACAGACTGACTGAAATACACTGCTGAGGGGAGCAACGAGTGAGACAGGAGAGGTCTGCTGCACCGTGTGGGTCAGCTCCCTGACTGGGGATCGAACTCATGTTACACTGGCTGCAGATCGCTTCATAGTCTGAGAGTTATCCCCTTGCATCACCAGGGAGGCCCCTTTTACAGATTTTTTTGTGCTCCCCCACTTTCATAGGGTTCTGATGACGTAACTATTAGAAACTTAAAATCAACCCATAGTTCACTGAGGTCCTGGATTGATTTGTTTTTGGTTTTGTTTTCAGTCTTATTTTTCATGACCTTCATTCTGGGTAGCTCTATTGTTATAGCTTCAAGTTTCTAATCTTTTCTTCTGCCATGTCTCATCAGCTGTTAATCCCGCATCTTAAAGTTCAATTTTGACCTTTTAAATATTTTCCATATTTCTCCTTAACATACTCATGCTTTCCTCTACCTTTTCAGTTTTTGTCAACTACCTTGAGTGTTTCTTCTACTGTGTCATTTCTGGATCTAATTCTACTGATTCTTTATCACCTCCTCATATATTGTATTTTTCTTTTTTAAAAAAATGTTTATTTATTTATGCATCCAAGAGCTCGGGTACAGGCCAGAGATGCACGGGCTGAGAGGATTCACCAGAGACAGAGTGGGGAACAGAAGAGGCAGACTGACTGAAAAACACTGCTGAGGGGAGCAGTGGGTGAGACAGGAGAGGTCTGCCTCGCCATGTAGGTTGCTCCCTGGCCAGCCGGGGATCGAATTCGTGCTGCAGAGGCTGCGGATTGCTTCATAGTACGGTGCTTAATCCCTTGTGCCACCAGGCAGGCCCCATATATTGTATTTTTCTATTTGTTTTCACGACTGGTCATTTTTTTGTTGATGCCAGACCTACAAATTTTATTATTTGTTATTGCTTTGCAGTCATTTAAATATTTTTAAACTGGGCCTCCCCTGATGGCGCAGCAGTTGAGTGCTGGGCTGGGAAGCTGCCCGCAGCCTCTGCAGTGCCGGTTCGATCCCTGGCCGCAGGCGAGGGTCCCACATGGCGTGACAGACCTCTCCTGCCGTGCCCGCTGCTCTCCTCAGCAGTGTATTTCGTTGGTCTGCCTGTTCTGTTCCCCGCTCTGGCTCTGGTGAATTCTCTCACCCTCCCGCACTTCTGACTGTACCCACTGCTTGTATAAATAAACAAATAAATCTTTAAAAATATATTTATATTTTTAAACCATATTTGGGGTGAAGTTAAGATCCTTGGATACAGTTTGACCTTGCATGGCATGCTCTGAACCTTAATGAACCAATGAGGACAAGCCTGTCCTCTAATCTAGGGCTAGTTTACCCCATTCCTGTGGCAATGGCCTTCTGATTACTGTGGCAGAGGCACCACATGGAGATTTCTCTAATCTGGCTGTGGGGATGGTGAGCTGTTCCCAGTCATAGGTGAACTCTGGTAAGTTTACACCTACTCATGAGGAGCCCTCTGCTGGTCTCCAGTCTCTCTCTCTTCATGTAGCTCCCTCCACTCCAGGTCTCTGTCCTGTGAATTCTCACTGACTTGGACTCTCCCAGTTCTCAACTCTCCCAATTCTCCTCAACTTTGGGAATATGCTGGACTCTTTTTGGGGGTCCTCTTTTAGTCAGCAGCCAGGAAATGCTCCACGCAGTAAGTTGGGGCAATTTTAAGGGTCCCCTTTTTTCCCTTCTCTCAGGGATGGCTATCCTATATAGTCTGTTGCCTAATATCTACAAAATATCTGATCTTTGGCATCCTCTTTATTTTTTAAATGATATTTCTAGTGCAATAAAGATGGCTTAAAGAGTAGATAGTCCAAGGAGATTTGTAATCATAAACACAGCAAAGCAGTACCCTGCCCACCTCTTCTCCCAGACTGGACCTGGGAGCCTAGATCCCTAGAGATTGGGGTCTGGCGCCTTTTATTCTGGTGTTTACTTCTCTGTGATATGCTTATATGTTGCTATTCCTTGATTCTTCCATTTCACACATTATCTATGGTCTTTGTTTGAATGATGAAGATTTAACTGCCTTACCCTCCCTCCCCCACCACACATTTCTTGGTGTCTTTCCAACCAAGTTATGGTTTTTGGTTAAAACAACATGATCATGGCTGTAAATAGTAACACACATAAATAGTGTGCTTAGCTAGCCCACAGAGTAAAGATACTTCCTTTCTCGGTCAGATTTTTCCTTGAGTCCACAATTGTCACATTTTTATTTACTTATTTTTCTACTAATTATCTGTCTTTGCACACATTAAAAGAGAGACCCCAAAGACTATCTAGACACTGTCTGTGGTTGTCCGGGGGGGCATCTTTCCCAGTGATCACGTCCCTCCAAAACTGCAAACAAACCACAACACTCTCAAAAGGGAAAATCATGCAGGGCATCCGTCAGTGTTATTTCCATTGTAAGACCATGGAACAGCAGCACTGCAGACGCACCGCATGACTGCCGTCCTTGGCTTTCTCGGCACCGCTTCCTGGCAATTTCAGTTTTGCCTCCTTTGTTCTTTTTTCTAAATGATTCCCTCATTTCAATGTGGCATATAATCCAGTAGCTTCCCCTATGAGGACATGTGAGATAGAAACAGTTGAAATCCTGATTGTCTGAAAGGACATTGTTCTACCCTTGCTGTGTGACAGCTTGGCTAGGTATAGAATTCCACTCTGGAGATAGTTTCCTGCCAAATTTCTAAGCCACCTTTCCATTGTCTTTCAGTTTCTGGTGTTGCTATTGAGGAGTCTGATGCTATTTGTATTTTCTTTTCTTTTTTTTTTTTATTAAGGCATGTTTTTATTTATTTATTTATTTGTTTGTTTGTTTTATACAAGCACTGGGTACAGTCAGAAGCGCGGGAGGGTGAGAGAATTCACCAGAGCCAGAGCAGGGAGCAGAGCAGGCAGAGGGACCGAAGGACACTGCTGAGGGGAGCAGCGGGCGGCAGGAGAGGTCTGCGCGCCATGTGGGACCCTCCTCCTGTGGCCGGGAGCAGCCGGGGATCGAACCGGCGCCACGGAGGCCGCGGGCAGCTTCACAACCCAGCGCTCAACTGCTGCGCCACTGGGGAGGCCCGCTATTTGTATTTTCAATGCTTCCCCAGGTGACCCTTCTATTTTTCTTTGAGGAGGGGGCACCCCAAACATTCAGAATATTCTCCTTATCTCTTAGTATTCTAATATCTATCAGTATGCCCTAGTATGGTTCTTTCTTCACTGATTGTATATTGCACTTTCAAATCAGAAACCTGGGTCTTTTAGTTCTGGGAAACTAATTAATTCTTCAGAGGAAAAAAGATATGTGTCTTGTTTCTAATTTTGCCCTTTTTTTCTGTAGAGTTCCTTATCTTTCAAATGATCTATAGAATTTTAAATTTCTGCCATGTATCTTTTTTTTTTTTTTTAAAGATTTATTTATTTATTTATATAACCACTGGGTACAATCAGAAGAGCGGGAGGGTGAGAGAATTCACCAGAGCCAGAGCAGGGAGCAGAACAGGCAGAAGGACCGAAGTACACTGCTGAGGGGAGCAGTGGGTGCAGCTGGAGAGGTCTGCGTGCCATGTGGGACCCTTGCCTACTGCCGGGGATCGAACTGGTGCTGCAGAGGCTGCCGGCAGCTTCGCAGCCCAGCACTCAACCGCTGTGCCACCAGGGGAGGCCTTCTGCCATGTATCTTTAAGTTATAAGAGATATTTAGTATAACACACATTTAGAAAAATGCACAAATGTAACCAAGACATAGAGCAACAGAATTTTACCAGCCCCAGAAGTCCCCCTTCCAGATACCCCAGGTACCCCAGGTGGCAACCGTTAATGTTACCTCTAATGCCACAGATTCATTTTGCCTGTGTCTGAAGTTTATATAAATGAGATCCCAGTCTTTACTCTTTCGTGTCTGTCTTCTTCCACTCAGCGTGATGTTTGTATGATATGTCCACCTTGCATATAGATGTATTTTATTCTTTGTTATTGGTGTGTGCCATTCAATTGTGTCAATATATCACAAAAATAATTTTCTGTTGTACTGTTGATGGGCAACATGCAATTCCCAGATTGGGTACACACTTCTGCACTCAGAGGTGGAATTGCTGGGTGGCAGGGTCAGCATTGGTTGAACTGTAGTAGATTACTATTAAAGAGCTTCCCGACATGCTTAACCAATTTACACCCTCATCAGCAGTGTGAGAGAGTTTCAGTTGTTCCTAAATTTCACCTGCACTTGGCATTTCCTATCTTTTGCATTGTAGCCATTTTGGTAGATATATAATTGTCTCTCATACTTTTTTTGTTTATTTGGTTTTTTAAACTGCTTTATTGAGGTCTAACTTCCATGCCATAAAAATCACCAATTGTAATTTATTTTCAGTAAATTTATACAGTTGTGCAACCATTACCACAATCCAGTTTTAGAACATTTCCATCACCCCAGAAAGTTCTCTATAGCCCATTTGCAGTCATTCTTCCTCCCACATCCAACCCCAGACAACCCGAGATATACTTTTTGATGTGACTCTAATTTGCATTTCCCTTATGGTTAATAAAGTGGAACCCTTATCATATGGCTATTGATATGTAAAGTTTCTGTTCACGTTTTTTGCTGATTTTTATATTGAGTTGTTCATCTTTTGCATTTTTTTTTTTTAAGTAGAGGCATGTTTTATTTATTTATTTGTTTGTTTATACATGCACTGGGTACAGTCAGAAGTGCGGGAGGGTGAGAGAATTCACCAGAGCCAGAGCGGGGAGCAGAGCAGGCAGAAGGACCGAAGTACACTGCTGAGGGGAGCAGCGGGCGGCAGGAGAGGTCTGCGCGCCATGCGGGACCCTCCTCCGGTGGCCGGGGAACAGCCGGGGATCGAACCGGCGCCACAGAGGCCGCGGGCAGCTTCGCAACCCAGCGCTCAACCGCTGCGCCACCGGGGAGGCCCCATCTTTTGCATATTGATTTATAGGAGTTCTTTATATATTCTGTGTCTGAGTCCTTTGTCAGATGAATATATTGTGAATATGTTTTCTTACTCTGTCCTTTGCCTTTTCATTCTCCTGATGATTTATTTTTGATTAACAGAAGCTCCTAAATTAATATAATCCCATTGATAGATATATATATTTAAAGATTTATTTATTTATGTATGCAAGAGCTGGGTGACAGGCCAGAGGTGTGGGGAGTGAGAGGATTCACCAGAGACAGAGTGGGGAGCAGAACAGGCAGACGGACCAAAGGCACTGCTGAGGGGAGCAGGGCGAGACAGGAGAGGTCTGCTCACCATGTGGTGACTCTCCCTGCCTGGCTGGGATCGAACCAGCACCGCGGAGGCTGTGGACAGCTTCACAGCGTGGCGCTCAACCCGCTGGGCCACCGGGAGGCCCAGGTCTTTGTTCTTGCTGTTTGCTTTCTGCCTCTTTTCAAAATGTTTTGGTGCCTTTACCAGAGAACAAGAGAGGGAAAAGGCGCGAGATCCGCCTCGTCATGGTTTTGCTTCCATCTTCCAGAACTTCTCACCTGCTGCAGTCCCCTCTGTCCTTTGTGGGTTTGCTGGGTTTTGTGCCTTTGTTGTCAGTTTTGGTGGGTTTCAGAGGGAGCGTAGGCTTCGTATCTGGGGTGCCTGGGATACTCTTTGTGCACCCCTTCTCTCAGGGATGCTCCTCCTGCCCTCTAGTATCTGTTATCCTCAGGTCTCGGTGCAGCCTGCCACCTCCTCCTGATGTAGGGCAAATCCTTGCTCCCCAGTTCCATTCTCTCTCCTCGCCAGCAAGCTTGTGGCGTCCTTGCCAAGGGGCAGGAGTGAGCTGCCGCACAGAAGTCATTTCCATTAGAGCTTTAAGACCCCTGGAATCACTTATTGATCGGTTTGCAGAGTCCCCCCCCCAACCCCCTCTCTGCCCCAGTGCCCTCTGCAGCGCGCATGACCAACGGCTGTTCAGCCAACAAAGGTTGATGGGGAAAAGGTGCCTCTTGCCTGTGTGGGCTGTATGGCGTGGCCGGCTGTAAGGTGGGGTTGGATCTGCCGCCCTTGTGGGATCACTAAGGAGCACCCACAGTGCCGGGCAGGGCTGCGGGATCCCGGGCGCATGGCACCTGACCCCGCAGGCCTCCTCCTCCCACACTCCAGACAGACCCAGTGCGGCTGACCCAGCTGTACGAGCAGGCTCGGTGGGACCTGCTGCTGGAGGAGATCGACTGCACGGAGGAAGAGATGATGGTGTTCGCTGCCCTGCAGGTGCCTGGGCCCTGGGCGGCTGGGTGTGGGCCAGGCTGGGGGCAGGGAGGGCCTCACTGCCCAGTTCAGGGCACTGTTGGGCGAGGGAGCCACCTGCTCAGCCCTCCCTGGCCCCGTGTCCCACCTAGTACCACGTCAACAAGCTGTCCCAGAGTGGAGAGGTGGGCGAGCCGGCCAGCACCGATCCGGGGCTGGACGACCTGGACGCAGCCCTGAGCAACCTGGAGGTGAAGCTGGAGGGGTCAGCACCCACAGATGTGCTGGTGAGCAGGGACGCAGGTCAGGAGTCAGGGCAGGGCCGAGTGCGGGGCCCAGGCCTCCCCTGACTCCTCTCCTCCCCAGGACAGCCTCACCACCATCCCGGAACTCAGGGACAACCTCCGCATCTTCCGGTGAGTTTGCGCCCAGCGTGGGGGTGGGCGGGATTCAGGAGGTGGCCCTCACAAACCTCCCGACCCCCATCAGGCCCCGGAAGCTGACCCTGAAGGGGTACCGCCAGCACTGGGTGGTGTTCAAGGAGACCACCCTGTCCTACTACAAGAGCCAGGATGAGGCCCTGGGGGACCCCATTCAGCAGCTCAACCTCAAGGGTGAGTGAGGGCGGCCTGGCCAGGACAGGGATGGGGCTAGGCAGGTGAACACTCACCTCTTTCCTCCTGGGGACGAAGGAAGAGGCCCTGGGTCTGAGGCAGCTGTGCAAGGCGGCCCCTGCCCACGGTTCCCTGAGGCAAAGCTGCCACTCCCCGGCCTCCGAGCCCACCCTTTCTTCTTCCTCCAGGCTGTGAGGTAGTCCCCGATGTCAATGTCTCAGGCCAGAAGTTCTGCATCAAACTCCTGGTGCCCTCCCCTGAGGGCATGAGTGAGATCTACCTGCGGTGCCAGGATGTGAGTGGGGCTGGCCTGGGCCAGGACAGAACCTGGGGCCTGAACCGGGGCCTGGCTGGCCCCTCACACCCTCTCCCTGCCCCTCCCCAGGAGCAACAGTATGCCCGCTGGATGGCCGGCTGCCGACTGGCCTCCAAGGGCCGCACCATGGCGGACAGCAGCTACACCAGCGAGGTGCAGGCCATCCTGGCCTTCCTGAGCCTGCAGCGGGCAGGCGGTGGGGGCTCGGGCAACCACTCCCACCCCGACGCCTCCAGTGAGGGCCTCAACCCCTATGGTCTTGTTGCCCCCCGCTTCCAGCGAAAGTTTAAGGCCAAGCAGGTACTGGAGGGAGTGGGGACTGTTGTGTTTAGTTGCCCTTGGCCCCTGGGCCTCCACAGCCTTCTGGAAAGCCACAGGCTCACTTGGTCCCTCTCCCACCCACTACCCTGAGGCTGGGTGAGCTGGGGTGAGGACCCACCCACGGCGCAGCCTCCCGTGTCCGCTGCAGGCCCAGCCGGGCTCACGTTTGCTGAGTGCTGAGAGGGCGCACTCTGGTGGCCTCTCCCCTCCCCCAGCCCCAGCCCTGGATAGGGGTGCGAGGGGGCCTCAGAGACTCGGGCAACCCCTCAAGAGTGTGGTCTTGCAGCTTACCCCTCGGATCCTGGAAGCCCACCAGAACGTGGCCCAACTCTCGCTGTCCGAGGCCCAGCTGCGCTTCATCCAGGCCTGGCAGTCCCTGCCCGACTTCGGCATCTCCTATGTCACAGTCAGGTATGAGCTCGCCCCAGCAGGGCTCTGCCGTCACCTGCTGCTGGGTGGGCGGCACCTGAAATCCTCTTCCTGTTCGAGTATAGCCCTCACTGAGGGCACCCTGTGCTCCCCTTATCCTGCACCCCCACAACAAACACAAGAGACAGAGGTCAGGTAAGGGCAGGGGCACACTCTGTTTGCTGTGACAGCAAGTGCCTCCTTTTGAATCTTTCAAAACCCGCAAAGACATAAGCAAGACAACAATGACACCAAAAAAGTAATTTAAAGCCATGGACTATTTGCCTGTGCTGCTCAGTGTCAGGATAATGATGAGGTCACAACACCCGTTTTCCAGGCGAGGGGCCGGAGACCCAGAGAACCCAGAGGGCGTGTTCATACAGCCTGTGCCCGAGAGCTTGGTCGCGCCATCTGGGTGGGATCCAGACCACGCAGGGTGAAGTCCTCGCTCACACTCTCTCCCCCTGGGGACCAGGTTCAAGGGCAGCAGGAAGGACGAGATCCTGGGCATCGCCAATAACCGACTGATCCGCATAGATGTGGCCGTGGGTGACGTGGTCAAGACATGGCGCTTCAGCAACATGCGCCAGTGGAACGTCAACTGGGACATCCGGCAGGTGGGTGCAGAGTCGTGGCGGGGCTGGGCAGACCCCGCCGGGGCAGGGCAGGGCTTCTCCCTCCACCTACCCACAGCCCTCCCACTGCCCTCCCTGCAGGTGGCCATCGAGTTCGACGAGCACATCAACGTGGCCTTCAGCTGTGTGTCTGCCAGCTGCCGCATCGTGCACGAGTACATCGGGGGCTACATCTTCCTGTCCACACGAGAGAAGGCCCGTGGGGAGGAACTGGATGAGGACCTCTTCCTGCAGCTCACGGGTGGCCATGAGGCCTTCTGAGGCCCCTCTCACTGCCCTCGTTCGGCTCACCAGCTGCCACGGCCCACTCCCAAGCTCACACCCACCTGGAAGACCCACACCCTCTCCAAACACGCACCAAGCTGGGCATGTTCGTCCGCTGTCACTGGCTTTGTGCCAACCAGGAACCTGGCTGGGCCAGACTGCCATCCTGCAGGCTAGGGCGTGAGTCCTGAACTCATACAGAGCCCCACCTCCCTCGCCCCAGTGGCCAGCACCAACAGCCTGACCTAACTGCGGTCCCAAGCACAAGATCAGCTGTAGATAGAGAATGACAAGAAATCAAACTGGATTTCTTTTTTTTCAACTTTTTACATTTCTTTTTCTTTTTTTAAAAATATATTTTATTGCTGGACTACCCTTCTTCCTCTGGAACTGTGCTGGGGGCCGCTCTGACGTTCTGTCTCTTCATCACCAGCCAAGCAGAGGGGCTTTCCTGCGATAGACACAAGAGTGGGTTAGAGAAAGAGAGACCTGGGCCTCCCTGGTGGCGCAAGGGGTTAAGACGCAACCTATGAAACTACCTGCAGCCTCTGCAGAACGAGTTCTATCCCCAGACAGCCAGGGAGCTACCCACATGGCACAGCAGACCTCTCCCGTCTCACCCGCTGCTCCCCTCAGCAGTGTACTTCGGTTTATCTGCCTGTTCTGTTCCCCACTCTGTCTCTGGTGGATCCTCTCACCCCCCACACCTCTGGCCTACACCCCAGCTCTTGTATGTATAAATAAATCTTTAAAAAAAGAGAGAGAGAGAGAAAGAGAGACATAAGCCAGCCTGGGACTGGGGACTTGGAAAGGGGACGATGGAGGACACAGGGCTCAGGCACAGAGAACAGGGTGGGGCGGGGGTTCTCACGGGTAGGGCGCAGCTGCAGGGCTTCCTTGAAGTACTTGGGAAGCAGGAAGCCATCAGCATTTCCAGGAGTCAGGATCACCCCATTGGCAGAGCGGAAGAAGGAGATTCCATCTGCAGGCAGAGTCGGGGACGTGACTCAAGCCCTCCCCGAAAGCCTAGGGCCATCCCTGCTGTGTCCAGACCTACCTGCCAGGGCCAGGGGCCCGTTGATGAACACGGCCACCTCGCAGTTTGGCCGCATGCCTGTGGAGATAGCTGGACCTAGGGCCTGTGGTACCCAGTGTTGCAGCCATCAAACCTGGGCAGACTGGGGGCCTGGGCTGGGGGGGAGGTGCATAAAGGGCATGGGGTGGCAATGACCCTCAGAGGTGGTCCTGGGAGGACAGAGTGGGTGGGAGTAGCTAGGTGGGGGGCACTGACCACTGATGACACTGGGATCCCCTGGCAGTCCCGGGGCCAGGTGGATGTGCATCCGTCCCTGGCAGGACAGGCCCTTGCGCAGGATGGATGGCCAGTGCTGCCGAAATGTGCCGTGGACGAGCTTCTGGGGCAAGGCCTGTGGGGTCTCCAGGGGCGTCAGCTCCAACTCAGGGACCTGGGGTGAGTTGGGGGAAATGGCAGCAGTGAGGTCTCCTCGAGAGCAGGGGTCCCCTGGGTCTCCCACTTGTCCCTTAGCCCCACCTGCAGAGAGTGGCCCTGATTGGCGCGGATGAGGGGGCCGGTGCCGGGGTCCCCCTGCCGCAGGGTGAATCGCTGCTTCCCATTGGTGTCCGCCACGCGCTGCACATCTTCAGCTGAGAATTGGTGGAACTGGGGCAGCTGCAGGAGGGCGCCCAGGGGCACGAAGCCGTCTGCGGGGAGGTGGGGTGCCCGGGAGCTAAACTCTGGGCCAGAGTTAACAGGAGAGCCACCGGCAACCAGAGCAGAGCCTGGGCATGTGGGCCACCTTCGAGTCTCCCCTCCTCAGCCTCACTTTCCTCAACTCACAGGGGCAAGGGCTCTGCATCATGGAAGGTCATGATGATAAAGTCACGGCCCAGAGTGGACACTCAGTATCAGTTGCCCCAGCACCCTGCCTCCCTCGGCCCAGCCCTGCCCGCAAGTGCTCACTGGGTCACCTGGCTGGGGGGGTATAACAGAGGGTCCTGTCCCCGCGGGCCCCACATAGTACTGGGCTCAGGGCAACCATCTGTGGTCTTGGGCTTCCCTGTACGTGGGCAGGATGTGCCCTCCATGCTGTCCCCCTGGGGCAGAGGTGGGCGCTACGGGGAGGGTCACAGACAGGCTCACACTGCCCTCTGGGCGGGGCCACTCCTCCCCCAGCCTACAAGGCACTCACTTACCGGCCCCCATGGGGAGCCCCAGCTTCAGGGCCCCGTGCCGCAGGGCATAGGACAGAGCCTTGGACAGATGCACATCTTGGTCCTGCAAGAGCCCAGAGGCGGCCCCTGGTGGCGGTGGTGATGCTGCCCGGCTGCCCTCCCTGAGCGCTGAGTGACCCCGAAGAGGGAGAGGCGGGGAGAGGTCCCTGTGCCCTCTGGGGATGGCGGGACCCATCAGCCCCACGCTCACCCGGCAGCCTCTGTGGAAAGCCAGGGCGCAGAGGCGCCTCCGCCCCCCTCCCCGCAGCGGGGCCAGGTGGGGGGCCGGGGCGCACCTGTTCGCGGGGCCTGTGCGCGCTTCTTCGCCCGGCCCCCGCCGCTCCCGGCCTCGCGTCCCCGGAGCTCATGGCCACGTCCCGCCGGGGCCGCGGCTGAAGGACCCGCCCACGTCCTCGCCCGCCCGCCCGCCCGCCACGGAACCTGGGGGCCGTCAGCGCTCTCAGAGGGGTGCTCGACCCACTCCTCGCTTCCCGCCCCCAACTCCGTGGCGCAGAGAGGGAAACTGAGGCCCAGCAGACAAGACTTGCCCAACGTCGCCCCGTGCGGGCCGGGCCCGGGGGCCCGACGGGCAGGAGCAGCGCGCGCGGCGGCCGTGCGCCCCCGCGAGCCGGCGCCGGGACCCGCCGAGGCCGGGCCGCGGAAGAAGGGGGGCACTTCCGCTCCGGGGGCGGAGCCTGCGGGCCGGGAGCGCCGCCGGCGGCAGAGGCGTCGGGGCCCGGGGCGCACCCGGGGCGGCCGCGCTCGGAGGCGGGGCCTGGGCTGGGGAGACGCCGACGGGAGGGAGTGACGGGCCCTGGGACCTCTGGGGGCGGCGACGCCGGAGGCCCGGGAGGCCTGGCTGCGGGAGGCGTGGCTGCCCAGTGAGCTCGCGGCCCTTGGCGGGTAGGACTTTGCCGCCCAGCGGCTCCCAGCAGGGCGCGGGAGGGCAGAGCGGCCAGCCGCCGGGTGCGAGGCGCCTGGGGTGACAGGCCTGGCTGTGTCTTTCCCCAGAGCTGCCCGCTTCAGAAAATGGACCCTGAGGTGTCCCTGCTGCTGCAGTGCCCCCAGGGCGGGCTGCCCGAGGAGCGGGTTCGGGCAGAGCTGAGCCCAGCCTACGACCGTCGCCCACTGCCGGGAGGGGACAAGGCCATCGCTGCCCTCTGGGAGAGCCGCCTCCAGGCCCAGCCCTGGCTCTTTGATGCCCCCAAGTTCCGCCTGCACTCGGCCATTCTGACACCCACGGGCTCACCAGGGCCACAGCTTCTCCTGCGCCTGGGCCTCACTTCCTACCGAGACTTCCTGGGCACCAACTGGGCCAGCTCAGCTGCCTGGCTGCGACAGCAGGGTGCTGCCGACTGGGGTGACAAGCAAGCCTACCTGGCAGACCCACTGGGGGTGGGTGCAGCACTGGTCACCGCTGATGACTTCCTTGTCTTCCTGCGCCGCTCTCAGCAGGTGGCTGAGGCACCTGGGCTGGTGGATGTGCCCGGCGGACACCCTGAGCCTCAGGTGAGATGCCAGGCTGGATGGAAAGGTATGACCCAAACAGCTCAGACCCTCTCTCTCCCCACTGAATCTTGGTTCTGCTCTGTGGAAAGCCAGGCAGTGGGGTGGGTGGGCAGAGGACCTAGCTGTTGTCCCTCTGGAAAAGGAGGGCTTGGGTCAGGGGATCCCCAAGACTTCCTCTCTGTCCAGCTAGGCCCTCAGGGTCGGCGAGTATGAAGAAAGGCAGGGTGGGAAGAGGTGGGCAGGGGCTGAGCCTGACCTCTCACAGGCCCTGTGCCCTGGTGACAGCCCTCTGCACAAAGACCTCCCTGGGGAGCTGGTGGTGCATGAGCTCTTCTCCAGTGTCCTCCAGGAGATCTGTGATGAGGTGAGTGTGGGTATCCCAGACAGGGTTGGACAAGGAGGGAGGGTGTAGAATATGCTAGAATGCCACAAGTCTGGGCTGGCGGGAAGGTCTGCAGGCATCTGGCGTTGAGATAAGGGCTTGGCTTTGCAGCTAAGCATGCTGGAGTGGGATTCTAGTCCTCAATTTCCTAGCCCTTTTTACACTGGGAATGGTAAGTGTCTTGCCTACTCCCCGGATTTGTTGAAAAGAGGAGTAAATGGGAGTACTGGCAACAGTTCACTCCCTTGCACGAGCCTGGGCACATTATTCAGTGTCTCCACTTCCCATCTGTCAAATGAACATGCCCAAGATCTGACCGTCTGTGATTCTGGGCACTTCAACTACTAACTGTAAAGGCTGTGCAAGGGTAAAGGACTTCTCCACTGAGGGGGCAGGGTGGTGGGCAGTGGGCACTGACAGGTGGGACCCCTGCCCTAGGTGAACTTGCCGCTGCTCACCCTGAGCCAGCCACTACTACTGGGCATCGCCCGCAATGAAACCAGTGCTGGCCGAGCCAGTGCTGAGTTCTACGTCCGGTGAGTGAGCTCCGGGGGATGGGGTCCTGGGTTCTGGGTGGTTCAGGAGTATGCCTGAGGCAGCACGAGCTGCACAGGGACCATCCAGGGGCTGTGCACTCACCAGGCCATGCTGATGTCCTTGTCCAGGTGCAGCCTGACTTCTGAGCAGGTGAGGAAGCATTATATGAGTGGGGGACCTGAAGCCCACGAGTCCACAGAGATTATCTTTGTGGAAACACAGGTGCGAGTTGGCAAGGCATGTCTTGCTTGGGGAAGGAGGAGGGGCTGGGCTTGCAGAGATCTGGTGATGTATGTCCACCCTGGGGCTCCAGACCTCTCAGAGCTTTCCAGACCTGGGACCACAAGGCCTCCCTCAAGGGAGAGCCAGATACCTGTTCATCCCCTTTAATGTGTCTCCCCAGGGACAGTGCAATGAAGAGGGCTCTGAGGCTCAGTGACACTGGGCCCAGCTCCTGCAGGGGACCAGAGGGCTGGGTGTCATTGTCTCCTTACAGAAAGTGCAAAGGCTGCAGGAGACCGAAATGTGGGCAGAGCTCTGCCCCTCGGCCAAAGGCGCCATCTTCCTCTATAACCTGGGCCAGGGAAGTGCACCTGAGTCACCCCAGGGTCCCCAGCCCGATCACCAGTTTGGAAGACAATAAAGGACTTTTTATTCTTGGATTTCTTTGGCATCTGCAGTTTCCATGAGACAGAAGGGGGCCGCTGGGGCAGCCCTGGATGGGTGAGGCAGGACAAGTGACCTGGGAGGGGAAAGCCTCGCCTCGGTTTCCCCCTTTGCAAGCTGGCATTAGGGCTGGCCCTCTTGCCAGGCTCTGGTGAGGGGCGGGGCAGACTGTGGGGTGGAACTGCCTCGCGAGACGTGCACGGAGCGGCGGAGGACTGGCCGAAAGCCTCTCTGGGGGGTCAGGCTCGGAGGCGCCCACTTTCCCGGGGGCAGCGGGCGCGGCGCTGCGAGTCTGCGGGTTTGTGTGGCGGGCGGGCGGGCTCGAGGCGTCGCGGGCCAATGGGCGCGAGGGGGCGGGACTAGCGCGTCCACCAGCCCCGCCCACGGGGCGGGCGTGGCTTGTACGCTGAGCCAATGAGAGCGCGGGGCGGGGCCAGGAGCGTCTCAGGAAATGGCGGCGGCTGCCGAGTCCGTGAGTGCAGCGGGGGCGGGGCTTGGCTGTGGCTCCTCCTGCTGCTGCCCCCCAAGTTCCTTGGGCTGGGAGCGGGGGTCTCTCGTCGGCCGGGGCAGGTTGTCCCGACACCGAGAGCTGGGTGGAGAAGGGCCGGGGTACGAGGGTCAGAGGCGGGGATAGGCCTCCGCGCCCGCCGGCTCGGGTTTCCTGCGCGAGGGAGCGGGCCGAGCCCCTTCCCCTGCCCGGGAGTGCGGGGGCCTGGCCCCGTCCCGGGCCCCATGCACCCCTCTTCGCGGCCTTCTTTCCCCAGCTGTCCGCCCGCCGCCATGCTGCCCCTTCTGCCCCAGCGCCTCTGCCGGCTGCGGCCCCGCAAGCCTCCCGCCCGGCTCCTCGCGGCGGCAGCGGGGCAGCGGTGAGTCGGTCGCAGGGGGCGCCCGGTCGTTCAGTGGGTCTTGGTGGAGGGCCGGCCTGGCTCTGGGCCCTGCCCTAGGTGCTGAGATAGTTGTGACCGCTCTGTTCTGTCAGATGCCTTACAGGCTCGTCCCAGGTGGCCCTCACCTTCAAGCTGGGGACAAAGGATAGGAGATTAAGGGACGCCCCCCAAGGTCATTCAGCTTGTTCAGTGACAGAATGTGAGGCCTAGCCAAAACCATTGTGCTTTCCATGGCTCTGCTGGCTGTGAAGCATCACTGTGCAGAACTCACTGGGGGCTCACTAGTGTGTGGGGGGGGGCAGGAGAGCAGGAGATTAAAATACAGATGAGGTGGGGCTCAGGGATTTTTTTTAAATAAAGATTTATTTATGCAAACAAGAACTGGGGTACAGGCCAGAGGTGCAGGGGGTGAGAGGATTCACCAGAGACAGTGGGGAACAGAACAGGCAGATTGACTGAAATACACTGCTGAGGGGAGCAGCAGACGAGACAGGAGAGGTCTGCTGGGCCATGTGGGTAACTCCCTGGCCAGGAATCGAACTTGTGGCTGCAGAAGCTGCGGACAGCTTCACAGTGCTCTGCTTAACCCCTTGCACCAGCAGGGAGGCCCTCAGGGATGTTTTTTAAACAAGCTTTGCAGGTGTTTCTGATGCAAGAGGGACCACACTTTGAGATGTTCAGACCTGATCTTACCCGAAACACTCAGCACAGGGCTGGGCGGGGCAGGGCTGATTTGCCCTTAGCACTTGGTTGCATTCAAGATTGTCGTCTGGGGAAGCTGGAGGGGCAAAGAAGGAGCATCCTCTGCCCCCCACCCCCAGCCACTGCAGGGCCTCTCTCTACAGGTCTGGCCCCAGTAACTACTATGAACTGTTGGGGGTGCATCCTGGTGCCAGTGCTGAAGAAGTTAAACGAGCTTTCTTCTCTAAGTCCAAAGAGGTACTGGTGGCCCCAGGGGGCAAGGGAGAAGGGAAGTCTGAGCCAGATGGGGTACACTCCAAGTTCCCAGGAGCGGCTCTCACTTAGACCACATTTCCTCAGCATCATGGGGGCAGTGGTGCCCCAAGGGTAGATGTCTCTCCAGGAAAGGTTGGGAGTAGGAGCTGGTCCTGTCTGATGCGCTGGGCTTGGGTCTCTCCACCTGCCTGCCTGACTTGGATCAGGGCAGAGAGTGAGAGCCAAGTGGCAGGTGGGGGAGGGACTCCCAAGGGGAAGGACAGAGGTCTGTGCCTACTGTGCCTGCCTCTGGTCTTCTGAGGGGTGGGCAGGCCTGAGAACCAGAGTCACAGCCCAGGCAATGCCTCTGGGAATGGTCTGAGGACTGCTGGGTGGGCATGCTAGGGATGGGCCCTGGGAACGAACATAGAAAGGGAGATGAGGGGAGTCCTGCCCCACCCAGCTGCACCCTGACCGGGACCCTGGGAACCCGACCCTGCACAGCCGCTTTGTGGAGCTGAGCGAGGCATACCAAGTGCTCAGCCACGAGCAGAGCCGCCGCACCTATGATGAGCAGCTCCACTCAGCGACACCTCCCAGGGCTCCAGGAACCACCACCCAGCCCAGATCTGCCCACCAAGCACACAGGTACAGTAGTCCTGCACCCAGCTTCCTCCGCCCCAAGCATCCTGGGGAGCCTAATCCTCACACTGTCCCTTCTTCTTCCTCCCAGCAGCTCCTGGGAACCCCCTAATGCTCGGTACTGGGCCCAGTTCCATGGTGTGAGGCCTCAGGGATCAGAGTTGAGGCAGCAGCAGCACAAACATAACCTGCGAGTGCTGGGGTACTGCCTCCTGATCATGCTGGCGGGCATGGGCCTGCACTATGTTGCCTTCAGGTGCAGCTTCTGGGCCGATGGGCAGGAGGGTGGGTGAAGCCCCCTTTGGTCAGTGCTCCACCCCCGCCGCCTGTGGCCTACACCCCTCTGTCTCTCAAGCTAAGAATGGCATGAAATAGGTCTCTGGAGCCTCTTCTTTCTTGGCAAGAGCAGCTGGGCACCGAGGGCTAACGACATTTTCAGTTTTTTACAATTCAAATGTAAGCTTCACGCTTGCTCCCAGGGAGGCTGAGTAACCAAGATCGTGCACCAGAGGGAAATGCATTATAACTGGGCCTCACCAGGGGCCATCCCTCCTCTTTCGGGGGTCAGCTGTCTCCCAGGCCCTCTCATGGCTGCCAGGTGCTGAGGTGCTACAGCACAGACACCCAAAGGCCAGTCCCCACTGCCAGCAGCCTGCCAAGTTGAGCCATAGAGTTAGATTACACCCCTTTCTAGAAGTCTTCCGTGAGGTCCACCCTGATGTTCACAGCTGCTGTCACCTTAGCAGGACAGCCAGGGACGTAGGTAGGTACCACTGGACTCTGGACAAATCCCTGGCCGTTCTGTACCACCCTCTCTAACCTAGCACAGGCAGGGTTAGGCTGAGGTTCCCACAGACGTGAAGGTGTGAGATCCTACGGTGGGGTGGGACTTCCAGGGGCCAGAGGGTATTGGGGCATCCAGGGTCCATGTAATTCCTTCCAGGAAGCTGGAGCAGATGCACCGCAACTTCATGGATGAAAAGGACCGGATCATCACGGCCATCTACAATGAAACTCGGGCCCGGGCCAGGTCTGTCCCTGCCCTAGCCTGCCCCCTCCTCGCTGTCCTGGCACCACCTCAGGGATCCCCATCCCAGCTCAGTGGGTGCTCTCTCCTGCAGGGCAAACAGAGCCCGGCTCAAGCAGGAGCAAAGACAGAGTCAGCGGCCGCAGCCATCACCCCCGCCTGCCCCAGGCCCTGGGATCGTGCCCCCGGGCAACAGCTCCTGAGGGGTTCACCTGGATGGGGCCTGCCTGTCACCTCCCTGCTTCCCAGCCTGGTGCCTCCCTCTCTCTAAACCCCGTGCAATAAAGAGATTCTGCGAGCTCGCGTACGGCTCCCTCTTTCGCACCCAGCGCCCCGGACCCGGGCCTCGCCGGGGCCAGCGCCCCGCCCCTGGGTTCCGGCGGCGCGACCCGGGAGCCCGGCCCCCTGGGCGGCGCGTCCCTTTCCCCGGCCGCGGCTGCAGAGGGGTGTGTGGAGGGGGCGGGCCCGCCGGCGGCCTCGCCCCCCCGCCCCGCCCCCGCCCCGCGGCCCGGTGGGGAGCGCGTGTCTGGGTCACATGAGCCGCCCGCCCGCTAGCCCGGACCCGGCCCCCCGCCGCCCCCGCCGTCCCCGCCGCCGCCGCTGCCCGCCGCCGCCACCGGCCGCCCGCCCGCCGGCCTCCTCCGGCTGCTGCTGCCGCCGCTGCGCTGCGCTGCGCTGCCTGCGCCCAGGGCTCGGGAGGGGGCCGCGGAGGAGCCGCCCCCCGCGCCCGGCCCCCGCCCGCCGCGCCCGGGCCCGCGCCATGGGGCTCTGGCTGCCGCCGCCCCCCGCACCCCCAGGCTAGGGCGATGCGGGCGCCCCCGGCGCGCGGCCCCCGCGGGCACCATGAGCCCCCTGCTCCGCCGCCTGCTGCTGCTCGCGCTCCTGCAGCTGGCCCCCGCCCAGGTACGTGCGTCCCCGCCAGCCCGCCCGCCCGCCGTGCCCTCTCAAGGTTGGCGGAAGTGGGGAGGCCTCGGCCGAGGGGATCTGGGGGTCTGGCCATAGCGGCGTCTGGGCGGCCGGCCCGGGCATCCCCCGGGAGGTGCCCGCCAGCCCAGCCCCGGGGCCACTCCCCCGCCCCACCCCGTCCCCTGGGCGCAGCTGGGGGCGGAGCCTCCTCGGTGCCCGCTGGACCTGGTTCAGCGCCCACTGTGCCCCCTACTGACCTGGGACCCTCAGGCTTGGAGAGTCCACACCACTGGCAGAGCGCCCCTGGCCAGCTGGGGCCAGGGCAGGTCCCAGGTGGGCAGGAGAGGACAGGTAAAGCTAGAGTGGCCCCGAGAACACAGCAAGCTGGAAGAATGTCAGAGAGGAGGTGAAGCCTCCTGATCTCAAGGGCAGAGCCCTGGGGCAGCGACAGGGCCAGCCCTTTCAATAGTGCACCTTGGTCCAGGTCTCTCCTCTCCCACAGGCCCCTGTCTCCCAGCCTGAGAGCCCTGGTCACCAGAAGAAAGGTAACAGTAACAACTTGGTACTAGCTTTGCCGGCTCCTTGTGTCCCCTGGTTCCTTGTGTCTTACCACCTGTAAGATCATCACTGTAACAGGCAGGCTGCTATTCTGCCCATTTCACAGGAGAGGAAATTGAGGCAGGGGGTTCTGGGTGAACGGGCAGTGGAAGACAGATGGGGAGGGCAGAAGGGGGGCTAGTGGAGTGTGGCTGCGGGCATTCAGGAGGGCCGCTGGGTGCAGAGCTAGGGGATCTAGTTAACCTCACCCCTCTGCCCCCAGTGGTGTCATGGATAGATGTGTATGCGCGTGCCACCTGTCAGCCACGGGAGGTGGTGGTGCCCCTGACTGTGGAGCTCATGGGCACCATGGCCAAACAACTGGTGCCCAGCTGTGTGACCTTACAGCGCTGCGGTGGCTGCTGCCCTGACGACGGCCTGGAGTGCGTGCCCACTGGGCAGCACCAGGTCCGAATGCAGGTATGGGGGCAGGTGGCCTGTGCCCAGGGGGAGGGGAGGGTGGATTGCTGGCATCTGGGGGCCCAGGGTCTGGTCACCAAATTCCTATCTGGTGGGTGAGCGTTCCCTCTCTCCCTCACTGTCTCTGTCCCTGTTTTCCGGAGCAGATTCTCATGATCCGGTACCCAAGCAGTCAGCTCGGGGAGATGTCCCTGGAAGAACACAGCCAATGTGAATGCAGGTGCCAGCCAGGCCCCACTTCTGAGCTTCCAGAGAACAAGCTTTGGGGGTGCTGGGCGTGGTGGCACCCTCAGTGGGGACCAGGTCTCTGAGAGTAGAGCCTGGGTGCCTGCAGGGATCTGAGGCAGGAGAGTGGCTTTCCTGATCTTCCTCCTCCTTGTCTCTGTCTGTCTCTCTTACTTTTCAGACCAAAAAAAAAAGAGAGTGCTGTGAAGTCAGACAGGTGAGTCTCAGCCTCTGCTGAGGTGGGTCAGAGCCCAGGCCCAGTGCCCGGGATGTAGGGCGTGAGTGGGGCAGGGGGTGTAAGTGTGCCAGGCGGCGTCGATGCCCTCCTCTCTTTTCCCACTCATGTCCCCTCTTCTCTTCTCCCCTGCTCCCTGAGAGCTCTCCTCTGACCCCAGCTCCTGGGAAGACTCTTCCTTCCCGGCCCAGACATGTCGCTTCTCCTCCTAGGGCTTCCACTCCCCGCCACCGTCCCCAGCCCCGCTCCGTTCCGGGCTGGGACTCTGCCCCCGGAGCACCCTCCCCAGCTGACATCACCCATCCCACTCCAGCCCCAGGCCCCTCTGCCCACGCTGCGCCCAGCGCCGCCAGCGCCCTGACCCCAGGACCTGCCAATGCCGCTGCCGACGCCGCAGCTTCCTCCGTTGCCAAGGGCGGGGCTTAGAGCTCAACCCAGACACCTGCAGGTGAGTGGTCAGGGCTGCCTTGGTTTGGGAAGGCATCTCGGCCCTGTCCTGGAGCAGGTCCAGGGTGAGCCTGCCAGTGGGAGGAGCGCCAGGGAAGGGGGAGCTGTTGAATGAACGTGTTGGACAAATATTTACCAAGCGTCTGCTGGCACTGGGAGCGGCGGAAATGAGGCTGACGGTCTCACGGGAGCAGGCCGAGGACATGCCAGCAGAGGCTGTCAGGACGGTGGGAAGGCACCTGACATCGTTCCGAGGTCAGCAGTGTCCTAGAGGAGATGACATCCACCTGGAGTCGAAATGAGAGCGACGGTGTTCCAATCTGCAACGCTCTGGGCCTTCCCAGATGCCCCTGTGGTAGAAATTTCCCCACCTGTGAGCTCTGAGCGGCCAGGGGATGCAGAGGAACCCCGGCCGCCCTTATCCTGCTCACCACCCTTCCTGCCACAGGGAGTCCAAAGAGGCTTCCTGGCAGGGTAGGAGGGAATGGGCTTCACAGAAGGTAACAAGGAGGTGATTTAGAGGAGCTGAGGCTGGGCTGCACCAGCACAAACACAGCGCCTCCTCCCCACTCAGGTGCCGGAAGCTGCGAAGGTGACACACTGCTTCTCAGATGCCTCCCAGGCCATGGCCCAGAGGGGACAAGAGGGCCGCCTGGTGAGAAGAGCCCAGCCCCAAGACCTCAACCTGGGCAGAAGTTGCTCTAGGACCTGGGCCTGTCAGGGGGCTTTCCTGCCACCCCTGTGCCTCTCCACGGCTGCCATTCAACAGGGTGGGAGCAGCTGGTCGAGGAGACTGAGGCGGCAGGCGGGGTCACGTACCAGCGTGGGAAAAGGTCTGGCTCAGTTCCTAAGCACCCTGTGCGAGTGAGCGTCTCACACCCGCTCCCCCTCTGCTTGCTGAGAAGAGCCTGATCCGCTGAAAATCTTGGGCTCGGGGACAAGAACTGTTGACTCCCAACCCTGATAAAGAGATGGAAGGAGCTGTCCCGGCTTGTGTCACTCTGTTGCTGTCCCTGCTGGCTGGTTTGGGCGTGAATGCCTGCGTCACACTGCACCGCCTCCTCCCAAGCCGGGGAGATGGAGGCAACCAGGCCCCGGGCCCCACACCAGGTCCCAGATGGAGCCAAAAGCCATGTATTCTTCACATACATGACTGTCAGGGCTTGGTGAGTCCCTGCCACCCCGCTCCTCACAAGCTCCTCCTCCTGGAAGGAGACAACCTGCTGCAGTCAATGAGCTTGAGGTGGCACCAGATTTGCTGAATGACCTTGGCGGTCACCCCTTGCTTTCTGAGTTTTCATACTGTGCGTGGAGGGAACAGATGACTGCTGTGTTCTGGGCTCTGGGGCTCTGGGCAGTTTGCATCTGTCTCCATATAAAAGGACACCCCTCTACCCTGCCTGGCAGCACTGTCTGCTGCTTTTTGCTCCCTTAGCTGAACACTAATGTGACACACCTGCCCTAGTCCCACCTCACTCCCATCTCCCTGCGAGGCAAGTGCCCAAGGTCTGTGGCTGGTGGGCATGATGTGGGAGACAGGCCCTTCCTGACCCAACCATAGATTTCTCCACCTTTCCCTCCCTTGCACCTTGGGCACCCCTCCTCAGCGTCTGTGCTTGAGACTCTCCTGACCTTTGGCCAGCACTAGCTCGGAAGCTGGACCTCTGCCCGCAGTCACCAGGGTCCCTGGGGCTGAGTGGTGAGGGGGTGGAACAAAAGCCAACCTTGAGCACCAGTGTTTTGTCCTTCTGAGGCAGGAAAATCGGGCAGAGTTTACCCCAAAGCAGCTACCTTAAGTGAGGCTTTCTCTGGCGTGTTCAGTTGGAGGGGTTGGTAGGTCCCAAGCAAGCGCGGGGTTACAACACAAGAGACAGTTCCTGATTGTGATTACTATTTTCAAATCTCAGTCATGCCATTAGTGATCATGTCACAGCCCAAAGAGAACAGGACAGTTGAGGATCGGGGGCCCCACAGCTGCCACCTCGCGGCCCACTGAGCCGCGGGACATGCAAAATACATCATATGCACATCCTCCCCGCGTGCTCTTCTGAGGTCAGCAGAAACTCTCTTTTTTTTCTTTCCAAAAGAGGAAAGAGGTTCAGAAAGGCTGATTGACCTGGGGATTTGACCTTACAGCGACTGTCTCCCCAACACTCAGCTGAGCTTTAGCTGCTTTCCAACTGCAGAGTGACTACTTCGATTGACAGATATTTCCTGGGCATTGCTGGGTGCTGCGGCGCCCGAAGAAACAGGCTGAGGCAGGCCTGGAAGGGGAGAGAGACAAGGAGGGCGTTCGCTGTGAGCCTGGCCTGGTGCTTTGCTCATCGCAGCAATCCTACAGGGGTCTTTGGGGTGGGTGTTGCAGGACGTCCTAAAAAGGGAACTTGCTCAAGGTCACACAGCTGGTCAGAGGCCGAGACCGGATTCGAACCCAAGGCTCACCCTGGAGCCCAGGCTCTCTCCCAGCCACTAACTGGGGACGCAGAAGAGGCCCAGGTGCAAAGGGGAGCGCTGGGGGTGAGACGGGGGGCGACGTAAAATGGCGCCCCAAGACCCCCTCCGGGAACCCGCGCCCGCCTGACCTTAATTTCACCCCGCCCGGAAGTGCCTTCAGCCCTTTCGGAAGTCACTTTCACCTAACCTCGAGAACGGCCACTCCGCCGGAAGTGACGCGATCACGCGGTCCCCGGGCGGGGCCGGGGAAGAAGCCGCCGCGCGAGCATGTGGCAGCGGGTTCCGCGCCGGCCAATGAGGGCGGGCGGCGTGGCCCGGCCTGGCAGCCGCGGTGACGCGCCTGCGCAGAGGCGGCGGCGCGGCTGGGGTGGACTCCGGGGGCGCGGCGAGGAGGTGAGCGGGGGCCACAGCCCGGGCTGGGGGGACCCGGGGTGCGAGAGGGCAGGCTGGATCAGGCCGGGCAGGAGCGGACTGGGGTTCCGAGTGTCATCGAGGGATAGGTTGCGAGGAAATTGGGAGTTGGGGTCGCAGCTGCCTGGGGATGCCGCAGGGGGAGGGTTCTCACGCTGCACGGGGCGGAGCCCCGGCGCTCGGGGCGGGACGTGGGGCCGAGAGGGGCGGGGCCTCTGAGCTGGTGCCTGGGGAAGGCGGAGCTCCCGCGCCGGGGGCGGGGCCAGGGCTGGTAGGGGGCGGGGCCTGGCCCCTGGGGGCGGGGCGGCAGCGAGAGGAAGGCGGGGCCTCGGGTTTGGCGACCAAGGGGGCCGGGCCCCAGGCGCCGGGGGCGGGGCTTCGGCCGGAGGGCGGCGGCGTTGCCGCTCAGGAGAAGGGGTCCAGGCCTGCCGGGGGCGGGGCTCCGGGGCCAGGGGCGGAACTGCGCCCTCGAAAGGGCGGGGCCAGGGAGCCTAGCGAAGGGGCAGGCCCAGGTAATGGCCCGGGGCGTCCACGCGGGGGCGGCCTCCGTGGTGGGCGGGCCTGGGGGCGCGCGAGGCCGAGAACTCCCCCGGGGGAGGTGGTGTGGGTGGAACGCGCCAGGCGGCCACCCGACGCGGGGCCGGTCTGGGTGCCCCGGAGACCCCGAGGGCTCAGAGCTGGGGCGGCGCCCCGGGCGGAGGCGCAGGACCGGCCTGGGGAGTGCCCCCCGAGGACCGGGGCTCCCCAGAACCACCCAGTGGCGATGTGTGGGTGCCTCGGGGCCGGCCCCCTGCAACGACCGCAGATGTGTGGGTGTGCTGGGCGGGAGGCAACTGGGTGTGGCGCGAGTGGGGCCGCCCAGTCGGGGCAACTGCTGTGCAGTCAGATAGGGTCTGGACTTTGCGTAAAGGGACGGGTGGGAACTGAAAAGTGGAGCTGGGCACCGGGAGGGAATGAAGGTCTGGGAGTGAGCAAAGGGGCGGGGCCCTGGCTGCTGTGGCCTCCCCTGACTCCCTCCCCTCGCTGCTGGGGTCCTCGGGCAAGCCCCCTTCTCACTGGACTGGTAAGTGTGGCCGTGGAGCCCGGTGGAGGGGGTGGTGACCCGGGACGAGGGGATCCCCAGGGGTAGGCAAGGTACAATGGGGAGGAATCCTCCTGGCACCTGTGTTCCATGACATGCAACCTCTGCGCCCCCCCCCCATTGGTTGGCGGGTCGGGGTCTGTTCCCGCAGAGACATGAGGCTGAGCTGGATCCTGACAGTACTGACCATCTGCCTGAGCGCCCTGGCTACGCCTGCGGGGGCAGAGGGCAAAAGAAAATTGCAGATCGGGGTCAAGAAGAGGGTGGACCACTGCCCCATCAAATCGAGAAAGGGTGATGTCCTGCACATGCACTACACGGTGGGTGAAGGGGAGGGGCTTTGAGGTGGGGGGGGCTTCCGGGGACCAGAAAGGGCTTGGGAACCAGGTTCCTCTGCCACAAGGTGGATGCCCTTGAGCAAGTTCTGCTCCTTTTACCGGTTTTCATGGTTCTATACCTTGCTCTTCACAACTTCTCAGATAGACATCAGCAAGCAATGACAATGTACTGTGCTGCTACCTGACTGTCCCTTTCTAGGACTATGGCTGCCGTTTAGGGGCGGGGGAACAGCTTGATGCAAGCAAAATGGGGGACATGTATCAGAGCGGACCCTCCTCCTCACTGGCCTTCCCATGATCCCACAGGGGAAGCTGGAAGATGGGACGGAGTTTGACAGCAGCCTGCCCCAGAACCAGCCCTTTGTCTTCTCCCTGGGCACTGGCCAGGTCATCAAGGGCTGGGACCAGGGGCTGCTGGGGTGAGTCTTGGGGCCGTCGCTGGGGTCCAGAAGGTGAACTGTGGGCGACAAGCCTCAGGGCTGGGTGGCAGGGAGCCTCGGTGCTGTCATGTGCTGAACACATGTTGTCCTGCAGGATGTGCGAGGGGGAAAAGCGGAAGCTGGTGATCCCATCAGAACTGGGTAAGAGGCCCTTCCGGAGCAGGGATAGGGGAGTTGAGGGCATGTGTCAGGGCAGTGCAGGCTGACTCATCTGTATTGGTCTCCACCTCATCCATTCATTATAGTACATGCTCTTCCCAGTCTAGCTGTGTCTGGCAGAGGCCAATACCAGGCAGCTAGGACTCCTAGGGCACTTGGGTCTAGTGCCCCCCTCTGCCCTCTGCTAGGCCTTTGGCAGCCCCCCGACCCCTTATGACACCTTCTCCATTTCTGACTTTGCTGTGGAAATGGGAGAGGCCTGGCTGCAGCTTAGATGTCTGCAGAACATCTCTTTGACCACCGCTCACTGTTTCTTTGTGCATCTCCAACAGGGTACGGCGAGCGGGGAGCTCCCCCAAAGATTCCAGGTAATATGCTTCCTGTCCCCCCCTCCTGCACCCATCCCGCCCCCTCGTGGCCCCAGTTCTCACTCTGACCCCACTTCTCCTGCAGGTGGTGCAACTTTGGTGTTCGAGGTGGAGCTGCTCAAAATCGAGCGCCGTTCAGAACTGTAGCCAAACCGGGGAGGGGCAGTGTAGAGGCCCCCATCAGGGACCAGACTGTTTAAAAAGAAAAAAACCTTAAAAACCCATGGAGTGAGCCTGTGTTTGTTTGTGGGCCCCGAGAGATTTAGAAACCATAGCTCAGTGCCCCCCACCCCTCTCCTTCCTGGCTGCAGAGCCTTGGGGGTCTAGGCTCAATGGCAGAGGTCTCAATGGCCAGGCCCTGGGTGGCGTGGTGGCTGCTAACCAGTGGGAGAAAGGAGTGTTTCTGCCTACCAACAGCACTCCCTCCCCCGCCAGCTCCCCAGCCACTTAGGCTCCTGGTCTGGGAGCCAGCACTGGGCTATCGCCATGGCTACGTGGCCCTTAGGAAGGCCTGCGGTCACCTGGGGAGAAGCTGAGCTGGCAGCAGTTGTGAAGCAGTGTGGCCCCCCAAAAGAGACCAGCAAAGTCTGTTAGCTGCACCAAAGGCATATCCTAGCTTTATTAAAGGGCCCGCGCCGCAGAGTCAATATAAAAACACAAAAAGTCCCATCAGTTTAATAACAATAAAAAACCCCAAAAATGGAAAACTTGTAGGGGCAGGGAAAGAGGCCCCTGGGCCAGGGGCATGAGGAGCCCTGCTCACGGCACCAGGCCTGGCCGCAGGGCTCCCTGGTATTGCTGTTGCTATGAGGTTGGGGGGCAGCGATTGTCCTCTGGGAGCCACCGTTCGCCTGGGTCGAGGACCCTTACTTCTTCTGGGGTGTGCTCAGCTTCTGCATGCCCCGGATTTTGTCCAACAGGCCAGAGATGAAGGCCTGCATGGGAGGGAGGATATTAGGGAGATCAGACCCCAAGGTGAAGGGGAGTCGCGTTCACCCACCCTCTGGGAAAGCCACTTACCTCAGTGGGTTTGTAACAGTCAACCAGCAGCTCCTAGCGGGCGGAAAATAATGACTGTGAGTTCTCAGGAACAGAAACTACGGTTCATCTACACTTCCAAGGGACTGGGGCCTCACAGCAGATAGGCAAGCACCAGTAACCCCATTTAACAGAGGCGGAAGCTGAGGCCCAAGGTCACAGTGGAGGCGGAAGCTGAGGCCCAAGGTCACAGTGCTCGATGACTAGGGCAGTGCTTACCCCAGGGGGGATGTGCCTCCTGGCAGCCCCCACCACCCCTCACCTTGACCCTGGCAGCCCGGGTATCGTCACTCTCCATGTCCAGGAGCTCATCCACATCTATCTCCAGCTCCGGGATCTCCTCTTCCTGGGGAGGATGTGGGGGGAAGAGAAAGAGAAGGACCCGAGTTGAGAGGGTGTGAGGAGCTCTCCAGCTAAGGCCCTGCCCTGCTGCAGAAAGAGCCACCAGCCCTCTCTGCCCAGCAGACAGTGGCAGCTGCTCTGAGAAAGAAAACAGATCAGGTCTGTGCCAAGGCAAACTGCCCGATGCAGGGAAGCTTCCCGTCTCTGCCAGTGAGCACCCGGGGTGCCAGACAGGGCTAGACAGCTAGGGCTGGGGCCCCTGCAGATGTCTTCCCCAATTCCAGGCCCCCCATCTCAATCAGCACAGGTGGAGCCAGCTGTCCCAGCTCCTCACAGCCCCTTCCCCTCCCCCAAACACCTGTCACAGCTTCCCCAGAATGAGGAGGAAGCCAAGGGTGAGGGGTCAGTGGGAAGAACCCAGGCCTGGTAAAGGGGAAACAAAGAGCCCATGCTTTGCTGAGGGAGGGGATGCCCACCTCCCGGCCTTCCCGGGAAGCGTCTCTCCAGTCCGAAGCCAGCTGCATTCCTGGGTAGGCAGCACAGGGCAAACCCTCTCCTCCACCCTGCCCCCCGGGGCCTGAGTCACTATTTGAGCAAGGAAGGAGTCATGGGGTGGAGAACCAGAACCCAAAGAGCGGGCTAGACAGCTCCCACGCCAGGGTGATGGCGCACTCGGGCCAGGCCAGCAGGACCGCTGGACCCTCTAAGCCCCCTACCAAGCATGCTCAGGCCTTTCAACCGGCCAAGCCAGCGGGTCCTGGAAAGGCAGCTTAGACCTCCCCCCGCGGTCGGCCGGGCTGGCTGCCGGTCCTCGGCAGGGCAGTCCCTCCAGGCCGCCAGAGACCCCGAGCTGGCCCCGGGGAGCGGCGTGAAGGAGGCAGCGCGGCAGACAGTGACTTCGGCGAGACAAGGAAGAGCACGCGCTGGGGGCGGGGAGCCCGGGAGGGCAGCGCGCGCAAGCGGGGCTCCCGTCGACTTCGGGTGACAGGCGGCGCAAGGTGGGGCTCCGGGCGGCCCAACTTGGGACGAATTCTCGGGCGCCGGCGCGGAGCGGGGAACACACCTGGCAGTCGTAGAGGCGCGTGAGCTGCTCCAGGATCCACTCCTCCAGGTTGAGGCGCTTCCGCAGCTCCTTGCGGTCGTACTTGACCGTGACCTTCCCCTGGCGCCGCACGGGGCCCTCGTCGTCCGCGCCGCCCGGGCCCTCCCCCGCCGCCCCGGGCGGGCTCTGAAAGTAGACGCGGGGCCCTGGGCCGCCGCCGCCGCCGGGCCCGGGGGCCGGGGCCGCCAACGCCGCGCCCCCCGCGGGGCCGCTGTCCGCCATGGCGGCCGCCGGGGCCACGTGCGCCCGCGGGGCCCCTCCCTGCGCCGCCGCCTCCGGGCCGCCCGCCGGCCGGCTCCGGCCGGGGCTCGGGTTAGCGCGTGGGGTCGGCTCCGCGCGGCGCAGCGGCGAGGGCGGCGGCGGGGGCGCCCGGGGGCAGCTGCAGCATGCGGAGCCCCCGGGCCTGCTGGCCGCGCCCCGCCCCCTCCCCGCGATCCGCCCGCCCTTTGTCCCCCGCGGCCGCCGCCCGAGCCGCTCGCTGTGTCTCGCGCCGCCCCGCCCCGGCCACGCCCCCTTAAAGGGCCCGGCCCGCCGCGGCCCCGCCCCCGCCCGCGCGGGCTGTCGGGGGCCGTCGGGGGCTCCCGCCCGCCCCGCCGCCTCTGCCCGCGGCCGCCGCGGCCGGGGCGTGCGCTCCCGCCGGGACCCGAGGTCTGGCCTCACTGAAGTGGAAACAGGGGCGTTTGGGATGACGGGCAGTGACCATCAGCCGCAGGGCGGGGGTCCCGAGGGGAGGCCGGGGCACCCCGACGCCGGGTCTTCCGGCTCCCCGCGGCGGGGGCGAGCAGGCTTCGCGCGGACACGTGGACCGGGCTCCCGGGGCTGAAGAGTGAAGAAGACGGGCCCGAGCTGCCCCGGTGCCGGGCGCCACGCTGGGCGGGCCCCGCGCCCCTCGTGGCGGGGATCGGGGTCGAGGGCGAACAGAGCCGCCCGGCGGGCAGCGGCGCCGGACCCCAGGCGGCCACCGCCCACCGGCCAAAATGGCGGCGGGGCGGAATTCTGGGAAATGTAGTTCGCGGGTCTGGCCCCGCGTGGCCGCCCTGCCCCGCCGCGGGGTCCTCCCCGCGAAGCGCAGAATTTGTTTGGGGCGCCCTCCAAGGCCTGGCCTCGACAGCGGCGGTCTTCGGCCCCCCGCGACCTCTGTGCAGGTGAGGAGAGTCAGGCGCAAAGAGCAGGGAAGTTGGGGAGCCAGCGCTCACGATATGAAAATAATAACAGCCGACCCACAAAGGGCATTTAATGAGTAGGTTCCACAATGTCGGTTCCGGCACCGAGGCCCCGCTTGTGCTCTCCTGCGATCCTCCCCCGCCGCTCCTTCTGGCGTTCAGATCCCGGAGGCGCCTTTACCTGGCCCCCCTCCCTCAGATCACACATCTCGTCCCCGCGCCCCATTTGGTCTTCTGTATCTTTAAATAGCCTCATCCATTTGTTCGTTGTCTCCCACTTCAAACCTGAGCTCCGCCAGGCAGAGACCTGTCCCAGCCCAGCTGACTGCTGTTGCCCAGGGTTGGGTCCCCCTGCACAGCCTCAAACCCACAGGAATTGGGTAAATTACCTGACTCTGGCTGAACTCACAGCACCCAGGTCAGACTCTAGGCGCTGGAGGTGACTGAATGAAAGAATGAATGGCTTCCTCCGTGCCTCCATTTTCTCAGCAGGTGGTGGCGAAGATTAAATAGGAAAATGCAAGGCGGGGTCAGTGATTGAACCACAAAGTTAATGAAGTCACAAGATAGAGCTGGAGCTCAGACCGTGAACCCACCCCCCCCCACCCTTATGCAAAGTCTATTCATTACCCCCACCACCCATGCTGAAGGTAGTGCAGCTCCTCTGGGGTGCTTCCACAGGCGCCAGGCTCACCCCTTGCCAGCAGGGTCTGAGGGTCTGGTGGTTTGGGGAGCAGTGTTAGCGCCAGCCTCTCTGGATGCGGGAGAAGCCCAGGGCCCAGAGAGCGGTTGAGACTGGCCCAAAGTCACACAGCTGATGCCGCAGCCAAACTGCAACCCAGGCCTTTAGGCTTACCCCGCAGTCGAGAAGAGAGGATCAGAAGGCAGAGCCCGGGAAAGGTGTGTGGAAGGGGGAGGTGGGCCTCTTGCTGAGGAACCTAGGTTGGGAGCAGCTTATGGGGCTCAGTCCAGGCCAGGTAGAGCAAGCTGATGACTCTTCCACCCCAGCCTTCCTTCTGGCCTTAGCCTTTCTTCAGTCAGCCTATCCCTTCTTTTCCACCAAGGGCTGACCCTTGTTCCTGCAGATTAAGCAGGACCCACCCTTTACACTGGGAAAGGCCTGGGCTCTGAGCCTGGCCTGATATGAGGAGCAATTTACCCGTTAAATTCCCCACCACACCCCACCTCACCCCAGCAGCAGGTCTGTTCTTTCTGAACCAGAGCACTGGTTTGGGTCTTGAGTGGGCTCATAATTGAGGGGGTGATACCTCAACAGCCCCTAACGTCTGAGAGCTCGCTGTGGGGAGGGGGCCCAACTGCCCATGAGGATCTGGTTGCCAGCCCTTCTTAGCCCCCCAGATGCGGTGACCCTGAGCATTGACCTTCCTGCTCTCCTCTCTTCAGGGCTGGTGTGAACACTTCATCATGTCCAAATTTCAGGGTTCTCGGTGGAGTTCTCTGGAAGGAGCCAGGGATTCTCTTTCTGATTTTCCCACTTTCCACTTCCCATGGCACCACTGGGGCACTTCCCGATTCCTGGGGCCTACCAGTTAGGTCCGTTCCCGTGGCCACCCACCCTGAAAGAGTGGTGCAGATGGCCAAGCAGGCCTGCAGTTTTCCTGGAGGGCAAGGCCTGGGTTTGAATCCCATAGACTGAGCGGCCTGGACAAGCCCTTACCCGCCTTCAGGCTCCTTAAGGGGGCCCTACCATGACCTGCAGTGGGGAGGCCCCCCACCCAGAGCTCGTTGCTCCAGGATCACATCCCTGCTCTTGAGCTCTTGTCTGAACCCCACTGGGACTGGAGCTCCTGATGCTTCTCATCCTTGCCAGCCCCACCCCTCCCGGGGTCCCAACCCTCCTCTGCTGGAGTTCAGCTAAGGCTGTTTTTAATGCCTCCTTGAAGCAGAGGCCCTGAGAGGGTCCCGTGGGCCATGATCGCTCCCTTAATCGAGGGTAGAGGCCGGAAAGTCTGCCTTCCTTCCACCATTACTGCTTGCCGAGAAACCCTATTACCAAGCCTGGGAGAAAGTGTCCTAGGAGGAGGGAGTCCTCTAATGGCGGCTGCCCTGGCCTCCAGGGACATGGGGGTGGGGGGAGAAGGGAGAAGGCTCAAGCTCAGGACACAGGCTCCTATGCTGTCTGCCAGGCAGCTGCTGCCCAGCACATCTGTGACTACCACCCTGTCCAAGGGGCAAGGCCCAGGGTTCTGGCCCCACAGCTCAGGCCCTGCTAGCCCCGGCTCTGCTCCTCTGCCAACTGTCTGTGCCCTTTCCTTCTACATCCTGAGGTCCCCACAGCCTGCTAGCTCCTCCAGAGGGGTAGCTGCCTGTAGCCAGGGGTCATCTGGTAGCCATTTGCTTATTTCTCACTCACACACACACACACACACACACACACACACACACTTCCAGCTCTGGACAAGGTGAGTAGGGCCCAGCTAGACCTAGGCTCTGTGGCAGCTCTCGTGAGAGGATATGGGTCACAAATCCTGTCCCCCTTTGTGTCTTTAAGGACTAGGAATGGAGGCAGGATATGAACTGGCCTTCAAGTCCTCCTACATGAGGTTGTGTGACCCTGGGCAAGTCTCAACCCCTCTCTGGGCCTCCACGGGAGATAATAATCCCAGCCCACAGGGCCTTGACCAGATAAGGAGATTCCTTAGGTGAAAGTTGAGGATCAACAAGAACTGTGATGGACAAAGCCCAGCGGGGCTCTCCCTGGGGGTCTGAGAGCCCCCGGCCAAGGGGCCTGCAGGGCCAGTTCCTCCTTGCCTGACCCCTCCTCCCCTAGAATCAGCTCCATCTTTTCTGGGTTTCTAGGTGACTTGGCTGGCCCCTCTGGATGAGTTCTACTTTAAACCTGCTGCTGTTACTGCCTCTGTATTGGGGGGGCTCCCACAGGGGCCCCCAGGCAGGAGCCCCCCCAGCCAAGCCCTGCGGGAGGGGCTGCAGCCCCCACCCATCCCAGTGCCCATGCGCCTCCCGCCCTCCCCCTCCCATCCCTGGAAGGAAGATTTCAGGACGCGCACCTGCTGTGGGCCAGGCATCGCCGCCCCTCAACCCTCCTTGCACCGGGACCTCCACAAGACTTCTCACCCCTCTGGGCAAAGCACCCACGGTCCCCTTCGCAGTGCTGAGCCCCACAGGGACAGGCTGCAGATCCCGCCAAAGGGGCCTGCGGAACAGAAGCGCCTGTTCCCGGGGCTGGGGCTGGAAAGCCAGGATGCCCGGGGCTTCAAAGGAGGCGCCCGGCGCCCGGCCTCCCAGGGCCAGGGCCAGGGAGGAGGGGCGCTGCCGGCGGGAGGCCCATTAGCTGGCTAAGTGCTCCCAGGGAGGGGGGACAGCACTGCTGCAGGAGGGGGTGAGACGGGGGGAGGGGGGAGGGGAGTGGCTTTTCCTGTACTCGGCTAAGTGCTGCAGGACCGGGCTGGCGGGGGAAGAGCTCGGCCCCTCCCCTCCGCCCGAGTCCTGCCGTCCAATTGCACCCCGTCATCGGCCCCTTCGAAACCTTAGCGAGCCGACTCGACACCCAGTCCCTCTAGTTGCACCCCACCAGCGCCCCACGCCCTCCCTTGCCCCCTCCCGCTGCAGGCCGGTCCGGCCGAGTCCCCAGCCAACTGCGGGGGTTCGGGCCGACCCCGGTTCCCGTCCCCTCTCCGGCCGGAATCGCCGGCCCAGCCGCCAGGGGGCGCCGAGAGGGGGCGGTGCCGCCGCGGCCCCGCCCCCGCCCGGCCCCCGCCCGGCCCCCCCGACTCCCTGGTCTGTCGGGGACAGACTGGCGGGCGGGCGGGAGCTGACGCCGCGGGTCCGGAGCGGGGCGGCGCGGGAGCGCGCGGAGCAGCAGCGGCGCCGTCGGTCCCCGTCGGGGCCCCCGACCCGCCCGGCCCGGCCATGGCAGGCGCCAGGCCCGGCGTCCACGCTCTGCAGCTGGAGCCGCCCGCGGTGGGGGAGACCCTGCGGCGCGGGAGTAAGTTCATCAAATGGGACGAGGTAAGCGCGGGGCCCCCTGCTCCGCCCAGATCCCGGGACTCCCCCGCTCGGGCTCGGCCGGACGCCGGGGGCCTCTGCGCCGCAGCCTGGGCCGGCCGCGGCGGCCCCCGCCCGAGCCGGGCTCTGCGCCGGAACTCGAGTCCCCGTAACGAAGACTTCGCCCCTCACCCCAGCCCCAGCCCCGGGTAGTTCGGCTTTCGGTTCCTTGGCCCGGAGACTTTCCCCGCCGGGACGTCCAGGCCCCTCGTGCGCGCGCCCTGCCCACCCCGTCCCGCCGGTCCCGCTCTGGCTCCCCGGCCCTGGCCATGTCCAGGACCCCTGGCGGGCTCCGAACTCTCTGGCTTGAGGGCCGGGTCCCCCGGCTGGTTCACTGCGCCCCGGGTGGGACCCGGCCGTTCCCAGCGCCCGAGCTGAACAGGCTTCTCCATTCATCACGTTTTCACCCCCTTTTCTGCCCGGCACCCCTTAACCCTGCTTCTGGATCTCGCTGAGCTTCCTGCTCAGGTGGGAGCACCAGGTCACCCCCTAGTGGAGTCGTCGCCCCCCCCAAGTTCCTCCACCCATGGGGACTTTGCTCTACACTTCTTAGATTGGGACTTTGAACCCCAATAAATCCTGCCCCCCCTTACCTGCCCTGCTTGGTGCTTCCCAGATGCCCTGGCTCCCACCTGTGGCTCCCTGACCTGGCCTGTGCCCCCTCCTTTGCACCCGGGCCCCTGTCCCCAGGGCCGCCAAGCGCAGCCCGGTCCTCTCCGAGCCTTCCCGGGCGGGCCAGAGGCCTGGAAGACTCTGGGCTCCCTTCCGCCTGGGTGGGGCGGGTAGGCGTGGGGCTAGGGGAGGGGCTGGGGGCGTGGCCGCAGGCAGCAGGTGTGCCACTCGGGGTGCTTGGGCGCCCCAGAGGACAGGGCAGACCCCTCCCCCCCCCCCCCCCCCCCCCCCCCCCCCCCCGCTGGCCTGAAGGGAAAAGTTTCTCCTTTTCCTATCAGTGTGATAAGCCCAAATAAGGAAGTGGGAGCCGGGAGAGGGCCCTGGGGGTGGGGTGGGGGATCCTGACTGGGACTTGGGACTGGAAGCTGGAGCCTGGGGCTGCCTTTGAAGGCCGGACCCCTGGGGAGGGGCTGTGGGATGTCCCAGGAACAGAACACTGCAGAACTCCCAGCTCCTCACATTGTTGGGGGACCTGAACCCCGGGGTGGGGCTGGAAGCTCCAGAGAGGGGCTTCGGGTGGGTGTCAGTGCAGTAAGGTGGGAGGGACCAGCGTCAAATTCTGGAGCCTCCTTGTAGCCTTCAACCCCTCCTAGGTCAGCCTCCCCGGTCCTTTGTAAGCAAAGCCTGAGATGGGTGGGGCTGGTGCAGGCCTCATCCCCCCAAGGGGAAACTGAGTCTGGCTGGAGCACTCTGGCCTCTCCCCACGGGTCCCACAGTGGGGCTGGAGTTGAGAACCAAAGCTGGGCGCCTGGCAGGGGTCCGGGGCCTCAGTCTCCTGCCTGCAACGTGGGAAGGGCAAAGGCGCACACACTGTGGGGTCCTTGGGGGTCTGTGGGAGCCCTTGGATGGTGAGCGCTTAGCTCTGGCAGGCCTGGCGGTGTGAGGGGGTGAGGGGAGCCACTGTGCTCTGAAGCCACTGTCCACCATACAGTGAGCTGCATTTTGGGGTGACAGTGAGGTGAGGCGGTTTCCTCTATTGGGAGTCAGGCCCCGATGAGTCTAGGCCGCTGGTCGTGAGTGGCATGGGGTGGCCCTGGGAGTGTGCCAGGGGCTGGGCCCTCCTGAGAAAATGGGCCAGCACACCCTCCCCTGCCCCGGGCTGACTGAAGGACGACAGGGTTCACTGTCCGGTCCCCGCAGACAGGGTGAATCCACTTCTGGGGGGATGCAGTCTGTGCCCTCTAAGGTGTGGTGAGCGATGAGGCTGTGGGGGTCCAGTGGGGTGCAGTGTGGGGGGTAGTAGCCTTTGAGACATGTGAAGGGTGACCAGTGTCCATGGAACCCTGAAGAGCACAGAAGGGCTGTGGGGGAGGGGTGGTGTCAGACTCTGAACCCTCTGCTTTTGTCCCACAAATGTTCCTGGGAGGCTGCTGGGACCTCTCAGGCCTTCAGGAGAAACCAAGTGCTTGGGGAGCATGGGGGCCTTCCAAGGCCTCATGATAGAGAAAAAGAAGGAAAGGATATGTTGACACAGGACCCAAGAAGCAAAGACTGGAGGGAAAGGGCTGACTTAGTGGTCCATGTGCCATCTGCAGGCGAGCGGTGAGGCTGGGGGAGGGGTGTCAACACCAGAACACCGTGACCCCAGATGTCACACCCAGGACCTCAGCTTTGTCCTGAGGACTATAGGGAGCCGCCAGGGGCCTGTGGGCTGGTGAGGCTTCATCATCACTTACTGTCAGAAATTGGTGTGCATGGTCCGAGGGCCTCCCGGGACCAAGCCTGGGCAGCAGCTCTCACTTCCTGACCCTGCTGGTGCATTCCCAGGAGACCTCCAGTCGGAACCTGGTGACCCTGCGCGTGGACGCCAATGGCTTCTTCCTGTTCTGGACGGGACCCAACATGGTGAGGGCAGGCGCTGGAGCAGCTGGCTCAGCTTTAGGGCACCCGCCATACCCCTGAATCCCCTCCCTTGCCATGTGGGTGGGGCCAGCTGCTGACTGACCTCTCCCACAGCTCCTAGACCGGAAGTGCTGGGGTGGGGGGCTGAGGCTGGAGCTATATAGCAGGGGGTGGCCACTCTCTGGCCTGGGAGGGAGTTTGGGGGCTCTCAGATTTTGCCCTGTAGCTTCTCAGACTCACTCTGGTGTGTGTTTTCCTCAGGAGGTGGACATGCTGGACATCAGCTCCATCAGGGACACAAGGATTGGCCGTTACGCCCGCATGCCCAAGGTGAGTGATGGGCCCAGGCTGAGAACCCAGGGGAGGTCATGGGGGACAGGGACGTTGCTTCTCACTCTAGGTTCTCACTGGATTAGGATCCCAAGCTCCGGGAGGTGCTGGGCTTTGGTGGCCCTGAGGCCCGACTGGAGGAGAGGCTGATGACGGTGGTGGCTGGGCCAGACCCAGTTAACACAGCATTCTTGAACTTCATAGCCGTGCAGGACGACACAGCTAAGGTGGGCTGTGGCTCCGGGGCCAGCCAGCTGGCAGGGAGGGTGGGATGTGTGGCTCAGTTGATACGTCAGCCGTAGTGCCTGATAGTCACGTACCAGGCTGTCCTTGCCTCTTGTTTCTGACATCCTGTGACGAAGCGTTTTTGAGCACTTGCTGTACCGTCGCAGTTCTGGGTGTGGGCTGTGGCTTGACCAGCCCCCTTGTCCCCTGCTCATGCCCTCCCTGCGTCCTGACCCCTCAGGTCTGGTCCGAGGAGCTGTTCAAACTGGCAATGAACATCCTGGCCCAGAATGCCTCCCGGAACACCTTTCTGCGCAAAGCGTGAGCTGTGGGCCTGTTGGCAGGGGTCAGGGGGAGGGGGCGTTGGGGTTCAAGTGGGCCTTGCAGGTGTGACCGTCACACCTACCTCCCCAGATACACGAAGCTGAAGCTGCAGGTGAACCAGGATGGACGCATCCCTGTCAAGAAGTGAGCACCCTTCCCCTCTGCCCTGGCCTTGGTGACCTGTGCCCCCACTCACCCTGACCCCTCCCGCCTCTTCAGCATCCTGAAGATGTTTTCAGCAGACAAGAAGCGAGTAGAGACAGCACTGGAATCCTGCGGCCTCAATTTCAACCGGGTGAGTGGGCTGGGGGCAGAGTGGGGTGCTATGAGGAGATTTCTCTCCCTGGGTTTTCACCCCTTTTTCCTTTGTCATCAGAGTGAGTCCATTCGGCCTGATGGATTTACCTTGGAAATCTTTGAACGGTTTTTGAACAAGTTGTGTCTCCGGCCGGACATTGACAAGATCCTGCTAGAGATGTGAGCAGGGGAGGCTTCCACCCTAACCCCTGCACCCCCAGGGAAGCGTGCCTCTGCTCTGGTGCCTTCCAATGGGAGGAAGTGGAGCTACTGGTGGGTCCTGGCATGCCAGGGCTGTGCCCAAGCCCAGAGCCACGTTGCCCAGAGTGCTGTGCTAACCCCTTGCAGGAGGGGTTGCTTTCTCCAGCCCTTTTGGGGCATGGGAACCGAGGGGCTCCGAGATGTTATGGATTTGGCTTGAGCTCAGTCAGCAAGTGAGGGCTGGAGCTGAATTTGGGTCCAGGATCTGGAAGCAGTGTGGCAAGCCAAGCATGCGGGACCCTTGCGAGCCAGTGCCAGTGCTGAGTGGTTAGGAGAGCCCGGGGAAACTGAGGCCCAGAGAGCGCAATGACTTGCCCAGTCCCAAGCAATGGCTGCTGGAGCCAGGCACAAGCTTTCTGCCTTCGTCTCCCAGGGTGGGGGCTTGGAGTGATGGCCCAGGAGGCTCCAGCCTGACCGAGCTTCTCACCCACCTTCAGAGGGGCCAAGGGCAAGCCGTACCTGACGCTGGAGCAGCTCATGGACTTCATCAACCAGAAACAAAGGGACCCGAGGCTCAACGAAGTGCTCTACCCGCCCCTGCGGCCCTCCCAGGCCCGGCAGCTCATCGAGAAGTACGAACCCAACAAGCAGTTCCTGGAGCGGGGTGAGTGGGGTACAGTAGGGGGAAGGGGGTACAGCAGCGGGGGCGGCCCCTACTGACCCCACCCCGCCCCCAGATCAGATGTCCATGGAGGGCTTCAGCCGCTACCTGGGGGGCGAGGAGAATGGCATCCTGCCCCTGGAGACCCTGGACCTGAGTGCGGACATGACCCAGCCGCTGAGCTCCTACTTCATCAACTCCTCCCACAACACCTATCTCACGGGTGAGCCGGCGGCACCGGAGCGGGGATGGCCCCGTGACCTCTGGCCTTGCCCTGACTCCCTCCTTTAGGGTTGGCTGGTGCTGGGGGTGCAGGCAGGGAACAGACCACTCCCCGGGGCCTGGTTCTTCTCAGCATGGATCTTGGTGCTCTCAGGAGGCAGCATGGAGTCTGAAGGCGGGGGTGGGGGGGTGCTGGAGAGGTGGCAGGGCTAGGCGCCCCCAGGCACAGGGGCCCTCACTAGACACCTCATGGGCGAGAAGGGCTTTTTGGGGAGCTGTTGAGCAGGGGGTGGTGTCGTGACTTGGTATGTCTTTGGGAGGATGACGCTAGGTGCTCTGCGGAGATTGGCTGGGAAGCTGTTTGAGGCCTTCGGTCCCCAGGCGGAGGAGAGGGAGGCTGTTTCAAGGCAGCGGTGGCTGAGGGGGAAGGGAAGCGAGGGGCCGTGGGGTGTTGGGGATGACTGCCCCGATTCAGTCTGGTGGGCAGGGTGTGATGGGCCTTTATCAGTCAGTAGGAGGGTGCGTCCTGGGGGTCAAGCTGTCTGCTGACATTGTGGACCCCGGCTCTGCCGGCTTGAGTGGGCACCAGGGGCTGGGTGGCAAGAAGTGGGCTCTACTCTGGGGACACTGGGAAGAGATGGTGCTGGTTCCAGTAAGTTCGGGAGTCACCAGGGGCCGGCCGGATGGAACCGGGCCGCCCTGCCGCCAGGCCTGTCCCCAGCATGGCCTGATTTGCCGCAGGCCTCGGGAGGGGGGGCGGGGTGGAACCAGGCTGGCCGGGCGGCCAGTGACAGAGCCTCCCCCGCAGCCGGGCAGCTGACGGGGACCTCGTCGGTGGAGATGTACCGGCAGGCGCTGCTGTGGGGCTGCCGCTGCGTGGAGCTGGACGTGTGGAAAGGGCGTCCGCCTGAGGAGGAGCCCTTCATCACCCACGGCTTCACCATGACCACCGAGGTGCCGCTGCGTGACGTGCTGGAGGCCATCGCGGAGACTGCCTTCAAAACGTCGCCCTACCCTGTCATCCTCTCCTTTGAGAACCACGTGGACTCGTGAGTGGGCCCTGATCTGGGCCGACCCCACACCTGGGCCCCCAGGAATCTCCAGTACACGGGGGGACCCTGGCCCCCTGGAGATGGTCCTCCCGTGTCGGACTGCTCCTGTGACCTCTGACCCCGGACCTTCCACTGTCCCAGCGGGCCTCTGACCTGCCCTGTGGACCTCAGCTCTACCCCAGGAATCTCTGACCTCTGACCTCGGCCCCACAGGGCCAAGCAGCAGGCCAAGATGGCGGAGTACTGCCGCACCATCTTTGGGGACGCGTTGCTCATTGACCCCCTGGACAAGTACCCGGTATGGGGGTTCAGAGTCGGGGCGGGTGTGGGGGCGAGGGCACCGCAGTGGGCTCTAACTTGTGCATGTCTGCCAGCTGGCCCCGGGCGTCCCCCTGCCCAGCCCCCAGGACCTGATGGGCCGAATCCTGGTGAAGAACAAGAAGCGGCACCGGCCCAGCTCCAGCGTCCCTGACAGCTCCGTGCGCAAGAGGCCTCTAGAGCAGAGCAACTCCGCCCTGAGCGAGAGCTCCGCGGCCACCGAGCCCTCCTCCCCCCAGCTGGGTAGGGCAGACCTGGCCCCCCCGTCCGAGCCCAGGCCCCCGGGAAGCTCCTGGGCCCGACCCCACCTCCCTCCTCGCTGAGCCCCTCACCGCCTCTTAGCATAGGGGACCCCTGACCCAGGCACTCACCTCTCTGAATTAAACCCCTGTTGGATGTGGTTAACCCCTGACCTCTCAACCTCGACCTTCCACCTCACAGACCAAGTACTCAACCAAGTACAATCTGAATTCTGAATGAGGACCTCAGCGAGCCACGTCCTCACACTTTCACCTCTCAGACTTGTGACCCCTGCCCTGTGGCCCCCGCTGAGTCTGCCCACCGACTGGTCATAGTTTCAGCTAACCTTGACCTCTCACTTCATTGTGGCCCCTCTACCACCTGACCCCCACTTGCACACCTCACTGGGTGTGGCTCTGGCTCACCCCTGACCTGCAGCTACGCCAAGTCATCCTTAACCCCCACTGTCAAGACGGGTGGACCGTGATTCTTGCCTCTTCCACTACTGAACTACCTGGCTACCTCCCTGATGGGCATAACTCTGGGCCCTGAACTTTGACCTGAAGCCCCTCTGCACTACCACTGGGTTTAATACCACCCAGCCATTGGCCTCTGCTCTCTCCCTCAGCCACACTGCCCTAGGAATCCTCCCCAAAGTCACCACACACACTGGGGCAGCCCCTCTTCCTGAGGTCCATGTGCCCTGATCCCCAACCCGTGGCCCTGTTTTCTACAGGGTCTCCCAGCTCTGACAGCTGCACAGGCCTGAGCAACGGGGAGGAGGTGGGCCTTGAGAAGCCCAGCCTGGAGCTTCAGAAGTCTCTGGGGGAAGAAGGGCTGCTGCAGGGCCCTGATGTTCTTGGACCTGCTGACCGTGAGGATGAGGAAGAAGATGAGGAAGAGGAGGAACAGTCAGACCCTAAAAAGCCAACCACGGATGAGGTCAGGCCTGCAGGCAGGAACTGGGGGGGCCAGCATGCATTCCTTTCCCCAGCATTTGCTGAACACCTGCATGCCAGGCACACACTGGGGGTGGGGTCTGACAACAGTCAGATGTTATCTCTGTCTACCTGCTGTTCAGAGGGTGTGTCTTAGCCGGAAGGGGGTAACTTAGACAAACAGGGATTATGTTCATGACGAGGTGAGGAAGGCGAGAGGGTTCAGATCTGGGAGGAGGGTGGGAGGGCTGACCTGGATGGCGAGTTGGTGGGGCAGACCTGAGACAGTGGAATCGCATGTGCAAAGGCCCCGTGGGAGCAGCATCACAGGTGTTGAGATCAAGGCTCTTGTGAGCCACCCAGAGGAGAGGGCAAGGTGGGTCTTGCAACATGACTGGAGATGGGGGTGAAGATTGAGCTCATCTGCACATGAGCAAGTGGACTCTGGGGCTGGGGGAGGAGTTCCAGCTCCCATGAGTCAGGCAGGCAGACAGGAGAGTGGGACCCAGGGCGTATGGCTGAGGCCCCCAGAGAGATGCAGATGGGCACAGCCCAATAGGCTGTGCAGGGGCTGGGCCCTCCCTGACAGCACACGGGTAGTGTGGCTGCAGGCGGGGGAGAGGCAGAGGTTGCGGGGACAGCTCTTGTCCATGGAGCAAGCACCACTGACCCGGCATTTGGGGGCCACAGGGCACTGCCAGCAGCGAGGTCAATGCCACAGAGGAAATGTCGACACTCGTCAACTACATTGAGCCAGTCAAGTTCAAGTCCTTTGAGGCTGCTCGAAGTGAGTTGGGTCCCAGATAGTAAGGGTGGGAGCCAACTCAGCCCTGCCAGGCCTGACCCCCTCCTGTCCCCTGCCCCCCCACCCCCAGAGAGGAACAAGTGCTTCGAGATGTCATCCTTCGTGGAGACCAAGGCCATGGAGCAACTGACTAAGAGCCCCATGGAGTTTGTGGAGTATCCTTCCGTGTTGTGGGGCCCGTGGTCAGAGTGGGGGTGCTTGCAGGCCAGCTCAGATGTTCTTTTTTTTTTTTTAAGATTATTTATTTATACAAGCACTGGGTACAGTCAGAAGCACGGGAGGGTGAGAGGACTCACCAGAGCCAGAGCGGAGAGCAGAACAGGCAGACTGAGGGCAGCAGCGGGCGGCAGGAGAGGTCTGCGCGCCATGTGGGACCCTCGCCTGGCGGCTGGGGAATGAACCAGTGCTGCAGAGGCTGCGGGCAGCTTCGCAACCCAGCGCTCAACCGCTGCGCCACCAGGGAGGCCCCAGCTCAGATGTTCTGACTCCCACTTAGGCCATCTGCTCAGGGTCCGGGCTCTCCAGCACCCTGGGATGCGCGTGGGCCTGGGAGACCTCACAGGGCCTGGGCTGAGAAGCGGGATTCCAGAGGGGGCCCTTGAGCAAAGGTGGGGAGGTGGAATCTGGGGTGCCAGAGCAAGTCCAGGGCGCTGGCCCAGGCACATGTGGGCCCTGACTGTCAACCTCAGATACAACAAGCAGCAGCTCAGCCGCATCTACCCCAAGGGCACCCGCGTGGACTCATCCAACTACATGCCCCAGCTCTTCTGGAACGTGGGCTGTCAGCTCGTTGCGCTCAACTTCCAGACCTTGGGTGCGCCCTGACCCAACTCCACCCTTGACCCCCGGCGCCCACGCTCACTGACTTCTGACCGATGACCCTGCTGGTCCTGCCGGAATGACCTCTGACTTTCTAACCTCAGTTCCCCAAACCAAACCAAGACCTGGGCTAACGACCCCACCTGTGACCTTGGCTGAGCCTGGGCCCTCCTCGTCCCGCCTTTCCTCACCCTGGGCCCCACCCCTGGACCCAGACTCCATCTGCCCCCCGCCCCCGGCCCGTGATCCCTAGTGCCCCTCTGCCTGGCGCTGCCCTGCCTGAGCCCCGACCCACTGGACGTGCTGACCTTGTGTGCCCTGCCGTGTCGCCCTAGACGTGCCCATGCAGCTCAACGCGGGCGTGTTTGAGTACAATGGACGCAGCGGCTACCTGCTCAAGCCGGAGTTCATGCGGCGGCCCGACAAGTCCTTCGACCCCTTCACCGAGGTCATCGTGGACGGCATCGTGGCCAACGCCTTGCGGGTCAAGGTGGGGCCGGGGAGGGCTCGGGCAGGGGCCCCAGAGCGGGGCTCGGCGCCGCCTCACCCTCCCGGCCCCCCAGGTGATCTCGGGGCAGTTCCTGTCCGACAGGAAGGTGGGCATCTACGTGGAGGTGGACATGTTCGGCCTCCCGGTCGACACCCGGCGCCGGTACCGCACTCGGACCTCCCAGGGCAACTCCTTCAACCCTGTGTGGGATGAGGAGCCCTTCGACTTCCCCAAGGTGAGCCCGGCGCCCGCCCCGCCCTGGCTCTCCCGGGTGAGCAGGGAGCAGGCCCACGGGTGACAGCCGGGGGCTAAAAGGCGGGGGTGCTGAGGGTCGTCCAGGCTGGGCCTGTCACCCCAGGCCCAGCCCAGGTCCTGCATGTCCCATGGTCGGGCTCGGGCTCCCTGTGGGTGAGCGAGGACGGGAGGACCAGCCGCAGGCCGCGGGCTCGGCGACTGGTCACCCGTCGGGTCAGCTTGTGTGGGCGTCGGTGCTGTGTGCTGGCCTGACGGCTGGGTCGGCTGTGCCATGGCGGCCATACCCGTCAGGGTCTGCCCAGGGCTCAGCTCCGTCTGTGCCCCTCTCAGGTGGTGCTGCCCACACTGGCCTCACTGCGCATCGCAGCCTTTGAGGAGGGGGGCAAGTTCGTGGGGCACCGAATCCTGCCCGTCTCTGCCATCCGCTCAGGTGAGGCCATGTGGCCCTGGGCAGATTGGGGGCAGCAGTGGGGGGCTGGAGCCTCCTGATCACCTTGTCCCCCCCCGCCCCCGCCTCCCAGGGTACCACTACATCTGCCTGCGGAACGAGGCCAACCAGCCGCTGTGCCTGCCGGCCCTGCTCATCTATACCGAGGCATCCGACTACATCCCCGATGACCACCAGGGTGAGCTGGGTGGCAGGAGGACCCTGCCTGGAGGCTGAGGGGCAAGGGTGTCTCGGGGGCTGGGCACTGCTACCTGGGTGACCCCAATTGAGAGTGGCACATAGACCTGCGGTGGGTTCTGTGGTCCCTCTGCGACTCCAGAGCTGGGGGGCGGGTGTAGCCCCAGTGTGCCGTCTCCAAGACCCTTGTCCCTGCCCCCGCCAGACTACGCTGAGGCCCTGATCAACCCCATCAAGCACGTCAGCCTGATGGACCAGAGGGCCAATCAGCTGGCCGCCCTTATTGGGGAGAATGAGGTAAGCTGGGATGGGGCAGGCTGCGGGGGTGCCCGCAGTCACACCCCTGCCCACTAGCGGTTGCCTCCTTTCCTGAGTGGACTGCCCAGGGCGTCACTGCAAAGTCCAGCCCTTCCTTCTTTTGGGGAAGCTTATTCTAACCCTTTCTTCTCTCACCCAAACCCAAAATAAAACCAAGTGAACGCTGAACGCCAACTCTGCCAGGCTGGCATGGGTGAGCGCTTTTCACCTCCTTGCTTCATGTAACCCTTCTAGCTCCTGCGTCTGCCCTGGTGCAGAGATGGAGACGCAGAGCCGCCGGCCCGGGCCCCCAGCCCTGGGCTCTGCCTCCAGCACCGGCCCGGTGGCCTTGGTGTCTCTCCACCTCTGCCCGTGAGAGGTTTTCAGGCCTGAGCTGGAGTTCCTCCAGCTGCAGGCAGGATCAAAGCGGGGTGTGGGCTTTTGAGGCTTTCCCTGGGCAGCCAGAAGCCACAGAAGCTTTTAAAATGTGGTCCTGGGAGCCAGGAGATGGGCGGTGGCTTCTGTGGGGAGGGGTCAGGAGCAGAGGCTCCCCTGCCCATCGAGACCCGTTCCCGAGGGGCCTGCGGCAGGCAGTGATGAGACGCAGCTCTGGGCTGCTAGTGGGAGAGGCCGGTGCCCACTCTGCGGTCACTTCCTTTGTGATTTAATCAGGAGCTAAGCAACAAGGAAGACGAGCAGCTGTGGGCAAGGGTGGAGGGGGAACTTGGACAGGGGAGGAAACTTGGGGCTGAGCCAGGCCTTCTGAGAACAATCTGGAAGTTCATGAGCATAGGCAGTGAGTTCTGGTGTCCTAGCGATGTGATCGCACCTTATCATCTCCACACCGGTGTGGAAGCGGGTTAGAAATGCCTGTTTTATTCCTATCATTCTGCACAAACTACCCCGGCAGCCCCTCATTGCACATGAGGAACCTAGAGCCCGACCGGCGGGGGATGCTGACAGGGAGCATCGGGAAGGACAGAAGGGCCTAGAGACAACAGCATTTCTGGAAAGAGCATTCTGCTTCCGCCCCACAGGATCAGGCTGGCCCGGAGACCTGCCAGGCGACCGAGTCTCAACAGCTGGGGTCCCAGCTATGCCCCAATCCTGCGCCCAGCACGCCGGATGCCTCTCCCCGCCGGCCCCCGTGCACTGTCACCTCCCCCAGCAGTCCCTCCCTGAGCAGCCCAGGTAAGGGCTGCGTGGGCTTGGGGTGAGCCGAGGGGCAGTGCTGCTTCTCTCCTCGGTTTTCTCATTCCTGCCTCTGCTTCCAGGGCAGCGGGACGACCTCATTGCCAGCATCCTCTCAGGTAGGGGCCGGGCCTGTAAGGCGGTGTGGGACGTGTTTCCGTGGGGCGGCTGGCCCAGCCACACTCTGTTGCTCTTGCTCGCAGAGGTGGGCCCCGCCTCACTCGAGGAGCATCGCGGCCACAAGTCTCTGTTGAAGCTCCAGAGCCGGCAGGAGCGAGACCTACGGGAACTGCTCAAGAAGCACCAGCGCAAGGCTGCGGCCCTCACTCGCCGGCTGCTCGACATCCTGGCCCAGGCGCGGGCCCGGAGTGTCCAGTGAGTGTGTGCATGGGTGGGGCTCACAGGCCTCTCTGACCCCGACCCCGCCGCCTCCCAGCCCACGTCCGCGTGACCCACCCGGGCATCACCGAGAGGGGTTCTCCCCACAGAGGTAAAGAGAACGAGGAGGACGTGGGGAAGCGGTTTCTAGAGTTCCAGAAGAAACAGGTACAGACTCTGCTGGAGCTGAGGGAGGCCCAGGCAGTCACAGAGGCTGAGCGGAGGCTAGAGCACCTGAAACAGGTGAGAGGCAGGTGGCGGTGAGGGAGCACGTGCTTTCTGGACAGACCTGTCATCCACCTGTGTCACCTGTTGGCCACCTGTGTCCACAGGCTCAGCAGCGGATCAGGGAGATTGTCCACGATGCACATGCCACTCAATTAAAGAAGCTGAAGGAAACGAGCGAGAGGTGAAGGCACGGGGTCTTGTGTGCCAGAGGCGGGCGCTCCCTGGTGCCTGAAAGAGGGCAGAGCCTCCAGTCCCGCCACTGACTTATCACTCCCCCGCCCTGGCCCTCCAGGGAGAAGAAGGAGCTACAGAAGATCCTGGACAGGAAGCGCCACAACAGTATCTCGGAGGCTAAGACGAGGGAGAAACATAAGAAGGAGGTGTAAGACATGGGGGCTGGGGATCTCAGGGTGTGAGGCCAGCAAGCTGGGTGCGTGGGCACTGACCCTTCTGGCCTTGCTCCTGTGCAGGGAACTGACCGAGATTAATCGCCGGCACATCACGGAGTCAGTCAACTCCATCCGTCGGGTAAGTGAGGCCCAGGTCCCTCAGGGCCCCCCTCCCCGCCTTCAGTTTTCAAAACCCGTCTCCTCCGCACATGGCCTGGTGCTGCGGTGACCTAGAGGGGCTCCTAGACCCTTCCCCTGTAGGCACCACCTCACCTTTGCCCACACCATCTCCAAAGCCAAGTGTCACAACAGTGCCACGGCCCTGGAGGAGGCTTTGGGCCCGGGGCCTCTGCTGTAAGGTCACCTCACATGACCTAGTGACACCACCTGAGGGGCCTATGCTGTCTGACTTCGGAGCCCCGGGGGACGGGGCTGCCCTTAGAAACCCCTGGCTGAGCCCCTGCCCCCTGCAGCTGGAGGAGGCCCAGAAGCAGCGGCACGAACGCCTCCTGGCCGGGCAGCAGCAGGTCCTTCAGCAGCTGGCGGAAGAGGAGCCCAAGGTAGGCCGCGGAGGTGTGGGGCGGGGCAGGCACAGTGCCGGGCGCCGGCCTGGCCTGTGACACTTGTCCTTGTGCAGCTGCGGGCCCAGCTGGTCCGGGAGTGTGAGGAGCAGCGGGCGAGGCTGCCCCAGGAGATCCGCCGGAGCCTGCTAGGCGAGACGCCAGAGGGGCTGGGGGACGGGCCTCTAGTGGCCTGTGCCAGCAACGGTCACGCACCCGGGAGCAGCGGGCACCTGTCCGGCGCCGACTCGGAGAGCCAGGAGGAGAACACGAAGCTCTGAACTGGCTGAGCAAGAGGTGGCCGCAGGGCCAGGGCAAACACTGGGAGGAGGGCAGAGGCTAAAACACTCATTTTTTTAACTTGTTTAACACTAATCTTTTTTAACTTTTTTAAAAATCTTTTTATCTTTAGAAATTTTATTTTTTTAAACTGAGGGCCGCAGGGAGGGCGAGCGGCTAGAACACTACTTTTTTAAACTCGTTTAACACCAATCTTTTTATTTCACACTAATTTGTTTTTAAAAAAACCTTTTTATCTTTAGAAATTTTATTTTTTTAAACTGATACAAGCCCTGCGCACTGCAGTGCCCGGCAGGCCCCAGTCCTTCCCGCCTGCCGTCCTAGAGAGGGGGCTGGGTCACCGGGCCTGGTGGGGGGGCTCACCCCCCTATACCCACCACCCTGAGTGGGAGTCTTCTCCCTCGCTTCCCCGGGGAGCACACGAGTGGAAACTTCAAGCTCTGGGAAGGAGTCACAGTCTTATTCTTTGGGGAGTTTTCCCGTGAATAAAAAATTGCAGGGACCCTGTGTGCAGTGTGGTTTGGGTGGGGCAGTGCCGGAGTGGACTCTGCTCCTAGCTAGCTCTGCCACTTCTTGGGACTCGGTTTCCTCATCTATAAAATGGGTTTGTGGGGATGAGGTCAGGCCCCCAGTGAAGGGCTACTGGGTTTGAATCTTGAGACCTTGTCCGAGGTCTGCAGATAAGAAAGAGGCTGATTTTCTCACTGTGCGGTCAGAGGCCACTCTGGCCTCCCCCAGGCTTTCCTGCCTCAGCCCTTCAGCTGTGGCTCTTGTTACTCCCCCCCCCCACCCCGCCCCTTACTTTTCTCCCTGCAGGACTCGACCTCCCTTCATGGAGGCACAGGCCTCTGCTGCCTGCCCCCCACCCCCTCCTGTCTGACATGACCCAAGTGCCAGCATCTTCCCTGAGGTTCCCTGGGCCATCATGGGCAATGGACTCTGATCAGGGATGGGGTACCCAGAGGTGGAACTGGGCACCTCACAACCTGCCCACATCTGGGAATCCAGGCGCTCAGGGACAGGTGGGAGGGAGGAGGGCTGGGGGTGACCCAAGGGGAGGTTGCTGACACAGGGGCTGGGAGAAACAGCACCCCCCTCATCCCTGTGAGGGAGATGTTATTCCTGTTTTACAGGTGAGGAAACTGAGGCCCAGAACGGAAGTCACGAGTGCCAGGCCACAGCTAAGTCAAGACGCCTTGACCAGGAGGCAGGGTGGGCCTGGACCCTCTATGGTGGACTGTCTCCAGCCAGCTTGGAGGACCTACTCCAGGCCTCCACCTCCCGCCGCAGGCCATCGAGGAGTGGCAGACCCGCAGCGAGGGTGCGGCCAGGCTCTGCAGCTGGGTCAGGCTGGCACTTCTTCAAGGCCTCTCCCAGCTTCCTGGCGCTTCCAGGGCTGACCGCCTCCCTCCTCCAGAGGAAGGCAGCCTCTTATCTGGGCTTATCTCCTGCCAATTGAGTTTTCTTTCTTTGTTTTTGCTTCAGTCTCAGGCAAACACATGGGGTGGGGTAGCCCGAGACCTGGCTTGCAGAATGGGGCCTTCCCCAGGCTGGGGATCTTTGCCCAGGCTTTCCCTGCTTCTGTCTGCAGGCCTTTTCAGCCCCAAGTCTGCCCACCTCCCTGGGCGAACTCCTCAGCAAACAGCCTGTGTCTTCCCGACTCCATTTCAAAAAACACTACTTGTCCGCCTCCAGGGTCCTCAAAAGCCAGGCTAAACACTAAAGTCCTGGGTGGCACAGTCAAGCCCCTTGAAAGCCTGGCCTCTGCTGCTCCCCCATCTCCACCAAGCCCCAGTCCCCACTCGCCTCCCTGAAGTCCTCCCTTTCTCCAGCCTGAGGAAGCCGTCCTGCCACCCCCACCCCCTTCCGGGCCCCTCTGTCAGGACACCCGCAGCCGGCTGTAGCTCCAGAGAGGCCTGCTCTCCCCTTGCCAGAAAGCTTCGGACAGGCGAGGCTGTGGCGCAATTCATCTCTGTAAACCCAGGACGGAGCACTGGTCTGTCCAGAGGGGGGCGCCAATAAATCCTTCTGGAATTGAGCTGAGCTCCGCGCCCAGGTCCGGGTGAGACGCCTCTGGTTGCCCCGTGATCGCCGGTCTCGGCCTCCGCCGGGCCTCGCCGCCCCGCCCCCGCCCCCGCCAGCTCCCTGCGCGGCGCTGGCCCCGGGCCGGCCACACAGTAGCTCCTCGAAAGGACTGACCCAAATAGAACCAGTGACCCCCCCCGCCCCCGGGGCACGGCTCGCAGAGCGCGGAATTCGGGAGGCCGGTCGGGCCGAGTCCCCAGTGACCACCGCCGCGATCAGGCCTGGGGGGCCCGGCGCACCGGCTTCCCGGGGGCCGAGCAGCCGGAGCTCTGCTCGCCGCCTCGGCCGCGTCCCGGTCTGTCCGGGACGAGATCCCGCCACGCCAGTCTGTCTCCCTTGGGTGCAAAGCGGGGTCCCCACTTGATACAGCGCCAGCGCCCCCCGAGCCCACGGGGCCGCAAGCGACGGACAGCGGAGACTCGGCGGCACGGACGCGGCCTTTATTCGCCATCAGCCCCAAGCGGCGGCCGCGGCCGCGCCGCGGAGGCGAGGGGCCGGGAGAAGGCAGGGCTTCCCGGTGAACCGGGGGTCGTCCAGGCTCCAAGCTTGGCGCAGGCGCCTTGGGGCGGCCTCGGCAGGGGGCGGGACCCCGAAGCCACTTCCGGCGGCGACGGGCTGCAACGTCAAAGCTTCCGACGGGGCCCCGCCTCCGCGGCCCGGCGCGCGCCGGAAGAGAATGGGGCTCTGGGTCAGACCGCCTCCTTCCGGACACGACAAGACGCTTTGAGGGAGACTTCCGCCCGCGCTCAAGATGGCCGCCGCGAGGCCCGGGGAGTTTCGGGAAGTAGGCCGTTAGGTCACTGGGAGGGGGCGGCGCCTCCTCGCCCCAAGTTCCGATCCCACCAGGACTGAATGATACGCGTCCAGCTGGGGCTTTGCCGCATCTGCGTCGCGGTGCCCGCGCTCTTCGGACGAGGAAGTCCCTTCGGGGTGGGAGGAGGAAAGGGTTGAGTGAGTCGCCGCGTCCTGTCAGGTCCTTCAAGTTCCGGAATCCCCCCGCTAAGTGAGCTCCCGGGGAAGCTCAAGGCCGCGGCTCCCAGAGGGGGCGCCTGGGCGTGGGGCTCTGGGCGTGGAGCCCAGAAACTGGGGGCGGGGGCACCCAGGACCCTGCGTGTTGGTGCCAGAACCAGAAATGTAGCACCTGGGAAATGGGCTGCAATTCAAGAATGAAAAGAAATGGTTTGAAATCGAGGCCAAGAAACTCGGGACGCCCGGAAGGGGCGGCCGGGAGAACTTACACTAGCGGGCCTCGCGCTCCGTGGATTTGGGGACCCCAAGAGCTTTGACCTGGCGTGGGAGCTGGACTACAGGTCCCGGCATGCCCTGGGCCACCGAAGGGAGAGAGTGCAGGACTACAGGTCCCGGCATGCCCTGGGCCTCGCGGGGGCCGGCCAGGGCAGGGAGCTGGGAGTGCGGTCGTGTAGACCCAGGGCTGCAGCTTCCGGTCCCCCGGGCCCCGCTCACCTGGAAGGATCCCTGAAACTCGTCGCTCATCCTCCGGAGCTCGCGGCCGTAACGCTGTGCAGCCCAGAGGTTGGGGGGCGCTGAGCGCGAGCGGCCCCGGAAGGGACTGAGTTCTTCCTCCTCCGTCCCTTCATCCTCCTGGGTCGCGGTGGGGTAGGAACTGTGGCGACTCCGAGTCTCCACTGCTCCGGCGTCTGCAGAGAGTCGGGGGATGAAGCTCAACTCCTGTGCCGCCCGCCCTTAGCCCGCTGACTTTTTGCCCACACCACAGGCTACCGCTCAGAGTCCCTCAAGGCTTGTTGGAATCCAGAGTCCAGCGATTATCCGCATCGCTGTCCTTGTCCAGCCTCAGCCTTGCTGCCAGTGACTGTGTAAAGGTCACACAACACAGGGAGTGTGCTTTGTAAGCTGAAAGTGCACCGTGGTCATTATTCAGAGAAGCGCGTCTCTGAGCTCCCAGTTTGTCTGACCTGTATTCTATGAGCCGTCGTCACCCCCAATCCTACCAACCCCATCGCCATATCCAAGCCAACAAAGACCTAGACCCATGCCCAAGAGCACAAGCCAGAGTTAAGTCACAGAGTGAAAGACAGACCTGGAGCAAGTGCAAGGGATAAGCTCACAGTCCATGGCCAGGCTTGTCTTAGGGGAGGCACTTTAGAGGAAGGAAGAGTTAGGCCAGGGTCTAAAGTCAGAGTGAGAGTGTTTTGTCCTGCCTAGAGGGCCTTCTGCAAAGCCCTGAGGCTCCTGGGGCTGCAGCCCTCCTGGGGTCCCAGCTCACAACACAGGGCTGAGAAAGCTAAGGAGGGGAGTGAGAACTGCACCCAGAAGGGCCTGAGCTAGAGGGTGCGATCAACTGGCTGTTATGAGTGGCACCAAAGGCCAGGCCTAACGTCAGGGAGCGATGCCATAGGCCTTTGAGGAGCCAGGTGACAGTGAGAATAGGCAGCTAAACCAGCAGTCTGGACTGGAAATCAGGGCTGGAGGAGCTAGGAGGAGGGTGTCCCAAGAAGAGCAGGCCTGCTGTGGAGCGTGGGCAGTGGCATGGCTTGGTAGCTACGTGGGCCCCACCTCAACCATGCTCCTGTTCTGTGACCACCCACCCCCCACCTGCCCCCGGGGCCACTGTGAGGCAAGGAAAGCACTAGCTTCTGCGCTTTTCACACTGTGGAGGCCCCAGCTTCCCAGTGAACAGACACCAAGTTCACCCTAATTTACTGCTGATGAAACGGAGAGAGGAGGAGGTAGGGAGTGCCTGAAGTCAGGTGGCTGGCGCATCCTGCCTGGCCACTTAGGTGCTCAGGAAATGTCCACTTTCTTCTCAAGGCGCTAAATGCCCTCACAACCACTGCACATGACAGGCGCGAGGCTCAAGAGCTGGAAGTGGCTTGCAGGTGGGCCATGGTCTGGGCACTGCCCCTTCGCCCAGGATTCAGAACCTGGCTGAAAGTGCTACATCCTCACCACATCCTGCTGTCCCCATTTTACAGAGGAGAAAATGAAGGCACCGGGAAGGTAAGTGACAGCTATGTCACACAGCTAATAGGTGGCAGAGCTGGGATCCGAGCCTAACAGCCTTGTTCCAGGGACTGTGCTTGACTTGCACGCCCCAGGCTCCCTCTGCAGCACTGCGGGCAACTCTGAGGGCTCAGGGTGGGGAAGGCACCTCTGGGCTTCCCCTAGTGCCAGCTCCACTGGGAGCCCATCCATGGGGTGGGGGTTTTCATCCACATCCAAGCTACGGGTTTAGCAGTGCCAAGGCAGCCTCCATCACAGTGATACCCACTTGTGCAAACTGGCCTTAAAATGTTCTGTTTACTGGAAAACCCTGAGTGCACCTTTGTGAACTCCCTGGGGGAAGGAGACAGTCTGTCAGGAACCATCATCCCACACTCAATCAGTCTTACCCATAGGCCCCTGTGCAGGGCATAGGCTACTTCTCTGGTGGAGAAGGTAATCTGGGCTCTTCTCCTGGGAGACCATAGGTCTCCATTCTCTTGAGAACCACTCTCTTGAGAACCTGGCAAGAGGCTGGAGTAGAGAAATGGGAGGGTCCTAGAACTGGAGGTAACCACTCCCCCTCCCCCCTATGCCAGCAAAGCTTTAAGTTCTTTACCCACTGGCTTCTGGGTAAGAGGGTGCGGTTGGACACATCCACATTCCTGGATCTTGGTGGACAGCTGCCCTGCCCTAGGCAGGCATGTTGCCTGTCAGCCTCAGACACCTGCAGGCCCTGCCTGGACTTCCCATGAACCCTCCAGCCATCTGAGGTACAAAAGCCCCTTCCATTGTAAGGGAAATTAGAAAACATTAAAAGTGGAGGCTGGCATCTGCTCCACTGTGTTCTACAAATGGCCAGAGAGTAGATTCTGGGGTCATCAAAGGCCATAGTCTCTGCCCGACTCCTGCACCCCTGTGAGGTGGGACTAATTCTATTCCCATTTTACAAGTAAGAAAACTAAGGCAGGAGCCTCTCTGGTGGTGCAGAGATAAAGTCTCAGTGCTATCAAGCTATTGGCAGCCACTTCGGCCTGAGTTCCATCCCCGGCCAGGGAGCTGACCCACATGACACAGCAGACCTCTCCTGTCTTCCGGCTGCTCCCCTCAGCAGTGTACTCAGTAGATCCGCCTGTTCTGCTCCCCACTCTGTCTCTAGTGAATCCTTTCACACGACCCCCCGCACCTCTGGCCTACAGCTCAGTTCTTGTATGCATAAATAAATAAATCTTTAGGGGGAAAAAAACAAAATTAAGTCAAGCAGATTAAGCTGCCTCTGAATCCTTGGTTGGACCAGAGCCTAGAGCCCATGGCTTCCCCAGCTAGGAGCCCCGCCTTCCCTCCCCACCATCACACTCCCACAGCTCCCCTGCACCTGCCTGACCCAGGCCCTGGCTTCTCCCTGGAGCTGGCCCAGCCCACAAAGGGGCTGCAGTCCCTGCTCTGGGAGACACTAATTGGCAGGCAGGGATTGAACTCGTGCTGTAGTAGCTGCAGATTGCTTCATAGTGCCGATGATGAGCCCCTTGCACCACCAGGGAGGCCCCAACCTGCCACTTTCTTCATCACCATCTTGTCTTAATTTTTCTTTTTTTAAAAGATTTATTAATGGGGCCTCCCCTGGTGGAGCAGCGGTTGAGCGCTGGGCTGCGACCTCTGTATACATATAAGAACTGGGGTACAGGCCAGAGGTGTGAGGGGTGAGCGGATTCACCAGAGAGAGAGCGGGGAACAGAACAGGCAGATCTACTGAATATACTGCTGAGGGGAGCAGCGGGTGACTCAGGAGAGCTCTGCTGCGCCATGAGGGTTGCTCCCTGGCCAGTCAGGGATCAAAGTATGTTGCGGTGGCCACAGACAGCTTCACAGGTTGCGTGTTAACTCCTTGCGCCACCAGGGAGGCCCTCTTGTCTTAATCTTTCACGGGACCTCTGTGCTCCTTGCCAGCTCTGGGCTCTCCATCCTTTGCCCCTCCTCCACCTTTCCTGCCACTGTCATTCCCATGGGTATAACTGAGACCTGGTCACCATCAGTAACACCATCCCAAACCTCCCTTGGGCTCACCTCCTTGGCACCCTGACTCTCGTGATGCTGGGTCACCTTGGGGCTCTTCTTACCACTAGGCTAGCTGACCTCCCACACCAGCCATTCTCCCGTGCATGCACCTCAACCCTACCCCTCTCTCAGGCTGGGACAGACAGCTCTGGCTAAGTCCAGCTCTGCTGCTCGCGTTGACGCTGAGCAGCCAGGGTGGCTGGAGCAAGCGCAGGCAGGCCACGTCTGCTTGAATTCACAGCCACTAAGTGGTGCCCTTCCTATGGCCTGGCATACCTCCCAGGCTCCCGGATGACCACCTCAAGCTCTCTCCTCTCTCTTCAACCCCCGGCCCTCACTCTTGACTCTGACTTGGTATCCTTTCACGGACGAATTGGAAAACCCACAAAAGAAACTTCCTGCCCCCCTTGTCTGCTGCCCTGCCCTTGGCTGAGCTACCCCGCCTCTGGGCGCCAGACCCCCGGCTCTCCTACCTGTCTAGCAAGTCTCCCCTCCTGCATCACCACTCTCCCCCTCAATCCTGGATGGCGCCCATCAGCTTATGAACTTGCTCTATTTTTTCTCTTTTATTTTTTTTTATATGAAGGCATGTTTTTTATTTGTTTGTTTGTTTGTTTATACAAGCACTGGGTACAGTCAGAAGCGCGGGAGGGTGAGAGAATTCACCAGAGCCAGAGCGGGGAGCAGAGCAGGCAGAAGGACCGAAGGACACTGCTGAGGGGAGCAGCGGGCGGCAGGAGAGGTCTGCGCGCCATGTGGGACCCTCCTCTGGTGGCCGGGGAGCAGCTGGGGATCGAACCGGCGCCGCAGAGGTCGCGGGTGGCTTCGCAACCCAGTGCTCAACCGCTGCGCCACCGGGGAGGCCCTGTTTTTTCTCTTTTAAAAGCTTAAATAAAGTCACCTTTCGGTGACTCTCCTTGGGACTTGAGCTGCCGCCTATTTCTCTGCTGCCCACTGACGGGGACAGAGCTGCCAGGAGCGGGCTTTGCTTTCTGCCTCCAAAGGTCTTCCCGTTATCCCCAGCTACTGCGGGCAGCCTTCCAGGCCTCCCTCAAACTGCTCTAGGCAATGACCGGGTTAACAGCGCCACCCCCACCCCACCTCAGAGCCTCCACCTGCTCAGGCCCTGCCTGTTCTCAGCTTCCCCCTACCTGGCTGCCCACTCCTTAGTCTCCAGAGCCCTCCCGTTTACACTGGCTCCCGCAGGCGTCCAGAACACACCACATCAGTGCCGGTAGGGCAAAGTGCAAAATCCCACCTGGACGTTTCCGCACTGCAAATGCCCACCAGTACGCCACAAAGGCACGTCTCACCTGAGCTGCCCCCAGGCGGGCTCCTGATCTTGCCCAGTCCTCTCTGTTCCTGAGCAACCCAATCCTTCTAGATGCCCAGGCCAGGTTCCTTGGAGGCCTCCTGGGCTCCTTCCCTCGTGCCCTGCTTCCAATCCATCAGCAAATCCAGCGCTCCCTTCAAAATAAACCCACAGTCCGGTAACTTGCCACCTCCACTGCCATTGCCTTGGCACAAGCCACCATCCTGCTGGCAGGTGTTTATGCAGAGCTCTCACCCGCAGCTCTGTCACTGCCTCAGGCCCTTGCAGACTAGTCTGAACACAGGGACACTGGTGATTTTGCCCGCATCAAATGCATGCCGCCGCTCAAAGCCCTCCCTTGTCTTCACCCAAAGTGACTGCTGAAGTCCTGAGGGGCCCTCAGGGCCCTGCCCAGCTGCCCCTCCCCCTCCACTCACACCCTTCCCCTCCCTCTCTCCCAGAGCCACACCTGGACCACCGTCCTGCCTCAGGGCCTTTGCATGTGCCCTGCCCTACACCTGGATCTCTTCCCACCCCTCATCCCTTCTAGTCTGCTCAAGTGTTGCTTCTTACCGAGGTTGACACTCACCACCTTAGTGGTTACCCCCTGGGCAGGGCACAGAATTTGGGATTCCAAAGAGAAAGCCTCTGTTCAGGGTTTATCTCTCCATGTGGGAGTAGAATATGGGCTCCCCAGGGACCAGGGCTTTCACCTCCTTGGGTCCCTGATGCACCCTGGCACTGGAACTGCATGTGGCCCATGGCAAGCACTTGGTACACAAAGGAGGGGAAAGGCAGACAGGTGGGGGGTGGAAAGCTGTATGGAATTGTGGAAGTTAAAATAACAACTGTGGGGGCCTCCCTGGTGGCACTATCAAGCTATCGCCAGCCACTGCAGCATGAGTTCGATCCCCAGCTGGCCAGGGAGCAACCCACACGGCATAGCAGACCTCTCCTGTCTTACCCGCTGCTCCCCTCAGCAGTTTTCTGCTCCCTGCTCTCTCGGGTGAATCACCCCTCGCACCTCTGGCTTACACACCAGTTCTTTAAATAATCTTTAAAAAAAAATCTTTAAAGAAAATAATCTTTAAAAAAAAGAATAACTGTGGCACTCAGCCTGACAGCATGGTGGGTGGGAGAGGCGAGCGGCCTTCATAAGCGTTCCTGCTCCTGAAAGTGGGGAGATGGCAGCTTAGTCTTCAGCAGGCAAGGGCATGATTTCTGGTTTCAGGTCTCTGTGGTTGTTCCCGGAGCCAAGGCTGGGGTGACTACTGGAAAGGTGCACTACTGAGAAATGGTGACTGCCCGCTGTGCCCACACTCCCACCTGGGCTCTGGGCCTCCAGGGGTGTGTATGTGTGGAGGACTGCCTCTGCTCCCCATCCCCTGCAGACCCCTTGCCTGGGAGGGCTGGCTGCCGCCGGGTGTCACCTGCCCGAGTGAGGGCTGCACTGTGTGGGTGTGAGCCGCAGGGCGGGAAAGATCATGGGAGGGGTGGCGGGAAGGCGACAGCCTGCGGCAGGGCACCTCCACTTCTCAGCTGTGCTTCCTACCAAAGGAAAGGAGCAAGTGTGACCTTAGGCAAGTCACTTCCCCTTTCTGGCGTGCTACCAGCTTGACCCTATAACAGATTAATTTCCTGAGTGTTTGCTTAGCACGTGCACTATAATTAAGTGCTTTCTACTTAGTCTTGACTAATTATCCCAACAGTCTTACAGTGGTGGTGAATAACTGCTGTTTTACAGAAGAGGAAACTGAGGCCTGGAGAGGTTAGGGACTTACAAAGCCACCCAGTGAGTATGGATACGGGCTGGGGTGCAGGGAGCCAGGGGACTAGGATCCACTGCACAGGCAGGTGGCTGGGGAGGGGCATGCCTACCTTCATAGTGGCTGCTGCCAGTCTGCTGCCCCTGTTGGTGACCAGCTACTCCCAGGAGGTCTGGGGACGTCCTCCGGTGCTGGCCCAGCTGGGCCCCTGTGGGGCTGGGGCCCAGGCCCCTATATGCAGGACTGGAGTCTTCTTCCTGCTCACTCTGCTCAAACTCTGGGATCTGGAACATGCTCTGGGCTGTGGGGGGGCAAGATGGCAGGCAGTTAGGGAACAGCTGGGGCAAACGGCAAGAGTGGGCACGCGCCCCTGGCTCCCTCCCCACCCTAAAGCCCCAGGTTCGCACTGCCTCCCGTGTTCCCATGTGCCCGCTGAGTCCGGCCCGGCGGGGAGCTCAGCCTGTCCACCCGGGCCCTCTCAGAGCCCTGGTGCTGCGGAGCCCCGCCCGCCCCGCCCGAGGAGCGGGCAACAGGTCTCACCCCAAGCCCGATCTCGAGGCCCCTGAGCCGGGCCCGAAGCCTCTCTCCAGTGCTGAGGGAGCCCGGCCCTGGTTGCTGTGGCAACGGGAACTGTCATGGTTCCGGCCCAATTAACTCTGGCAATGTCACGGGGGCGGGGCCGGGGCGGGGCCCCGCCCGCCTCGGGGCCCTTCCGTATCTCCTCGTGCCTGGGGAAAGTGTGGGAGCGGACGAGGAATTCTTTGGGGGTCCCCCCTTGGAACCTGGAGGCCAGCGTCTGCTAACAAGTCCTTCCGCCCCTCTGGGCCTGGGTTTCCATCCCTGTAAAATGGGGTACTGACACCTCTCGCAGCAGCCAGGGACCTGGTGAGCCCGGCGGCGGCTCCTGTGGGTGGACGCCGTCTGCGAAGCCCTCGCCGAGGCCCGGGCTGCGGCGCAGCTTCTCCTGCTGCCTCCGCCCCGTCGGCGCCGGGGGCCGGGTCGGGAAGTCCCGCGCCCTCCCCTCCCCGCCGTGGAAACCCCGCGCGCCCGCCTCGGGCGCCCCTCCCCGCGCCATCTCGGCGCCCTGGGGGCGAGCCAGGGGCCTCCTCCCAGCGCGGGAGGGACGGGGGGTCCCGTGCAGGCGCCCGGAGGGCCCGCGGGCTCGCTCCTGGCGGGCGGCGGGCCCGGGCGCGGGCGGCGGGCCCCGCGGGGCGGCTCGGGGGCGGGGCCGGGGGCCATCTTGACTGTGGGCGGAAGTTCCCTTCAGCGGGAGGGTGGGGGGACGTCGCGGCCGCCCCCGGCCGGGGCGCGCGATCTGGGTGTGATGGGGAAGAGCAGCATGGGAACTGGGAGCCCCCCGCACAGGCCAGGGCCGGTGGCCCCGAGCACGGTCCACCCGGGGGCCCGCGGGGCGCGGCGAGGCCCCAGCTTCTGGGCCGCCCGCCGCCTCCGGTAACCCCGGGCGCCCGCCAGCGGCGCACCTCGCGCCAATTCTCGAACGGCTCCTCGCCGGGCGCGGCGCTTGGCTGCGGAGCCCGAGTCGGACCCTGCGCAATTGGCGTAGGGACGGCGCCCGCGCAGGCGCAGGAGGGGCGGAGCGGCAGGAGCCGGGGAGCCGGAGCCCCGGGTCCCAGCGACCGGAGCCGGCTCCCCCAGCGGCGGCCTGAGGACCCGGCGGCGGCCTCCTCCCGCCCCCGACAGCTGGAGAGTAAACGCAGTGTGTGTGGGGCGTGGGGACAGCGTCCGGAATCCTGAGGACACAGGCAGAATCCCCTCCCCATCCGGATTATTGGAGGGGAGACAATCCCCCAGTTTGGGGAGGGGGAGGGCCGGGCGTTGAGCGTCCCCCCGCGGCAGCGCTGAGCCAACGGGCATCGGCCGGCTCTCCCCCTCCTGCCTGGACTACTCTGAGCGATCAAGGCCAGGGACCCCTCTCCTTCAGCCTCTACACCCCCTCACCTGCGCTCCGTGGCCTCGGGAGGAGCACCCCTGCCTCCCCTCTGCTCAGAAGAAGAAATTGTCCTTCCACGCCCCTGAGTGAGGGACCCGGGGCTGAGACCCAGGCTGCCTGTGCCCTCCAAGAGCAAGGGTCCCTCTGCTGAGCGGGGAGGGCCTGGCCAGTCACAACTTCTTCCCTCCTGAGTTCCCCACCTCTGTCTCGGAGCCTTGCAACTCCCACCCCTCCGTATTTATTTCCCTGGCCCCCTGCCAGCCCCTCCATCTCTGTCTCGGACTCAGGCCTACCTCTCTGACATGGAGAGTAACCTGTCTGGCCTGGTGCCTGCTGCTGGGCTGGTACCTGCGCTGCCGCCCGCCGTGACCCTGGGGCTGACTGCGGCCTACACCACTCTGTATGCCCTGCTTTTCTTCTCCGTCTATGCCCAGCTTTGGCTGGTACTCCTGTATGGGCACAAACGTCTCAGCTATCAGACCGTGTTCCTGGCACTCTGTCTGCTCTGGGCTGCCCTGCGTACCACCCTCTTCTCCTTCTACTTCCGAGACACCCCCCGCGCCAACCGCCTGGGACCCCTGCCCTTTTGGCTTCTCTACTGCTGCCCTGTCTGCCTGCAGTTCTTCACACTGACGCTTATGAACCTCTACTTTGCCCAGGTAACCATGGTAATGGGTAGAGGTGGGCTGTGGGGTGGCCAGTCCCCCGGGATCCCAAAGAATGATGTGCATCTCTGTTCCCAGGTGGTATTCAAGGCCAAGGCGAAGCGCCGGCCAGAGATGAGCCGAGGCTTGTAAGTGCTCGGGACACGGGTGGGTTAGTCCCCCAGGCCAGAGGCAGGGAGCAGCCCCCTGGCAGGTCTGAGGCGAGGACAGCCTAGGGAGTATTTGTGACAGAGCTTGGAAACGTTAAGCACCTGGTGCAGATGGCTGGCAGAGGCGCTGCCTACGTGAAGCTCAGTGATCATAGAAACCGTCGTAATACTGTGCGTGGGGAGGGCACCCGTGGCATCTGTGGTTGCCGGAGCGCTGGAGGCTCCCGCCTGCAGAGGCTCCAAACCGGGGTGACCTTGGGCGGCAATGTTCCTGTCATTTGAATAAGTTTATCAAGAACTTCACAGGCAGCTTTCAGTTTTGCAGCTTACCTGTCAGGCTATTCTTATCCCCATTTGAGAGATGGAGAAACTGAGGCCCAGGAAAGAGCAACCTGGTCAAGGTCACAGAGCTTGTATGAGGCAGAGCTAGGGCTTAAACCTGAATTTCTGACTCCAGGTGCAGTGTTCTTCCCACTGTACTGCAGACGTCAGTCGCCGTGTGACCTCTGTGGGCCCCGGTTTTCCTATCAGTAGAACTGAAAGGGCAGGGTTCAAACTGGATGATTTGATTGGCACAGAGTCTCCCGGGGGGAGGGAGGGGGGACGGGGAACCAGGGGCCGTTTCTGGGACTGACTGTGCTGTGGGCTGCAGGCTGGCTGTCCGAGGGGCCTTCGTGGGGGCCTCGCTGCTCTTTCTGCTGGTGAATGTGCTGTGTGCTGTGCTGTCCCGCCGGCGCCGGACACAGCCATGGGCCCTCCTGCTGGTGCGTGTGCTGGTGAGCGACTCCCTCTTTGTCATCTGTGCGCTCTCTCTTGCTGCCTGCCTCTGCCTGGTCGCCCGGCGGGCCCCCTCCACCAGCATCTACCTGGAGGCCAAGGTAGGGTGGTCCCCACGCTCTGATGCTCTGGTGTCCTTTGGAACCTTCAGGGTAGAGAGGAAGGTGGGCCTTTCCTCCCTGAGGGCACCCTGTTGTCATCTGTGCCAGGGAACCAGTGTGTGCCAGGCAGCCGCCATGGGTGGTGCCATGGTCCTGCTGTACGCTAGCCGGGCCTGCTACAACTTAGCTGCCCTGGCCTTGGCCCCCCGGAGCCGGCTGGACGCCTTTGACTATGACTGGTACAACGTCTCCGACCAGGTGGGCCTTCCATAGTAGCCGGGTTTCCTGGCCTCTCGCGGGCTTGGGCCATGTGTGGGTGCCCTATGGGCACGACTGCAGAGTGGCACAGCCCCTGCTTCCCCACAGGCGGACCTGGTGAACGACTTGGGGAACAAAGGTTACCTGGTATTCGGCCTCATCCTTTTTGTGTGGGAGCTGCTGCCGACCACCCTGCTGGTGGGCTTCTTCCGGGTGCATCGGCCCCCGCAGGACCTGGTAAGGGTCGGTGGAGAGCGGTGGACACTGGGAAGCCCTGGGCTGGGGTTGGGGTGGGGGTGCTGGGAGGCCAAGGGCCAGGAGACAGCATCGACGGCGGCTTCCTCCCCCAGAGCACCAGCCGCATCCTCAGCGGACAGGTCTTTGGCTCCCGATCCTACTTCTTCGACCGGGCCGGGCACTGCGAGGACGAGGCCTGCCCCTGGGAGCACAGCCGGGCCGAGAGCACCAGGTAGGAGCCCTGGCCCTCCCTAGTGCCCCCAGCCTCCCGGCTGCCTCCATTCTCATGAGGACCTTGAGCTGGGCCTTGCCATCCAGCCCGTTTTCCCTCTGTGCTGGGTGAGCTCCTCCCTGGTTTCCTGCTGCCAAGACCCCCACCTCTCACCCGAGACGCGCTTGGCCATTGTCTGGAGGGCTGGACTCCGGGCCCTGGAGGGCTGGGTTACTGGGCTCCGTTCAAACTTCTCCCCCTCTCCCTGCTCCTGTGAATGTGGTCCTGGTTGCTGTCGGGGACTGACCCTGTCTCTCCGCCTGCAGCATGTCGGGCAGCCTAGGCTCTGGGAGCTGGTACGGTGCCATCGGACGGGAGCCAGGCTGGTGTGGGGGCAGCCAGACGCGGACCACGCCTCTGCTCTTCTCCCAGGTGCTGGGACCAGGCAGCCACCACCACAGTCTCTACTCCACTCCACAGACGTGACCCCCTTCTCCTCTCCCCCCAGAACACAGAGACCCCAGTTCCTCCCGCCCCAGGCCCTGGGGCCAGGTTTATCTGCCGTTTCTTGCCCAGGAACCCGGGGAGCTGTGGTCACCGCCTCCCCTCCCCACCTCCTGCCAGCTCCTTGTTCCTCCTGTTATAGTGAGCTCCTGCCATCCCCTAGGATGGGGGTCTGGCTCTGGCTGCCAGATGCCCACAGCACCTTGGCATGACCTGCCACCTCTGCTTCTACATCGGAGCCAGCTACCTCTCCTGCGCCTGCCAGTCAATAAACAGTGTCTGTGCCCCGCGTCGGTCCACCTGTTTGTCAGTCGTCTCCATTCCTCGCACTGTGGCCTAGGGGCCACGGCTGATGAAACGCTGACCTTACTGGACAGGGAGAGGCAGGCGCCTGCAGTCCTCCGGTCAGGGAGACCTGGGACCACTCCAGTCCCCTCCCTACCAGCACAGTGTCTGTTCTTCCCTTAAGACTGAGTCAGGTGTCTTCCTCTGTGAAGTCTTCCAGGTCCGAGAACCATGCCCCATCCTGGGTCCCACTGCACTGTGTCAAGGTCGCCATTATGCCTCACCCCCCCGGCAAAGTGGGACTTCTGGGGACCTCTCGTCCCTGTCATCATGCCCAAACTGGCCTTCACGTCCAGGTGTGAGTCCAGTTCCGGTGGAGGAGGGGCAGGCTGGGTACTGAGCAGCCCTATCTCCCTACTGTGTGTGGATTTGGCCAGATGGGTGGGCTGCATCCACTACAACAGTCTGCCCTCCGTTGCCACCACCCTGGCAGATTTATCCTCTGTCCCCCCCTGGGTGGGCATTGTTTATCACCCGGTCTGGCTGCTGACCACATACCTCCCGGCTCCTCGGAGTCTCTGGGGCCTAATACTGAGTCTGTCCTAAAATCCTTCATGGGTGGGGCACTGGCCTCCATAGAGGGCATCCGGGGCTCAGACAACAGCTGGAAGCTGAACAATCCTGCGGGGAAAATTGTTAACATTTGTGGCTCTTGTGCATACCAGGCACTTTCTGGGCATTACAAACAGCATCTCTCTAAGGCTCAGAGCAGAACCCCCCCACCCCCAAGGAGCCCTTTCCTCATGAGTGCTGAGTCTAAGGGCCCCTGGGATCCAGGAGTGGGCCTGGGAGGTGCTGGGAGATTAGCATGGTGCCTCTTGGAAGAGGGGAGCGGCCGATGCCCTGGCCAGGGCCTGGGAGGCTCTGGGAGAGTCCCCTGACCTGTGAGGGCCTCCTATGGGTAGGGGGTAGGCCCCCAAGCAGAGGTAGGCCCCCAGGCCTTGAGTGGGCGGAGGCCCCCAAGCAGGGGATGGGCTTTGGAGACATCCAGCGGTGTAAAAAAGTGGGTCAGAGCAGAGAGGGGTGGAGTTCAGCACCTGCCCGGCTCAGGCTGGTCGGTAGGGACGCGCGGGTGGCCCCCTTCCACGCTAGGAGGGGCTTCCCAGGTGCCCAGCGCGGTGGGGGATACCGAAGTGGCAGGAGCATGACTTCCCAGATCAGGGGAGTCAGCCAAGTCCGGGGGCCCCAGACGGTCCCCCACCCCTTTGCCCGCCGAGTGAGTCCACGGGCGCGGGGATGCGGGGGCGGGCCTGGGCGGCGCTGGGCGATCCGCGCGGGGCCTGTCCCAAGAGGCGGCCGGCCGGTCCCGGCCCGGTCGGCCGGCAGAGTCGAGGCCAGACCACACGGCCACCCCTTCGGGCTCTTCCGCCCCTCATCGCCGAAGGCCCGCTGGGATTGGGGGGCTGGGCAGCCGCAGGTGAGGGGGGCGGGGGCGGGGGCGGGGCGGGGGGAGGCGGGGCGCGCGGCTGGAGGGAGGCGCGGCGCGGCAGGGGTTAAGCGCGGAAGAAGGGGGGCTTCGGGCGGCAGGAGTGGGGGGTCCCAGCCCCGCGGCCTCCCGCTCCGCCCCTGCCGCCGCCGCCGCGGCCCAGCCGGCACCGGGAGGCCGCGCGGGAGCCGGGGCTGCAGCCGCAGCCGGCGGGGCCGACAGTGAGTGCGGGGCGGGGGCGGGGGCGGGGGGCGGGCGGGCGTGGGGCGCGGCCGACTCCCCGGCAGGGGCGTGTCGGGGATCCCACCTCGCGCGCGTGGGCGCCTCCTGGAGTCGCTCGGCGGCGGCGCGTGGGGACGCGGGGAGCCGGCGGGCGGGCGGCGGGGGCGCCTGTGTCCGGGGGGCGCCCCGCGGCGGGGTGCGCGCGCGAGTGCGCGCAGACCTCGGGGCGCCGGTCCCGGGGCGCACGGTCCTGGGGGGCCGGGTGTGCCCGCGAGCGCGCGGGGGCAGCGGGTGCGCGCGGGCCGGGCGGCCGGGAGGGGCGCGGGCGCGCCTTTGTGCCCGGCGTGGGCTGCAGCTGTCCGGGGCTCCAGCCGTCCGGGGCTGCAGCCGGGCTCGCCCCTCGCCGCGCCCGCTCCTTCCCGGAGCCGCGCGCCCTGCGCCCCCCCCCCCCGCCTCGCCCGCGCGCGGCGCCGGGACCCGCCCCGGGTTCCTAGAAAGCCCGGCGGGATGCTGGGGCCTGGGAGGCTCCCCGCCCGGCCCCTCGCGGCGGGCAGGGCCGGGGAGGCGGCCCGGAAGGTGCTGCCGCAGCCGCAGCGGACGAGCCGGGACCCGCCACCTCCGCCCGCGCTCCTCGCGCCTCCGCGCCCGCCCGGCCTCCTCCGGGAAGACGCCCCCCGCGCCCCCGCCGGGCCCCCGCGCCCCCGCCGGGCCCCCCGCATTTCCTTGCTCGCCCGGCCGCTCCCTCCGCGGGCTCGGTCTCCTCCCCCGCGCCCCCTGCTCCTCACCTTCCCGGCCCCCTCTGTTCTCCCGCCCTGGAGCCCCGGACGGGGGCTGAGGGCCGGCGGTGGAGGTAAGGGGAGGTTGGAGGTGGGCGACCGGGTGTGACCCGGGACCGCGCGTCCGGCTAGGAAGGCGTGGGGGGAGCGCCGCGGGCAGTCGGGCGGGGGCTGAGGACCCTGGGGTGTGCGGGGGATGACGGGGAGGGCGGAAGGCGCAGCCGGGTATTGATCCCAGCGTCCCCGCTTCTGCCCGCAGTGACCGCAGCTCCCCAGGAGCCCCCGGCCGGGCCTCCCCAGGCGGGCGGCAGAGTTGGCCGGGCCCCTGGGCACGCCATGCGCAGCACCACACTCCTGGCCCTGCTGGCGCTGGTCCTGCTCTACTTGGTGGCTGGTGCCCTGGTGTTCCAGGTCCTGGAGCAGCCCCACGAGCAGCAGGCCCAGAGGGAGCTGGGGGAGGTACGAGAGAAGTTCCTGAGGGCCCATCCGTGTGTGAGCGACCAGGACCTGGGGGACCTCATCAAGGTGCGCAGGAGGGGAAGCTGGTGAAGCTGTTAGACCTGACCCCCCCACCCCCAAGCAATGCCTGCATGTGCTGGGGGCCGCTGTGCCCGGGTGCTGCTCCAGACCAGCTCCCCAGAGGGCAGGGTGCAAGGCGTGAGGGGTGCAGGGCAGAGGTGGGGGTCCAGGTCATTGTGTTTTCAGTCTGTGGCTGGGGCACTTGTGTCCTTGCTGGGCCTGGCCTGGACAGGGGCTCCCGGAGGTGTCTTCGGGGTGTGCTGGTGGTGAAGGAAGGAATGGATGAAGGAAGACATGAATCAGTGACTGGAGCATGAGCTCGGTTACATTTTTACAGTCTTAACTCACTGGCTTAGGATTGCCACATCAAATCCAGAAAAGCCAGTTAAATGTGAATTTCAGCTACACCATGAATACTTGTTAGATATAAATATGCCCCATGCTATTTTCTTTTTCATCATGCAATATTTTCAGGTCTAAATACGGCAGCCACCCTGGTTCCTATACTGCCTTGCAGAAGCCCAAGAACACAGTCATCACTGCCCCACCCCCACCCCCAGGGAACATGCAGTTAAACATGTGTAGCTGATTTCAGAGGGCTCCAGTGTCCCCAAAGCTTGTCCAAGCCACCAAGGATGCTAAGCACCCCTGGCCCCTCCCCTGCCCCAGGACACGACTTGTGATGTGGAAGTTCAAGGGAGGGGTCAGCTTTGGTTCAATGACTAAGGAAAGTGCCAGGCTCCAGTCCTCCCGGGCTCAGTCAAGCAAGCACCTTGGTGCTTTCTCTGATTTCTGAGTCACTATCGTGCTGGAAAAAAAAAAAAGCCCTAAGATTCAACTTTAATAAATTGATGTGTGCAGCTGCATTGACCAATGCGCTCTCTTTCCTCCTGCCTGTTCTTTTGGAGGCAGGAGCTGTGGCATGGAGGCCTCCGTGTTCCAGCCGATTCCCAAGGTGGCAGAACCCAGAGCAGAGAGGAGAGCGGGGAAGAGCCAGGGTAGAGGCAGCCTAATGTTTTCTTGGACACTTCCAGAATGCCAGGCAAGGCTCAGAGACGCCGGGTAGGAGAGTGTGTCTGGCCAGACCACAGGGCAGAGGGAGGGAGGTGTCTGACCTATTTTAATCTTCACAAAGGAATTGTGCTTTTTTCTCTTAATAAAAACAGAAGAAAAGGAAGAACAGGACCTAGAAGGATGGGTGACTGCTGCTTTATACTTTTCCACAGTCAGTCATGCAGCAAGTATGCACCTACTGTGTGCAAGGTGCTGTGCTATCCACCATAGGGAGACAGGGGAAGTGATGGTGGGGGTGGATAAGATAGGGGGGTGCATCTTCGGCGAGGGATGTCACATCTAGGAGAGGGGACAAATCTATGGACAGATTTGTCCATGGGGTGACTGAGCCATCACTGTCAGATTCAATAAAAGGCAGTTTCCCTAACTTCCTTCTTTGTTAAGCATCTGTTGTGTGCTGGACCCTGGGCCAGGTGCGGGGGGGGGGGGGGGGGGGGCGAGAAGGAGATGCCAGGGGCCTCTGGGGAGAGCTGGTAATTGAAATGAGCCTCATGAGGTGGACAGAGTTTAGAGATGTGTCACTGGGGGAAGAGACTCACAGGCAGAGGGACAGCATGGGCAAAGGCGGGAAGCTGGAGAACTCAGGATATTTTGCGAAGCCTTGGATGTAGCACGTGCCTGGTCATTCGAAGCAAAAATTAGAACACAGAGGATGGATTTTTTCCCCCAAGAAGTAAATTTATTGGAAAGCGTTACAAAATAAAAATTAAAATCACGTTAAGCCATTTCACTTCTTGGCTTTATTTAAGAAATTATTATTACAGGAAATGAGATCATCTCAGAAAACTGGGGGCAAGGCCACTGGAACTTGGGTTCGGAAACGGGAGTCCCAGGAGGGAAGACTGAAGAAAGGAGGGTCGTGACCAGGTGGAAAAGGAGCTTAGCTGCTGGCCGGGGAGTTTAGATTCTGTTCTGCAGACAGCAGGGAGCTCTGCAGGATTTTGAGCGGTTACTCAGGAAGTTCAGTGTAGAATGCCACTTGCTAATGAGAACTGTAGTCAGAGCGCAAGAAGGTGGTTCAAGATCCCCCCACCCCACGAACTTCATGGTTAGGCTCTGTGCTCCTTGGAGAAGGGCCCCTCTGCACCCCCTCCTCATGATGCTCTGTTACCTACCGCTGGTGGCCGCTACTCCAGAAACACGGACCCCAGCCAGCCAGGGAGGGACCTGCCGCTGGCAAGAGAGGCAGACATGGGCGTTGCATGCTGGTGGTCAGTGCACTGCCCCTCTGCATTGCAGCGAAGGCTCTGGCTTGGATTTCAGCAGGGCTGGCGGGGGTTTGTGTTTCCGCAGACGGCCTAGCATCGGCTATGTGAACTCTCCTGGAAGGAAGGTCTCTAACTTTCCTCAGATTTGCTAATGCAAGGGGCTCTAACCAGCTCCTGTAGGAACAATGGGAGTGGGGTCTGCAGAAAGCTGGGTTCGCTCACTCCATGGGGACTGGTTGAACAACCAGCAGGGCTAACTTTGTTGTGAGTGCTTTACCTCTTCGCAACAAGTGGGTGAGGTGGGTGCTGCTATCGTCGGGCCCACCTGGCAGATGTAGAAATGGAGGCTCATGGAGCTCATGGAACAACGTGCCCAAGTTCACAGTGCACCAAAATTTGAACCCAGGCAGTCTGGCCCCAGAGTCCGTGCTCCGGAGGGCTCTCACGCTGGAAGTGTGTTGTGTGAAATTAGAGCGCCAGTAACTCAAATGTCTCTGAAACAATGGATGGCGAACACAATTGGGCCACCCAGTTTACAATGGTTTGCCTTTAAGGACTGGAGACTAGAGGGAAGGGACCGGCCCGGAGGGTCAGGGAGGTGAACATCCTGGACACTGGAGGGCCAGGGGCTTGGTCAGGGGCTTGGCCAGGGCAGGCGGGAAGGACTGAGATTCCTCCTTCTGCGCCTTGTCCTGCAGGCGGTGGCTGACGCCCTGGGAGGGGGTGCCAACCCTGAATCCAACTCCACCAGTAACAGCAACCACTCAGCCTGGGACTTGGGCAGCGCCTTCTTTTTCTCTGGCACCATCATCACCACCATCGGTGGGGGCGGGGACGGGTCATGTGGAGGGGGGCGAGGGGGGCTGGGCTTTCTCACAGGGAAGGCGCAGGGGGAGGTAGGGGGTGCCAGGTAGCCTCTAGACCTCCTGCGTGTTCCCTCTGCCCAGGCTATGGCAATGCAGCCCTGCGCACGGATGCTGGGCGTCTCTTCTGCATCTTTTATGCCCTGGTGGGGATCCCGCTGTTCGGGATCCTGCTGGCAGGGGTCGGAGACCGGCTGGGCTCCTCCCTGCGCCGTGGCATAGGTCACATCGAAGCCATCTTCCTGGTGAGCTGCTCCTCCCATGGCGCACCCCAGCCTCGGGCTGGAGATACCCTCCCTGCCTCCCTGCGGAGCTCAGACGCCTGGAGGAGGGGTGTGGGGTATGAGAGCGGAGGTTTTGGCGACTCCGCCCTCCTTCTCCCTGCAGAAGTGGCACGTGCCCCCGGGGCTGGTTCGGATACTTTCTGCGGTGCTCTTCCTGCTGGTCGGCTGCCTGCTCTTTGTCCTCACGCCCACGTTCGTGTTCTGCTATATGGAAGGCTGGAGCAAACTGGAAGCCATCTATTTCGTCATAGTGACGCTCACCACGGTGGGCTTCGGGGACTATGTGGCCGGTGAGGCCACCTTTTTTTGTGCTGCACTTCCCTACCCACTGGATTCCTGCCCGGGGGCTCTGCACTCTGGCTTTCCCTTCCAAATTCTACGTGACCTCTGTGTGATCGCACCTCCCAATCTACTCTCTAATGCACCCTCACATCTTTGCACGGATGCAACACCTCATGCACGCATACATTCGTGCATGACTGCACCCCTGTGTGTGCTCACACCTATTAAGTGCAGCTTGCACATGCTTACTTCTTGCACGAGAGCAGTCCCAACTGCATGCTCTTTTCTTGCACAACTTCAAGCATGTGTATGTACTCACCTTCTTGTACTCACATACTAGCACACACCCATAGCCCCGGTGAGAGCAGGTCCTCCCAAGGAGCTGGAAGGAGGTTCCGTGAACCGGCGGCTCACACCTCCCACACTTGCCCCACAACCCACCTCTTTCTGCCCTCCCCGGTGGTAACCCAGGCGCCAGTCCCAACCAGAAATCTGCAGCCTACCAGCCACTGGTGTGGTTCTGGATCCTGCTTGGCCTGGCCTACTTCGCCTCGGTGCTCACCACCATTGGGAACTGGCTCCGAGTAGTGTCCCGCCGCACCCGGGCAGAGGTAGGTGGGTCTGGGTGCTGTGCCTGCCGAGGGGTGGCTGTCCCGCTGCACCTCACAACAGCTTGAAGAGCCTGCCTCCCTTCCAGAGCGTGGGCTCCTCCAGGCAGGGCCTGAGTGTGCCCCAGTGTGTCCCGGGCCTGGGGCAAAGAGGTAAAACCCTGGCTGGCAGGTGGCTCATCTCTGCTATCAAGGGCAGGGTTGCCATATTTAGCCCATAAAAGTGCAGGAAGTCCATTAAATGTGAATAGCAGATAAATAGCAACCGATATTTTCATATGAGTATGTCACAGATGTTCCACGGGACATGCCTATGCTTCGCTTTTATTGGTTATTTATCTGAAATTCAACTTTTAACTGGGCGAACTGTAGTGTGTGGCGCTGGAGGGAAGCGGGCAGCGTGCAGGCGCCAAGCTCTCCGCCGCACCAAGGGCGAGTGGAAATCACACTGGGACTTTCTAGAAAGGAGGACAGGAGGGTGCGTTGGTGCTGAGGGATCAGGAAAGCGCGTGCGACAGGGACGTGAGCCTTCACCCTCCCGCGGCCGAGGCGAGGGAGAGGACCGGGCCGGGGTAGGCCAGCCGGGGTCGCGGAGGGGCCGGGGCGCGTGCGGAGCCCCGGGTGAGGCTGTCTTCCCTCTCGGTGCAGGTGGGCGGCCTCACGGCCCAGGCCGCCAGCTGGACGGGCACGGTCACGGCGCGGGTGACCCAGCGGGTGGGCCCCGCCGCGCCCCCGCCCCCGGAGAAGGAGCGACCCCTCCTGCCGCCGCCGCGCCCCGCGCAGCCCTCGGGCGGGCCCGGCTCCCCCGAGCCCCCGGGGAAGGAGAAGGCCGAGCCGCCCTCGCCGCCCACGGCCTCGGCGCTGGATTACCCCAGCGAGAACCTGGCCTTCATCGACGAGTCCTCGGACACGCAGAGCGAGCGCAGCTGCGCCCTGCCTCGCGCCCCGCGGGGCCGCCGCCGGCCCCCCAACCCCCCCAAGAAGCCCGCGCGCCCTCGGGGCAAGGGCGCGGCCGCCTGATGGCTGCACCCCCGGCCCGCCCGGGGCTCGCCAGGCCCGGTGCTCGCCCCTCCCCGGCATGCTCTGCTCGTTTCTCCAAGACCCTCCCCGGACCCGAGCGACGCCCCGCAGGGAGGCGCCGGGCTCGTCGGCCACCCCGGGCCTTTCCTCACTCCGTCCCCCCCCCAGGCCCCCGCGGCTCTTTGTTTCGCTGTCCCGGCTGGGCCTGTCCCCCCCACACTCACGACTGTGCCTCAAAGCCCCCCAATAAAGGAAATCGGCCCGCACCGCTGCGGACGGCGGGCTCAGGAGCCAGTGCCTGGTGGGGTGCGGGCGGCGGGCCCCCCGGGCTCAGCGCCGTCCAGGGGGGGCCCTCTGGCCATCTCTGAAGTTACCTGGAGGGTCGGGCACAGAAATGGGCAAGATGGGCTGTGAGTCTTCACCCCAGCACAGCTCTCAGGGGCGCGAGGGGACTGCGAGCGAGCGTGGCAGTGAACGGCCCCGGCGAGAGACCCCCCACCCCCACCCCCTTCACCGAAGGGAAGGAGACCTGCCCCTCCCCCCCTGGAGCGAGACTCCTCCTCCCCACCCCGAGGCCCGGCGGCGACTGGGTCGGTTGGGACAGAACCATGGGGGAGAAAAAGCCTCTGAATGTAAGACCCCTTCCCAGGCCCCTCACCCCGCCACCCACCCAGGCTGATGCCGGGCCCCGCCTGGGCCCCTGACCCTCGTCCCGGGGCAGCCTCGGCTCCCGGCAGCTCCCAACAGGCCTCGCCCCGACGGACACGCACCGCCTCGCAGGGCTCAGGACCCCGAGACCTCAGGGCCCCGCCTGCTCCTCCCTCCCTCCCCTCCCCCGCGGCCCGCGACCCTCGACGCCCCGCCTTGTTTGTGGCCCGCAGCCTTCGCCCAGGTCCCGCAGGGGCGCCCGCAGCGATGTGAGCGAGATCGGGGACATCCGCCATCTGTGGACCACGGCCACCCTGTCGCAGTCGAAGCTGGTCACGCCGCTGGCCAACGTCTGCGAGCTCTCCGACATGGAGTGCGTTAGCATCGGGAGCAAGACCTACACCGCGAGGAGGGCCGAGCACGACTCGGACCTCGGCTGGGAAGAGTCCGATTACGGGGTGGACAAGGACAGCTTCAAGCCCGACCTGGACGAGCAGACCTCGCTGAAACTGGCTCTGGACCGCGGCAGCTACCTGGGAAGCTTCCGTTTGGAGGGGGACGAGTCCACCGGTCAGTGTGGCCTCACCGGGCTCGGGCGTCCACAGGGCAGGGGGCTGGCCGGGGCCTCAGTTTTTATTGCTGGAAAATGAGGAGAAGCTGCAGGACCTCAAGCTTCTGGGAGTCCCTGGGAGGTGGGGCTGCGCGGGCCAGGCTAACCGTTCACGCTTGGCCTGCGGCAGCCACCCTCGGAGCGCCCCCTGCCCGCGGCCTCGGGAAGGCCCGTGCGCGTGGCTCGCGGGGTTCGGGGGAGACTGGCGCGGCGCGACCGGTGCTTTTAATGGACTCTCCGGGACGCGGCAGAGGAGGGGTTAATTCCTCGTCTGGGGAAGGTGCCTGAAGCGAGGTCGGCCTTTCATCCAGTTAGTTGTTGATGGCAGTTTTTGGAACCTGCTGGGTAATGGGCACTGTTGGGGATTTGCATCCCTCTCCACTCAGCAGCCCTGGGCGAATTAGAACCCATAACAATAGAACCACTGCAATTTATTGAGCGCTTACTGTCTGCCAGGCACTGGGCTTCCCTTGCATGCTCACCTTTAACTTTATAGCCTCTGTAAGGGATCATCCTTCCTCTTTCATTTTAGAGAGACAGTCACTGGCTCTAAGTCTCACATGGGGTGCGGGGGGCAGTCAGAGCTGGAACGCCCGTGGGTGGGACAATAAAGCCCAGGGCTGTGCACCACTGACCATTCCTCCACGACGTGGCCTACTCATACATCTCCTCTGTGCCGGGCAAGACCCAGCTGCTACTACAGATGACTGATCCCCTCTTTTCTCTCCTCCCAGGAAAGTCTTCCTCAGGATCATTAAGCAGCAACTTGAAGCAGAAACCCCATCAAGCCTACTGGATGGAGCAGCAGAACAGGGTTGGAGGCACCAGGAAGACCGGGGATTTTAGTGGGTGGGGGGTGGGCAAGTGATAGGGCACAGGGGTGGAAGTTGGTTGGGGGTCTTGAGGCTGGAGGGAGCAGGTGGGACATTTCAGCAAGGGGCAGAGCTGAGGTCCCCTGGACATTGGAACCTCTTTCTGCCTTCCCAGCTGCCGCTGCCCCTATTGGAACTCATGGAGAGCGAAGCTCTGGAAATCCTTACCAAAGCCCTCCGGAGTGAGTCCCTCCCCAACTCCCACAAGGTGGGGGGGGTGGTGGTTGTGCAGGGCTTGGACCTGTGGGAGTGGGGTTTCAGGATGTCTGCCTTGTCAGATTCCCTTAACACCCACAAACATTCCAGCAGCCACACAAAAAAGTAAAAAGTTGGGGGATCATGCAGGGAGGGGGTGCCACTGTGTGGGAGGAGCCTGCAGCAAATGTCAGGGGCCTGGGTTCCAACCTGAGAGCAGCCCCTCTCTAGCTGCTGTGGCTTTTCCAAGATGCTCTTCACCAGCTCAGTGGGGACGGCAGCCTTTCTGTAGCCCCCAAACTGGGTGCTGTGGGGAGCCTCTGGACAGTGGATTATTTGGGTAAAGGAGCCTCTGGACAGTGGATTATTTGGGTAAACTTCACCTGATTTGTCCTGCTTATGATATATGTGTGTGGGCTGGCAAGGCTGGGGTGTAGGGCAGGCTAATGGCTTAGACTCTGTGGCCCAGGGGGTTTCCCCTAGGATGCCAGCTACCTCTGTCCCCCTCGGGCCTGAGACATCTTCTCTAGCTTTGCCCTCATCCATCCTACCCCTCAAGACCCATCCTGCTCCTTATCCCTCACTTGGAGAACAGATCTATAACTTAACCATCTGAAGCCAAACTGGAAGGGCCCAGCATTCGCGAGATCCAAAGTTGCCCAAATTAACCCAGACCTGAGCACCCAGCGCTCTGGTCACCCCTAACATGCAGCGCCCATAGCCGCAGAGGTCACAAGCCTTTTCACTGCTGAGCAGAGATCTACCCTCCAGGCTACCGGTCAGGAATCGGCAGGGACCACGCCCTGACCCAGCAGCTGCAGCGATACATCGAGGGGCTCAAGAGGCACCGGAACAGGAGAACGCACGTCTCCGCGCGCTGAGAGCACCGCCTGGGTCTCGAGGGACCGCCCGGCTCCAGCCCCTTCCCTGTCCCGTCCCCTGACCCAAGCCCGACCCTATTCCGTGGAATTTGAGCCCTAGAGAAATGAAAGAGTCCGTGCATGGTCCGTGAGTCAGTGCGTTTCTGCCCGCGTGAGGCGGACGTCGGAGGCCCCGCCTTTCCCCATGACCTTCACTCGGTCACCGCAGTGACCTTGAGCGTTCTCCGTCCGGGCCCTATCGGTTCTGCCTTCCCAGGACGCGCAATCCAGGACTTCTTGCAGGTTCTAGGCTTCTCCTACCCGGCTCCGCGGCTGTGCGGGACACCGGGTCAGCGGTCCGCGCGTCCCGAAAGTGTTACCTTGGGGGAAGGGGACGGAGGGAGCGGGGCAGCGCCTACCCTCCAGCTGGGGCTGCTAGGCCCCGCCCCTCATGCATATGCAGATGCGAAGCCTGCCCGCCGGCCGCGCCCTCTCATTTACATATGTATGTGGTCGCCCCGGCCCGCGGCTCCGGCCACCGAGCGGCCTCGCCCCCTCCGCTCGCGCACAGCGCGCCCCGCCCCCTCCGCGCCGACGAGCGCCCTGGCCCCGCCCCTGCCGGGGCCGCTCGCGTCCCCGGCCCCGCCCCCCGGCGGCGGCGTGCGCGGGGGCGCCGCAGAGGCCGGCGCGGCGGCGGGAGCGCGGGGAGGGCCCGCCCGCGGCTCTGCCGACTCCGCCCCGCCCCGCCCGGGCGCGCCGGCGCTGCCGCCCCGCCCGCCTGATTAGCATAGGGCGCCGGGCCCCGCCCCCTGCTTTGCATGCGCGCGCCGGCCCCGCCCCCGCTGTCAGCTGGAGGAAGCGGAGTAGGAAGCGGCCGCGATGTCCTTTTGTGTCCTACAAGCCGCCGGCGGCGCCGCCGAGTGAGGGGACGCGGCGCGGCGCGGCGGCGCGGCCCGAGGAGGCGGCGGAGGAGGGGCCGCCCGCGGCCCCCGGCTCACCCCGGCGCTCCGGGCCCCGGCCCCCATGCCTGCCCGCCCGCCCGCCGGAGCCCCAGGTCCGGGCGGGGGGCGCGCCGCGGGGGTGGGCGCGGGCGGGGGCGCGGCGGGACCCGGGGCGGCGCGGGCGGGGCCGCCCCCCGGCCCTGCTCGCCCCGGGCCCCGGCGAGAGCCCGCGGCAGGGTCCGGCGGGAGCCGCGGCCAGTCCCGGCGCCGGCCGGGCCGGGCGCCGCGGCGCGGGCGCGGGTCCGGCGGGTCGGCGCGGGCGGCGGATCCGGCCCCGCGCGGCTCGACCCGCCCGCGAGCGCGCCGGGCCCGGCGGCGGGCGGAGGCTGCGGCTCGCGGGGCCGGGGTCGGGCCACGTGGGGGCGCTCGCCGGGGCGCGGCCCCCGCCTCTGGGTCAAAGGTCGCGCCCGCGGGGAGAGCTTCCTCCTCCCGGCGCCGGCCGCTTCCTCGCAACCTGGCGGGCCGGGCGGGGGAGGCGCGGCAACTTCGGGCAACTTCCCGAGGTGCGCGCAGGTCGGGGGGCGCCGCGGGGTCCGCGGCAGCGCGCGCGGAGGTGCGGGGGGCGGAGTCGCGCCGCCGCCGAGGGGCCCGCCCGGGCGTGCGGGGCGGCGGGGCCGGCGTCAGGTGTGGGGGCGCGGGGCCGTGTCCCCGCCGGGGTCCGGCGCGCGCAGGGCTGGGAGCGGCTTCGGGACCGTCAGCCTGAGCGAGACTCGCGGGGGGCGCGCCCCGGGAGGCGTGTGCGGCCCGGCGGGCGCAGGACTGGGAGCCGCGGCTGTGGGGTGTGAACACACGTGTGAGCACGTCAGCCGCCCGGGCTGGTGGCCTCTGCGCTCTTGAGTGCAGGACACCCAGGTGAGGGGGAGTCACCGGGTCCCCAACATTTGGGGAAAACTGTGGAGAAGTTTTGATCTCTGGCTGGGGATTCTGGGTGAGGTTGAAGGTCATATAGGGGCAAAGGTTACCCTGTGCCCTGGTCTGGGTGGCAGTAGAGGGTTTCCAAGCCTTGCCCAGACTCCCAAGGGGGAGACCTGCAGTCAGTTACTGGCCCTGTTCCCATGGCAACAGCTGGGGGGGCCCTCTTTATGGGCAGCCCTTTCTTGGACTCTGTCCCCCCTCTCTGGCCTTTGCTGAGCCTGGAACCCTGGCCCCAGGCCTGGGGTTGGGCAACCAGGGTGGTAGGGTGGCTCTCCACCCCGCACCCAGGGCTTCCCTGTGACCTGCCGGGTCTCTTTCCCACAGGTGACCAGCGCCATGTCCAGCCAGGTGGTGGGCATTGAGCCACTCTACATTAAGGCAGAGCCAGCCAGCCCCGACAGTCCGAAGGGCTCCTCGGAGACTGAGCCCGAGCCTCCCGTGGCCCTGGTCCCTGGCCCAGCTCCCACCCGCTGCCTCCCAGGCCACAAGGAGGAGGAGGATGGGGAGGGGGCCGGGCCTGGCGAGCAGGGTGGGGGGAAGCTGGTGCTCAGCTCCCTGCCCAAACGCCTCTGCCTGGTCTGTGGGGACGTGGCCTCCGGCTACCATTATGGTGTGGCATCCTGTGAGGCCTGCAAAGCCTTCTTCAAGAGGACCATCCAGGGTGAGCTCCCACTCCACTCAGTGCCCTTTGCCCCGGTGCTGAGGCGCCCAGTTGGTGCACTGCTGGGTGGCTGCAGGCCCGCAGACTGCCACAGTACCACTGGGGTGGGAATCTGGTGTTCCCAGGCCCTCCTACCTCCCAGCGTGCCCTTTCCCTTCCAAGTTAAATAAAGCCTCCAGGGTGTGTGGATGCATAGGATGTGGGCTGTGAGTGAGGACTTGGGGTGCCTCTGTGGTTTCTGGATACTGTAGGCTCAGTCCCTTCCACAGTGATGCTAAAGAAGCTCCTGGCAGCCTCTGCCTGCTCCTAAATTTTGTTCTTGCTTCTGGCAGCTTCTGACCTTTCACCAGGTAGAACACGTCTTCCCCTTTTTGTTGATTTCTCCACGCAGTACCAGCCTGGGGCGGGTTTTCATGACTAACAGAAAGGGGCCTTTATCAATTATATTTCTTTCAGCCTCTAACTTTACAAATTTATATTTTATTTATTTTTATTTATTTATACAAGAACTGGGGTACAGGTCAGAGGCACGGGAGGGTGAGAGAATTCACCAGAGACAGAGCGGGGAGCAGAACAGGCAGACGGACTGAAGACACTGCTGAGGGGAGCAGCGGGCGAGACAGGAGAGGTCTGCTGCGCCATGCGGGTTTCTCCCTGGCCGGCCGGGAATGGAACCCGCGCTGCAGAGGCTGCGGACAGCTTCACAGCGCGGTGCTCAACCTGCTGGGCCACCGGGGAGGCCCCCAGCCTCTAACCTTAAGAAGATTAATAGGTGCCCCTGCTTACAGCATTTATTACTTTTGCTTACTTGGGAAAGCAGATCAAAATGTGAGCAAGCGAGTGAGAGAGCCACCGGGTAGCAGACGCCACTGGGGACATGGCTGTTACTCTATTTTTTGTAGCCTGCTGTAACGTGCATGATTCTGGAAAATATTTCTTGCGTGCTTACCCCGTACTGGGCACTGTGCCATTTTACTTCCCTGATCTCAGCACCCCTATGGCCGCCTAGAAAGTGCCCACCCTCTTAACCATATTGAGGCCAGAGCAGTTTGGGACACTTGATTAGAAAATGGCAGAATCAGGGCTCTGAACTTGGAAATGCCCCAGAGCTTCCTGCACTTCTTACTAATAGCTGAACTTCGGTCAGATGCCTCACGACGGATTGTGACACTCTGGTGAGGTCTAACCTGGCGAGACCCACGGTCTACCACGCTCCCTGCTCCCCCAGTGAGCCAGCAGGTCTGGGGCCGGTGTCTTCAGCCCATCCTTGAACCCTTCACCCTCTGTTGACTCAGTTGACAAGTATTTCTGGAACACCGGCCATGGGGTAGTCACCATTAATTGAGCATTGCGGTGCCGTGAGCCATGCTGAACGTTTGCCTCGATTATGCCTTGCAGTGCTCGCAATCTCCTTTGTAAGGAGGACAGTTTTTATCATCCCATGTTTACAGGTGGGAAAACAGGGTTTGAAGCTTAGGCCTGGGACTAACCTCAGGTGATTTACGTTCTGGCAGAGTGGGGAGGGAGAAAGCAGCACCTTGCAGAAAACAGCTATATTCTAACAGTGGCCTGACTGGACTGTGGCTCTAGAGGGCTTCCCTGAGGGGGTGCCTGAACTGAGCACATAAGCAAGCCTCAGTAGGGTGAGGAGAACGCACATGGGGTGCTGGCTGTGCCTTGCAGTCTCTGGGGTAACCCCGCCTGCCTGGGCTGGGTAGGGGGCGCCATGCGCTCATTCAGGCACCCATCAAAGCACCAGGCCCTGGAGGTGTAGTTGATGGTTCTCTGGACAAGACACCAGCGGGCAGTGGCAAAAGTCTGGCAATGTCTGCAGAAGGGCAGGCTGGGCAGGGCCGGCCTCCCTGGGTAATGCCAGAGAGCTGTGAGAGATAAAGGGGTGGCATGCCCTGAGGCAGGGCCTGTTTGAGGAGCCCCAAGGAGGACAGTGGAGTGGGGCAGAGTGGCAGTGTGTGGGGGATGAGCTGGGAGAGGGGGCAGCAGCAGGGGGCCTCCCAGGCTATGGGGTTCATTGGCGCTTCCTCTGAGAAGGAAAGCAGGGGAGTGACGGGGCTGGACTCTTGGCCCATCAGCTCTTCTGCTGCTGTGTTGAGAACTGGAGGAGGCAAGGCAGCGAGAGGCGCGGGAGGGTCAAGGGCGGAAGCAGTTGCCGGGGGGCACACAGGTGGGCGTCTGCATGTATTAGGAGGTGAAGCCCACCAGGGTTTGTCCGTGGGTTGGATCTGACGTGAGAGGAATCAAAGGTGACTGCTGGAGCACCTGGTCAGTGGCGGTGCAGGTTGGGAGGGTAGATCAAGGGATCCCCTTAGGAAGCGTTAGGCGCCCTGCAGAGGCAGCCCTGGGTTCTTCAGTGGATGGAGCTCAGGGAGATGCTGGGAAACCATGAGGTGAAGGGGTGACAGCCAGGAGGCTTAGAAGCAAAAAGACAAGTGTTTCTAGGAGTAGGGTGTGACTGACCCACGCGGTGCCCCTTCAGGGCAAGGATGAGGCTTGGCCATGGGACGTAGTAATATACATGCCTGAGGTAGAGGATACAGCCCAGAGGCGTGGCTTGTCAAGAGGCTTGGGCAGAAGTGCAGCCTGACCACCCTGGTCCCAGCCTTTCCCTTGCTTGTGCAGGGCCCCCACCCCTACCCTTCCCCCCACTGCCCCGGGCTTCCCTGCCCCACTCACGCACTCCTGCTCTCCCCAGACCAGTGCTTGCCCCCGGTGAGTCAGGGCTCTCCTGTCCACTGGGCCCCGCAACGGGTCCTGGGAGGCCGCCACTGGAGCCCTGCCTCTTCCTGGCAGGGAGCATCGAGTACAGCTGTCCGGCCTCCAACGAGTGTGAGATCACCAAGCGGAGACGCAAGGCCTGCCAGGCCTGCCGCTTCACCAAGTGCCTGCGGGTGGGCATGCTCAAGGAGGGTGAGCACAGGCCGGGGGCTGAGTGGGGGGATGGGGGTCGGAGCTGGGGCCAGGGTGGGCGAGCCTGGGACGTTCTGGTGGAGTGGGCTGGGTAGGAGGGCTCTGCAGAGTCAGCCTCCCCCAGCGCCGCAGACACAGTCCTGTCCTCTGATTCAAGGGGTGCGTCTGGACCGTGTCCGGGGTGGGCGGCAGAAGTACAAGCGGCGGCCAGAGGTGGACCCACTGCCCTTCCCGGGCCCTTTCCCTGCTGGACCCCTGGCAGTGGCTGGAGGCCCTAGGAAGACAGGTAAGAGCACTGGGTTCCTGGACCCCCAGGGTTGCAGTGGGCCTCGGGCACGGGCCTATGTGGCATCTTTCCCTGAGGAGGGTGGTTATCTAGGGTACTGGGACCCAGATTTTCTCTTCCTCTTTCATTTCCCTCAATTCTGCCTCAGACCCTGGGAAGAGGGTGAGGTTTTCCCATGACCAGACTTGTCCCCTCAGAGTGGGGAATAGTGAGAGTACTTCGTGGGGGAGAGGTGTTGGACTCTGGCTGGCCAGTGGTCACTGAGGCTACAGGGTCCTGACTGGGAAGATGCTTGACCCCCAAGGGGCCTGCAAACGTGACTCTCCCAATTGTCACTGCAGCCCCAGTGAATGCACTGGTGTCCCACCTGCTGGTGGTTGAACCTGAGAAGTTGTATGCCATGCCCGACCCAGCGGGCCCTGACGGGCACCTCCCAGCTGTGGCAACCCTCTGTGACCTCTTTGACCGAGAGATCGTGGTCACCATCAGCTGGGCCAAGAGCATCCCAGGTAAAGGGCCTGTGGGGCTTCCCTGGGGAGGCCAGGCCAGACAGGCACTGGCGCACTGACTCAGCCAGGTCTGCTCCCCACTGCGCTCCAGGCTTCTCGTCATTGTCGCTGTCAGACCAGATGTCAGTACTGCAGAGCGTGTGGATGGAGGTCCTGGTGTTAGGTGTGGCCCAGCGCTCACTGCCACTGCAGGACGAGCTGGCCTTCGCAGAGGACCTAGTCCTGGACGAAGAGGGGGCCAGAGCAGCTGGCCTGGGGGAACTAGGGGCTGCTCTGCTGCAGCTGGTACGGCGACTGCAGGCCCTGCGGCTGGAGCGGGAGGAGTATGTCCTGCTGAAGGCCCTGGCCCTGGCCAATTCAGGTGAGTCCGGGGAGGACAATGACAGGTAAGGGCCTCTAGTTTTAACCCTGATGGTGGCACAGTCCCATCTTGCAGAAAAGGCCGAGGGAAGGCCAGTGACTTGCTGAAAGTCGCAAAGCCAGCCAAGGAGAGGAACCGCACCTAGGGCTTAGGGTCTGTGTGCCATATTTAAGTGGAAGGGTGAACACTTTCGTGGGAGGGAGGGTGGGCAGGACAAGCGGTGGGCAGGAGCAGGGAGGGGAACCTCAGTCAGCCAATCTTAGCAAACCCATGTCTGGCTCCTTAGGCCCCATCCTGCTATACCCAAGTGGACAGTCGACACGGGCTCTGCTTTTTGGAGCTGACTCATGTCAACTGCTCTCTCCTGTCTCCTTGCAGACTCTGTGCATATTGAAGATGCTGAGGCGGTGGAGCAGCTTCGAGAAGCTCTGCATGAGGCCCTGCTGGAGTATGAAGCTGGCCGGGCGGGCCCTGGAGGGGGTGCTGAGCGGCGGCGGGCAGGCAGGCTGCTGCTCACACTACCACTCCTTCGCCAGACAGCGGGCAAAGTGCTGGCCCATTTCTATGGGGTGAAGCTGGAGGGCAAGGTGCCCATGCACAAGCTGTTTTTGGAGATGCTTGAGGCCATGATGGACTAAGGCAGGGGGTGGGCAAGGGTAGGGGTGCTGACAGGACCCGCCCAGCATGGGGTCAGCCCTAAGGGGGCAGAGCTGAGGTCTGGGCAGTGCCACAGCCTGCTGGCAGGACCAGGGCAATATCATCAGTCCCTGGGAGCAGGCCCTATGCCCTCCCCTCCCCCCTCCTAGGGGGTGTTAGAAGCTGGGAATGTGTGTGCCCAGATTGGGCACAGTGCTGCCCCTTGCAAGCCATAATGTGCCCCCAGCGTGCAGGGGGCCTTGCGGAAGCCATAGGGGGCTGCAGGGGACGAGTGTGGGGCAGAAGCCTGATCTCAGGGAGGGAAGGGAGTGGAGGCCAGAGTCTCCCAGTGGGTGATGCTTTTGCTGCTGCTTAATCCGACCCCCTCTCCAGAGCAGAGGGGGAAATGGAGAGCAAAGGCCCCTGCCCCCTTCGCTCCTCTCCTCATCATTTGCATTGGGCATTACTGCCCCCCCTTGAAGCAATAACTCCAAGCAGGCTCCAGCCCCTGGACCCCTGGGGAGGCCAGGGCCCCCCCCATCAACTCCCACCCAGCCTCCTCAGGGGGTAGGGAGAGCACTGCCTCCATGCCCTGCAGAGCAATAACACTATATTTATTTTTGGGTTTGGCCAGGGAGGCGCAGGGACATGGGGCAAGTCAGGGCCCAGAGCCCTTGGCTGTACAGAGACTCTATTTTAATGTATATTTGCTGCAAAGAGAAACCGCTTTTGGTTTTGAACCTTTAATGAGAAAAAAATATAATACCAAGCTCAAGAAAAGAGCGTGTCTGGTATCACTGGGTCAAGGACTGGAGATACGAGTAAACACGATATACAAAAACAACATACACTAGGTCACAGAAACGAAAAACGGGTGCCTGGCAGCTACGCCTCGGTGTCCTCATCACTCAGCAGCATGTTGGGGATCCCGCGGCTAATGGGGAACAGGCGTCCAGACTCTGGGCACTGCAAAGTGCCCTCCAAGACATCCACCTGCGGGGATGAAGGGGAACAGAGCTGAGCACAGGCCGCCTCTGGGCTGCGGGTGTGTGGCTGGGGAAGCGAGCGAGCGAGGGGCCGGTCCTCACCTCCAGCAGCACGTGGTGCATCTGCCTCAGGAATTTCTCATCATTCTCATATCCCTGAACCGGCCCTTTGGGCACCTCGACCAGATGCAACTGTGAGCAAGAGAAATGAATTACCCTTGCGCATGCCCGCCCCAGGGCCCGGTTCTCAGGCCCGGCTCAAGCGGCAGCGGCGAGACCACCCCCACCGGCGCGCAGGGGCGGGGGGAGAGGGTCCTCACGGTATCGGCCGCCTCCAGAAGCGCCGCCCACTCCACCTTGGGAATCATACGCGCCACGAAGTCGGGGTTGAACTCCACAGGGTTGATGCGGACCTCGGTGGCCTGCGGGGCGGGGGGTTCAGTTAGGCAGGGACCGCGCCCGGGGCGCCCCAGCCCACCCCGCAAAGGGGGAGAGGCCGCCGCCGGCCGGTACCTGGAGGCGCAGCGGGAAGCCCCGGGGCCCCACCCCCCGCACATGCGAGCTCAGCAGGTTGTGGGTGAGCAGCTTCATGGCGACGCGGCGCGCTCGCGAGGCCGGAGGCGGAAGGAGGCGCCCGGCGCGCGTCACTTCCGGGGCCGCGCCACCCGCTCCTATCGGGTCGCTGGGAGGGGCGGAAGCGGCGAGGTTGCTGGAGCTTCCCGCGCCCGCCGGAGCGGAGGCGCCCGCCCCGGCCCGCCCGGCCCGCCCGGCCCGCCCGGCCCGCTCCCGCAAGGCACCTCGGCGGGCGGCTGCCGCGGCGCAGGCCCAGGGTTTCCGCGGCGCCAGGCCGCCATGCGCCACGCGGGGGCCTTCGCTGAAAGCAAAATAAATGTTTTACTCGCACACACCCCCTCGCCTTCGTTTACGGGACGGAAATACGGCCCCAAATCCGGCCACTAGGCCCGTTGGACAGCGGCACCCCCTCCCCGTATGCAAATAAGCCGCACGGCGGCCGAAAGCCCCGCCCACTCGCGGCTGCGCGGGGGCCCCGCCCCTAATGCAAATGAGTCAGTGTCCCGGCCTGGGCGCCCCCGCGCCCCCCGCGCCGGCGCAGTGGAGGCGCCTCCCGGCAGCCCGGGCGAGGCCCCGCCCCCAGGGCCGCGCTGGGAAGGCCCCGCCCCCCGCGCGGGCGGAGCGGGGCGCCGAGCGGCCGTCATGCTGTTGCTGGGACGGCGCCTGCTGGGCGGCCGGGCGGCCTCGGTGCTCGCCGTTGTTGAGCGGGCGGCGGCGGCGAGAGCAGGAGGGGCCCTGAAGACAGGCGCGGCGCGGACGTCCGGCGGGGCCCGCGGTTTCCGAAGCTCTGTCGCAGCCATGGCCCCCATCAAGGTGACCGCTGGCCCGGCCGGGCGAGCGCCCGCCCCACCCCCGCCTCTCCCCGAGGCGCGACCCTCTTTTCCGGGCGAGGGTCACCCTCTTTATGCCCACAAGAACTGGGGTGCAGGCCAGGGGTGGGGTGTGAGAGGATTCACCAGAGACGGTGGGGAGAGGACCGACTGACCCACTGAGGTACACGCTGAGGGGGCAGCCGGAGCCAGGCGAGGTCTGCCGCGCCCTGGGGGTAGCTCCCTGGCTGGGGGTGGAATGGGGCTGCAGCGGCTGCCCATAGCTTCATAGCGCGCGGGTTTAATCCCTTGCGCCCCCAGGGAGGCCTGAGAGTCACCCTCTTTCCTGCCCTCCGGACCCCTCCACGCTGCCCAAAGCCTCCTCCCGCCGGGGCCCCAGCACCCCCACAGCAAGATCCCCAGGGTGCCCCGCCAGTTCCCGAGACTCTCCAACCTCCCTCTCGCGTCCTGTAACCATTGCCCGTCCTGTGAAGGGTCTTTGTGCCTCCCGACCCCCTTCCAACCCCTGCGCTGCCTGCCATACCCTTCCTGAGATTGTTTCTTTTCTTTTCTTTTTTTTTTTTTAAGATTTATTTTATTTTATGCATACAAGAGCTGGGGCACAGGCCAGAGGTGCAGGGGGGTGAGAGGATTCACCAGAGACAGAGTGGGGAACAGAACAGGCAGACTGACCAAAGTACACTGCTGAGGGGAGCAGCGGGCGAGCCAGGAGAGGGCTGCTGCGCCATGTGGGTAGCTCCCTGGCAAGGGATTGAACTTGTGCTGCAGAGGCTGTGGACAGCTTCCTAGGTTGTGTCTTAACCCCTTGCACCACCAGGAAGGCCCATTATTTCTTTTCTGAACCCCTGGAGATGGGAACTTGGACATGCTCCCCTAACTCCCCCCCCACCTCCCCATTTTTCTTCTTGAAGGAGGGACTCAGGACCTGGCCAGCGTCCTCTACCAGCCTTTTTCCCCTCTTCCTGCTCCTCCTGCCCATTCTTCCCACTCCCTTCTCAGAACTCAGCTTGTTTACTCAACTCCTTGCGAAACTTGATGCCCAGGAGGCCTTTTCCCCCTTTTTCTGTTGTCACCAACTGCCAGTAAGAGGAATAAAGCCAAGCCACCTTGAAACCTGGAGGATGTGGGGTAACCAGGCAGTGGCGGGGAGAGGGGAGACCAGCAGGGAGGGACCTGGCAGACTTAGACTTTGCTGCTGGTGTCTGCTCTGGCGCCAGGCGCAGCAGCTCCTGTCCCCTCCCTTGCCAGGCCTGTTTTGCCGCCTTCCCTTGGCTTTGTTGACCCCTGTGCCACTCCTCTAGGTGGGAGATGCCATCCCGTCAGTGGTGGTGTTTGAAAAGGAACCTGGGAACAAGGTGAACCTGGCAGAGCTGTTCAAAGGCAAGAAGGGTGTGTTGTTTGGAGTCCCTGGAGCCTTTACTCCTGGCTGTTCCAAGGTGAGCCCTGCCCTCTGGTCCTCAGCAGTTGGACAGCACGTCTGTATTGTTCATCGGCCTCCATGTGGCGGTGGTGCGGAGGCAGCGAGCACCGAGAGCGTTCGGTCATATGACCGTTACAAAAGCAAGTCAGAAAATCCGTGTGGGCTGTAGGCAGTAGTACCAGGAGCACAGGAGGAAGGGGGCGGAATTAAACCCAGCAACCCTTACCCACCCTGCTGGTGACAGGCAGGACGGGCAGGACTTGGGTGAGGAAGACACATGCGAAATTTGTGGTCTTGGCCACAGAACCCTCCCACTTGGATCTGAACTTCCTAGTGACCAGGGCAAAAAGGGGAAAAAGAATAACTTACGTGAAGGTGTTGGAGCAGGGAAGGGGCCTGGAGATGGAGGTGGGCGAGGAGCCGTGGCAGCTGTCCTTTTGCTCAGCTTTGTTTCCCTTCCTCAGACGCACCTGCCAGGGTTTGTGGAGCAGGCTGGGGCTCTGAAGGCCAAGGGCGTCCAGGTGGTGGCCTGTCTGAGTGTCAATGATGTCTTTGTGACTGAAGAATGGGGGCGAGCCCACAAAACAGAAGGAAAGGTGAGGTGTGGGTCCTGTGGGGGACCAGAGCTGCCCAGGAGGCTTCTCTTGTGACCTTTACTCTCTCCTCAGGTGCGGCTCCTGGCCGACCCGACGGGGGCCTTTGGGAAGGTGAGGGCACCCCTTCTCCCCCTCAACACACAGGGTGGTTACTGTGCGGGAGCTTGCCAGCAGGGACTTGGAGGCCATTGGCCAATAGGGGGAGCAGCCAGGGCCTTGTCCCCTTCCTGACCCTTTTCTCCGTTCTCCACTTAGGAGACTGACTTGTTACTAGATGATTCATTGGTGTCTCTCTTTGGAAATCGGCGGCTGAAGAGGTAAAAGTGGGAGGGTCATCCCCTGCAGTCCCCCCCACCCCTGGCTGGCATGGCTGCTGCTGACTCACTCCCCCTTTCTGCCAGGTTCTCCATGTTGATAGAGAATGGCGTAGTGAAGTCCTTGAATGTGGAGCCTGACGGCACCGGACTCACCTGTAGCTTGGCCCCCACCATCATCTCCCAACTCTGAGCCCAAGACCGGGATGTGCTTCTGCTACCCTCTCCTATTCTGCCTACCCAGCCCCGGGCACAGGCCCTCAGCACAACTCAGCTGGGGCCACCAATTGGAATCTTAGCCAAATTTCCTCAATAAATACTCTGGATAACATCTGCCTCCTGCTTTGAGATTGTGGCTTTGCTGAGGGCCAGGCCTCAGGACAGGCACAGACAGAGCTGAGAGCTGGAGCGTTTGGGCAGGGCTGATAGGACCATGGTTCAATGAAAGGGTCAGGGAAGGTCTTTGGAAGGAGGCATTAGGAAGGACATAAGCCTGCAGCTGAGAAAGGGCCAGTGTTCTAGGGAGCCAGGGAAGGAACAGCTGTGCAGAGGGGACCCTTCTGGAAAGGTCCTAGGCAGATACAAGCTGGGCTTGCTCCCACACCCGAAATTTGCTCTCTGGGGGCCTGCGGGTCTCCTTTAGGCCACACACTCTAGGGCAGGGCCTTGGGGTTTAGGCATTCCCTACCCAGGTTGAGCCCCAGCCCCATGGCTCTTTTAGACTGTTAGACCCTTCCAGAAGCACAGCCAGCATGGGTCTCTGGGCCCCAGCAGTGGAAGCAGTTCTGGTTCAGTCCCGGGAGGGCTACCTGGGAGAGGAGTCTAAGGGAGGCCTTGGGGCTGGGTGGTGGCTGGGGAAGCCATTGTAAGGCACTGCTGCAGCTCTGCCCCCAGCCCCCAAGCACTTACAGTGCAGTGCAGGCGCTAGACCTCAGATGAGGGCCTGCGATCAGCACAGTGGGGCTATGAGGCAGAAGCACAGGCCAGGTGTGTGGGGAGTTAAGGAAGAAGGACCCTTACCACAGGGGTAAGGGCGGGAGAAAATGACTTCTAGCTGTGGCTGAGACATGAACAGGTTTAGCCAGGTGAGCAGAGGTGGGAAGGGTGTTGCAGGCGGTGGGAACAGCCTGTGCTAGGCCTGGAGGTGAGGAGGAGGAGAGGTCTGGGCTGCAGACCAGGTGAAGGGAGATGGATTCCCACCTTAGGTGGGGCCTGCTCGGTCTCCAGGCTGGACATCTGGGTGAGTCCGAGTGTTTCCCTGAAGGCACATTTCTCTTTTTGTCCCCTCTTGTGCACCTGCCTCGGGCCGTGTTCCTAAATGCTGAAGCGCAGGTCAAAGCATCCTGGTGGTTTTATTGGTCTCTGGGCTCTCAGGCCGCCCGCAATGTGTACGTGCCTCCTCCCCCAGGGCGCAGATGAGCTCTCCCTTCTGGATTGATTTTGCTGGTTGAATGGATAGTCAGCGCTACCTGGGAGCTGTCCTTGATGCTTGTGACTTTAGTGAGGAGGAGGAGGTGCTGGGGCTCCCTGCAGGCTGACCAGTGCAGGCGCCAGCTTGGCTCTTCCATCAGCCAGCCCCAGGGCAGTGAGGAGGGGAGGCACTGCAGCCTTCTGAGTCGGAGAACTCGGGTTTGCCCTCAGTTGCCTTGCTTACCCCCATGCCCTCTGAGCCTCACTGTCCTCATTTCTGAAATAGGAATTCTTGGATCAGAAATATTAATTTGGGGCCTCCCCGGTGGTGCAGCAGTTGAGCGCTGGGTTGCGAGGCTGCCCACGGCCTCTGCGGCACCGGTTCAATCCCCGGCTGCTCCCCGGCCACCAGAGGAGGGTCCCACATGGCGCGCAGACCTCTCCTGCCCCCCACTGCTCCCCTCAGCAGTGGACTTCGGTCCTTCTGCCTGCTCTGCTCCCCGCTCTGGCTCTGGTGAATCCTCTCACCCTCCCGCACTTCTGACTGTACCCAGATCATGTATAAACAAAACAAACAAACAATAAATAAACAAACAAACATGCCTCTATTTAAAAAAAAAAAAAAGAAATATTAATTTGGCTTCTGTCTCTAGGCTGTCCCTCCTGGCTGTGTGACCTGAAGCAAGGGCCTTGACATCTGTTTTTCCTTGTCAAGGGGGGTGACCACAATGGCTGTGTTTGTGGCCATGGAGGAGCCTGAACAAGGAGGACACACGGAGACCAGAGCCAGAGCAGGGGAGCGGGTGGCAGGTGTGGCCGCACTGTGGTCTCTGTGGGGTCCTCGTGGTGTCTGAATCCTGCTGCAGCTATGGACACCCCACGACACCCCTGCCCCGTGGTGTGACCCCTCTAGTGGGGAGCAGAGAAAGCCAGGGAGATGCTGAGTGTGACAAGGCTGTGAGGGGACCAGACGGGGTCTCTTTTCCAAAGGGAGGGTCTTTTTCAGAACGGGGCCTTTGAGCTAGACCAATAGAGTGAGGAGTCGGGGCAGGAGGGAGAGGGTGTGTGTGTGGGGGCAGTAGAGCAGGAAGAGTCTGAGCTAGTTAGTATTTCCAAGTGTCCTCCAGTGCTGGGGGGCCGCCTGGAGGAGGCTGGGTGCTGAGAGCCTCAGGGGGAGGTAGGGCAGGTGCCCCCACGAGCTGGGGTGCTTGTTGGGGGAGCGCTGGCCAAGTGTCAGGTATGGGGGCTGGGCTTGCAGGCCGCACCCTGGGTCCCCAGGCAGCAGGTGTGCAGGGCAGAGGGCCCTGGGCCCACCTTCCGTGGCCTCCCCCCGCCCACTCCACCGGCTTTTCTGCCCTTCTCTGATTCCAGCTCCACTATTTCCACTCCCAAGTGGTGAACAGTTAAACCATCCGTCTTGACACTTCAGGCCAAGGGGCCAGGTCCCCAGAAGGGCCTACAAACTGGTTTTTTTTCATGTTCTTGAGCCTGGGGCCCTGAACCATCTGGTTAGGGAGCTGGGCCCCAGCCAGGCCGCTGGTGTGTCAGGTGGGGCTCTGAACGCTGCAGGTGGGGAGAAAGAGGTGCTTTCTGACCGGGTTGATCCAGACTCTGGCTGGAGCCGGCTGCGGCCTGCCTGGATCTACTGGGCTTCTGCTCCCCAGCTCCAGAGCCCTCTTGCCTTGGCCTTGGGGTTAGACTCGGACAATCCAGAAAATTCAAAACCAAAAGGGGATTGAGAGATGGGGTCCTACCCACTCCCACCTGTGCAGGTGGGCCTCTGAGCCCCGAGAGAGGAGATTGCAGGCAGTGACTGCTGTTGGCGCTGTCGTCTGCTTGTCTGTCTCTCTCCTCTTCTCGCCCACATCCTGGATCCCCGTGCTCATAGCAGTGGGCACTGAACTCCCCTAAAAACTGCCAGAAAAAGAAGGGCAACATGCAAATATTTATGATATTTATGCACAAGACAATTTGTTTGTTGTTCATTGATTTAATTTTAAAATTATGAGAAGAACATACTTGTTTTGAGAGATTTTTTTTCCTCACCACTCTCCCTTTCACCCCTTTGGCCTTTTTCCTTTACTGCTCTTTCTTAATCTCAGAAACCTCACTTCATTCCTGACGGTCCACTGGTTTATACTTATTTAGCTTTGACAAGCCATCTGCTGCGATTCCTTCTTTTACTCGAACTATTCTGTAAATTTGTCTTTATCTTTCTGACTCCAGGTAATTCCCTTGAGTTGCTTCCATCTTGTAAATAGTGACATTTTGCCTTTCCTTAGGGCTGAATAGTATTCCATTGTGCATGAGACAATTAAATGATGATAAGATAGCAACAGGATGGACTGTTACACAACCAGTAAAAAGGCCAAGGCCAATGGCCCTGGACAGAAATGAAGCAGATTGCAAAATATATTGGAAAGCAAGGAGGCCCCCAGTGTGTATGAGGTTGCAACCCCCATGGGCAGCTGCCTCTCAGGAAGGACACAGAATGTGCCGACGGGGGCATGGAGTCTGGGTGTTGGAAGAAAGGAGGTGAGACTTGATTTTTTCCCTCTATACCCTTATGTATTCTTGACATTTTTGTTCATGTATCTGAAAACATTTTAAAGAAAAATCTACCCAAAGAAGTGATCGCTGTCAGCCTCTAATGACCATCCCTCCCTCCACGGCTAATGGAGCCTCTGTGCCACTTGATGAGAGAGGCCCCCCACTTCCACGCCTGCCCACCCACCTCCCCCACCCCGTCTGACTCCGCTGCACCAGTGCAGAGAACCAGGCAGGGGTGCAGCCGGCCATGTCCACAGAGAGAGAAGTGAGAGCAATGGTGACATGGTCCCTGACTGTGGGCTGGCTGGGGTGATGCAGAGATGTTGAGCAGGGCACGGCGCTCGGCCACTAGGAAATGATACTCAGAGCAGGTCCTCTGGGGGAATTCTGGGACCAGAATCCTTGGGGGACACAAAGAGCAGTGTGATTTGTAGAGGGTCCATCTTGCAGGACTCCTGGTATTATTAAGACTGCAGCTAACAACCACCCCAGGGACCATTTAATGCACACTTATGCCGGGCACCAGCTTGCGGAATCTCATAACAACCCCCTGGGAGGTTTATTCGACGTGTCCCGGGAGGGTTGAACAGTGCTTGCATAGGCTCCTCTGCAAACCATCCGGCCTGGGATGGCATCGCCTGGCCAGACCTCACTCACCTTGAGCACGACCCTGTCTCAGTGGGCTCTGGCCCCACTGCCTTCTTTCAGTTGGTTCAACCAGTCAGTAGCTGCGTGACCTTGGGCAAGTGACTTAACCTCTCTGAGTCTGTTTTCTCCTTTGAGATCGTCCATTGTCCTTATTTCATAGACTTGTCAAGAGCAAATAATCACTAAGTGTGAAGTGCTCGGAACTAGATCTGGCTCGTGTTGTGTCTGGCTTTGCCATGATTGCTGTTCTTATTACCCCATATTTCATCAAATCTACGATGCCACTGAAGAAAAAAAGAATGCTGCCAGTTAACTATGTCCCCAGGCTCTTTCATCACTGAATCTTTACTTTATACTTCCCGGAGGAGCTCTTTTTGACTTAGACATAGATTCTCATCATATATAATTCTCATGCATACATAAAGGGAACGAGAAGCAGGATAAATTGTTTATGGTGTTGGGAAGCTCTTTCACATTTAGAGTCTGACAGAGCAGCACTGTCTGTGGGTTTTGCTGTCCCCTTCTGAGAGCGATCGCGAGTGTTGGGGAGCCGCTCTCGTCCCCCCAGCCCCCCACCCCCACGCACTGGACAGCCACACAGCACCACATTCAGTGGCCCGGGGGTCCATCTTCCAGCAGCTTTGCAGTCCTGCAGAGCAAGCCGACTTTGGGCGTCTGCTCTGGGGGTGTGGCTGACACCCTCCAGGTTCCCCTCCCGGGGCTTTGGGTCTTCTGCTCTTGCCTCTGGAGTTTTTTCCTAAGCCTCTGCTGCCCTGTCTGCAGGGTTTGCTGGTTTTGAAGCGTGGGCGCGGACGGACAATGGCAACTCGGACAAAACAGCAGGAAGCCAGAAATCCACTCCACCAGGTTCCCCGACCGTGGGGTTTTAGTGGGAAAGGCAGAGTGTCTTGGAATCCATGAACCACGGATCATTTCTGAAGTGTACACGGGCCGTGCTTTCAGCTGCCACAGAGCACTTGCCCAGTCTGTGCCTGCGGCCTGGAATGCCCTTCCTGCTTTCCCGCCTTGCCTAGTTAGCTCAGTCATCCCTGACCTTAGCTCTGTCCTGGAGCCCCTCCAGGACGCCTTCCCTGAGGTGTCCCCCCACTGAGGTTGAACCCCCTTCCCCGTCAGTGCAGCATGCCTTTCTGAGGCCCTGTCTCCCTAGGACATTGCTGCTCCCGGGGCCAGGGGCTCTGCGGCTGCACGCACCCTCTGGGGACCCCGCCACCCAGCACCGGCTGTGCCGTCTCGGTCCATCGTATGCAGAGGGTGGGGGAACACCAGGGGGTGAAAGGAGGGTGCTCGCTCTGGCTGGAAATTGGAGGCGGCTTCCTGGAGGTGGCGGCATCCGGCCTAAGCTTCGCAGGTCAGGGGGACAGTTTGGGTAAGTTTGAGAAATGTCAAGGGGAAGAAGGCGGTTAAAGGAGAAGTGCAGGCGTGGCCACCCGTGCTCCCCGCGGGAGGGTCAGAGGCCTGGGGGGTGCAAAACCAAGATCACCCTCCAGGTTTCGAGTTGGGACAGTGAGGCCCCAAGGGTGGAGGACTCACCCAGCCTTGTCCACCGAGCCAGGAGAGCTGCAGGTCTTGCTCCTGGGGCCCCTGGCCGCACGGCCCCTGCAAGCCTCTGGGCTGGCCCTGCTGGAGGTGCTCGGAGGATGCGGGGTTGTGAGGTGGAGCTGGGGCAGGACTCTGGGGGTGCACAGGCTCGCCAGCACCCGGAAGGAGGAAGCACATAGGGTGTCTGTGGCTGGGCTGGGATCCCCCACCCGGGGACTTCCTCTTCCTCTCAGCAGGTGTAGCTGCCACAGCGGGACCAGCGCCCTGGCCCCGTCATGGATGGGGGCAACGGGCCCAGACTCAGAGACTTCCTGAATGGGAGCCTGGCCACCTGGGTGAGGGGGCAGGAGCGCTGGGGGTGCGGGGGGGGGGTAAGCTGCGGGGGGGGCGGGGAGGAGGGGCAGAGCTGGGGCCTGAGGGGAGGGGTGGGCTCCAGTGTGGGGTTGGAGAAGTCTGGGACTCTGTGGGGCAGGAAAAGGGGCCCAGACCTGGAGGGTGGGCATTCCGGGTGCTGGGAGGAGGGGTGCTGCGCTGGGGGCCAGGGGCTCAGGAGTCATTCTCTCGGTGGGGGCTCCAGCCCAGGCACTGACACATCTCTGTCCCACAGGCCTTGGGACTGGCTGGACTGGTGGGGGAGGCCGAGGAGTCAGAGGAGCCAGAGGGGGCCGAAGAGGAGGAAGGAGGGGGGCTCCTCTGCCCTGAGAAGAGCTTCCTGCGCCTCAGCGATGGGGCCCTGCTCCTGCGGGTGCTGGGCATCATGTCAGTGGCATCCGGGGCGCTCTAAGGGTGGCAAATGTGCCAGAGGGGCATCAGGCCCCCCCCATGGGAGGAGCCGGAGGGTGGTGGGTGGAGCTTGAGGGTAGGTGGCCCTCCGTTGCCCTCCCTACCACCCCCGTATCCATACCTGTACCCATACCCACAGTGCCCCCAGTTCCCGAGGGGGACCCCGGATGGTCAGGGGCCATGACCGCCCTGCAGCCAGGCGGGTGCAGAATCTGAACCACCTATGGTGCCGTCTGAGGGACTTCTACCAGGTGAGGGGATGGGGGCAGGCTGAGCGGAGGAGACCCTTGAGGGAAGGCCCCTCTCATGCCCCTCTCATGCCCCCCATCCTCAGGAGGAGCTGCAGCTGCTAATCCTGTTGCCACCCCCGGACCTCCAGACGCTGGGGTTTGACCCCTTCTCAGGTGCGCTTTCCCACCACCCATCCTGCTCCTGCCTTCTCCCCCCACCCCTAACGCCTGTGCCCTTTGCCCTGCAGAGGAGGCGCTGGAGGCACTGGAGGGCATCCTGCGGCTGCTGCTGGGGGCCTCAGTGCAGGTGATGGGGGGCGCTGTGAAGAGGGAGTCTGGGCTTTGGCACAGAGGTGGGAGACTCCTGCCCAGTCCCACCCCCGCCCCCGTCTCCCCGCAGTGTGAGCACCGGGAACTCTTCATTCGGCACATCCAGGGCCTCAGCCTTGAGGTCCAGAGCGAGCTGGCTGATGCCATCCAGCAGGTACTTGGGCTGACTGATCGGCCAGGACTGCCACTGCCGCCCGGCGACACCCTGCCCCCCACCTTCTTCCCCTGAACTGCTCTCTCTGCCCCCACCCCCCAGGTGACGCAGCCTGGGGCAGGTTTGGTGCTGGCGCTGGCTGGGCCAGAGCCTGGGGACCTGGCCCCTGTGGAGCTGGAAACGTTGTCCCGGAGCCTGCTGGGGACACTGCTGAGGCTGGCTCGAGAGCGCGACCTGGGGGCCCAGGTAGGGGCGGCAGGGCTTGCAGACCCAGGCAGAGGGATGGAAGGACCCGCATGTGTGTGTGGGTTTGGGGTCCAGGTGTGGGGGTGGGTTGAGGGTCTCAGGCCAGCAGGGCTGGAACAGCTAGATTCACCTTGTGATAGGGCAGGTGTCAGGGTTTTGGGGATGGCTTCCTCCTGACCCCTGACCTCCCACAGCGGCTGGCTGAACTGCTGCTGGAACGAGACTCAGCCCCCTTGTTGCCTGAGGCTCCTGCCAGGACTCCCCCCGAGGGGCCCTCGCACCATCTGACCCTGCAGCTGGCCAACGTCAAGGCCCAGTTGCGGCGCCTACGGCTGGAGCTGTGAGTGTCATTGTGGGGCGGAGGGGGCTGGCTACGGGCTGAGCCTGGATGGGGCTCCCGACCCAATGGGAGCGGGTGGGGTGAGCCTGGGAAGGGCGTCCCCAGGTTCTTCCAGCGTCCCTTGCCTCCAGGGAGGAGAAGGCTGAGTTGCTGCTGGACTCCCAGGCGGAGGTGCAGGGCTTGGAGGCTGAAATTCGGAGGCTGCGTCAAGAGGTGTGCCAGGCTGTCCCTGCCATTGCTGCCGCCTCACTCTCTCCAACCACCGCCCTGCTATTGCCTCTCCCTAACCCGTCCCTTCCCAACCCCGATCCCTCTGACCCCAGCCGGCCCTTCCTCTGGCCCAGCTCTGCATCCTCTGGCCCAGGCCCAGGCGCTGTCGGGTCAGGCCAAAAGGGCTGAGCTGTACCGCGAGGAGGCAGAGGCGCTGCGGGAGCGGGTCGGCCGCCTGCCCCGCCTGCAGGAGGAGCTGCGGCGCTGCCGGGAGCGGTTGCAAGTGGCTGAGGCCTGCCGGGGCCAGCTGGAGGTGAGGCGGGAGGTGGGCATGTTGGGGAGTGGGTGGGCTTGAGGAGGGGCAAATTTGGGCTTGAAGAAGAGAGAGTCTTGTGGCAGGAACAGTCATCGCGAGGAGAAATGGGCGAGGTGGTAGCTGGGGTAAGGCCCTCTGGAGGATGGGGCGCGGGGGTGGGGGTGGGGGAGCAGGTGGAGCCGGGTGGTCTGGAAGCAGGCCCAGAGCGATGCCCCCTGGAGGGTGGGCTGGGGAGAAGGGGTGGGGCCTGGGGAGCAGGGCTGGACCAGGTGCTGGGGAAGTGGGACCTGGAGACACCCGTCTAGACTGAGAGCGAAGGAGGGCAGGAGGCACCTGAAACTCTGGGGCTGGGGCAGCTGGGGCAGGGGTGGCAGCAGCGCATCTCGGGTCTTCTCTGCTCCCCCACCAGGAGGAGCGGGTACTCTCGGGGGCTTTGGAGGCCTCGAAGGTCCTGCTGGAGGAGCAGCTGGAGGCCGCTCAGGAGCGCTGTGCTCGCTTGCATGAGACCCAGCGTGAAAACCTACTACTGCGGACTCGACTCGGCGAGGCCCATGCGGTGAGGTCACCAGAGTGACCCCAGCTGGGGATCTGTGATGCCCGGTGCCTCAATGGTCCCGGGTTCCCTGGTGGTCCCTGTGACCACTTCTCCCGGTGGCTCTAGTGGTCCTCTTGGTGGGCACTGGGTCTGCCCATGGCGGGGAGGCCCGTCTGACCCTGCCCTCCCCCAGGAGCTGGCCTCTCTGCGGCATCAGGTGGACCAGCTGGCCGAGGAGAATGTGGAGCTGGAGCTGGAGCTTCAGCGTGGCCTGGAGCCACCCCCAGGCTCGCCTGAGGAGGGTGAGAGTGTCACAGTGGTGGGGTGGGGTGGGGGGCTGGTAGGGGCTGCCTGTGCTTTCCTGCAGCTCAAGTGGGCATGGCCTCCAACTTCATCCCCTTCCCAGATGGGGGTGGGGGTGGCTGTTTATGTGAGGAGCCCAGGATTGTGGCAGGGCTCAGGGTCAGTAGGGTCCTGACCTTACCTCATATCCCTCAGCTCCCCTGCCAGGCGCTGCCCCCTCGCTGCATGATGAGGTACGGGAGGCAGAGGCCGGGCGCCTGCGCACCCTGGAACTGGAGAATCAGGAGCTCCGAGGCCTGTTACAGGTGCTGCAGGGGCAGCCCGCTGGCCAGGTGAGGCCCAGCCCCCACCTCTGGCAGGTTTTTCCTGGCCACCTCCCCTCCTCTGGGCTTGACCATGTCTCTCATGTTCCCTCAGCCCCCCCTGCTGGAGGAGCAGAGCGAGGACCCCATGGTTCCAGAGCAGGACATGGCTGCCCAGCCCTGCCCGGCAGACCACCGTGGCCCCCAGGGCTTGGTGGGTCAAACTGGGGTTGAAGGCCCCCGGGTCTTGGGCCTGGCTCTCCCAGCATCAGACTCAGCTCTTGAGGGGTTAGCTGAGTGTTCCCAAGCATCTGATTCAGACCCACACGTGCTGGAGAGGCCCCGCCAGAGCACTGCCATGGCCCCCCAGCCCACAGATTTAATGCCCCTGGAGTCAGGCCCCACTGTGAACACACAGGAGTCTCTGGAGACGGCTGGCCATGGACCTTCTCTCCAGACCCCTGCCTCCACCACCCCGCCTCAGGGTCCAGAGATCAAAATTCAAGCCCAGGTGTTGCCAGGAGGAGAGACAGGGAAGTCTGTGCCCGAGGCTCAGGGGCTGAGATGGGAGGGTCCTGAGCACAAGCTGGGACCCTTGGAGTGCAGCATCCAGGAGCAGCTGGGGGAGCAGGACAGCTCTAGCCAGGGGCTGGGCCTACCCAAGGAACAATCAGAGGCCAGAGAGCATGAGCAGAGGCCAAAGGAGATGGTTGGGGACCCAGCCCAGCAAAAACCACACCTGAAATCCGAAGGGGCTCCTGAGGTCCGGGTCTGGGAGGGGCTGACCCCAGGGGAGGTCCTAGCCAGTGCTGTCCCAGAACAGGCAGCCATCAGGGAGGAGGTGGCACAGCTGAGGAGAGAGGCTGAAGTCCTTCGCGCTGAGCTAGAGGCCCAGGCCCGGAGGCTGGAGGCCCGAGGCTCGGAGGCTGCCCGCCTCTCCGAGGACTTGGCCCAGGCACGGAAGGCAGAGGCCGAGGCCCACCAGGAGGCAGAGACCCAGGCGGGGGAGCTAGCTCGGTTGAGGGAGGCCGTGGAGGCAGCTGGCCGGGAGCTGGAGGCTGCCTCTCGGGAGCGGGAGGCCTTAGCAGAGGCACTGACAGCCTCAGGCCGAGAACGGAGGCAGTGGGAACGCGAGGGGCCCAGGCTGCGGGCCAGGGCAGAGCTGGCCGAGGAGCGGGTGCATGTGCTGGAGAGCGAGAGCCGCCAACACCAGGAGGAGGTGGAGAGGGAGCGCCAGGAGAGGCAGGCCCTCAAGGAGGTAAGTTGAGGCTCACTGCCAGCACCTGGAAAAGGGGTTCCAGGACAGTTAATGGGGGCTGTTAATTCCATCAGCAGCCACTGAGTGCCTAGCACCCAGCTGAGGCTGGAGATAGAAAGACTAAGTCCACTGCTGCCTTCCAAAAGCCCCCCCTGATCTGGGACACCTCTGATGGGGGGGCTATACTGATGGGGGGCTGTACTGATGGGGGGGCTGTACTGGTGGAGAGATTGTAGGAGGCCCTGGAGTTGGATGCCAGCTCTCCGACCCTGGCAATGTACCTACCTCCACCCAAAGGCCTCCTTCTATAAAAAGGGGTGCTTCCTAGCTGCCTCAGTGGGTATGTTGGCAGACTCAGGGCGATAATGGACACCAGCGTTGCCTTTGAATAAGGCTTTTTATCTTTGCATTATCTTTGAGGCGTATTGTCTGTTAAGAGCAAAGTGCTGAAGGAGCTGGAGGTGGGGTACTGATGCCAGTGTGGGGACCAGGAGGTTTCAGGGAAGGCCCTGAAGAGTGATCAAGATTTCACTAAGTGGGGAAGGACATTTCAGCCAGAGGGAGCAGAACGGGCAAAGACTTGAGGTTGTTCAGGATGCTCAGTGGCCGGGGGCGGCGGTGGGGGTGGGGGTGCCGGAGAGGTGAGGTGGGCTGGCTCTGAAGGTGTTAGTGCTCCCTCTCCAGGCAGGGAAGGCACCCAAGCGTGTGGGCAGACCTGTGCAAGGGGGAATCTGAGGAGGTCACCTTGGTGCGTAGGGGCCCTGGGGCTGTGTCAGTGGTCCAGCTGGCTGGGCTGGGCTGGAGGGGAGGGAGAGCCTGAAGGCTCCTTTCCTTCATCCTCTTAAGCATGGTTATGGGCATTTCCCTGGTGCCAGGCCCGGGACGTGGGCTCGTAGTTTGGGGTGGTGACAGGATGGTGCAGGGATCTTTGGGGTCCAGGAAGCACATTGGCTCAGGTTGGGGCATGTTCTGGAAGGCTTCCTGGAGGAGGAACAAGGACAGAGCAAACCAGGAAAGTGTGTAGGGGTGGAGGGAGGGGAGGGGCATGGAGGGGGGGTGAGGTAGGGACTCATTGAGCAGCGCTCTTATCACACAGCCAGCTTCCTTCCAAGATGAGGAAGGAGTCCAGAGGAAGGAGTTGTGGCTTCTTTCATGAGGCCCCAGGAGCCTCGAAAGGCTTTAAGGGGAGCAGAATGGTCAGAACCAGGTTGTTAGGGGGCCAGAGTGGTCAAGGGCAGGTTGAAAGGCCTCAGTAGAGGACCTTTCAGGAAAGGCCAAGAGGTTGCCTGGGGTCCACCTGTCGGATGTGGCAGAAATGCTGTCAGGTGGACCTGAGCTAAGTCCCAGGTCCCCTGCTTATACGGTGTGGCTTGGTGCAAGTTAGTTAACCTCTCTGAGTCTCCGTGTCCTCACCTGTAAATCAGGAATTAGAACTACCTGACTCCCAGGCTCCTGAGGTGATGAAGGTAGAGAGCAAGGAGCCAGCGGGCTGGTGGGCAGTGAAAGTGAGGGTAGGGCAGGCTGACGGGAAGAGCGGGCTCTGGAGACCCAGAGGGTGGAAGAGGCTGAGAATAAAGAGAGGAATTTGGGGATATTTCCTGGTTGAGGGGGGCCGGCCATGGAGCAGGAGGAGGGGTCGGAGGGCGCTGGCCTGGGGCAGGGCAGGGGTAGTGGCCCCATCTGCACCACGTCTTCTTACCCTCCTTGGACTCTAGTGGCTGTGGCCAGTGGCAGCAAGGCCTCATGGGACTTGTAGGTTTTCAGGGAGAGGCAGTGGCCAAGGGTGTCCGGAAGTGCCGTGGCCCCAGTGGGGGGAGCTGGGGAGGGGAGGCCCGGTGGGGTTGCTTAGCAGGAAGATCAGAGCAAAGGCTGGGGACGTGGTCTGAGAGGCAGGACTCTGCAGGCCCTTCCCTGTGGCTTTTTCCTGCTGGGGGGGCCCCCACCCCCGCACCTCACAATGGTTTACCCTCCCTCCCACTGGGGCCCACTTCTGCAGTGGCGTGGCCCAACTGCCGCAGGCCGCCTGTGGGAGCATCCTGGCCACCCCTCCCCCACCGTGGTCAGGGCTGGCGTTCACCGAGTTCCTGTCCTCTGTCACCATCCCGCTGTGGCTGCGGGTGCTCCAGGCGCTGCCCCTCCTCTGGGCCCCGCTTGCTCCCACATGGCCCGGGCAGCCTCGTCACGTAGGGCGTGTCCAGCTCTCGCTGGGTACACGAGGAACCGCGGGCTCAGAGAGGTGAAGACATTGGCCCAGGGGCTTCCCTTACTCCCTGCAGGCTGCCAGTCCCAGCTCCTTCATACCCACTCTGCAAGGTGACCAGGCTCTGTACCCACTTTACAGACAAGGGAGCAGGGACCCCAAGGGTTAAAGAGATTGGGCCAGGATGGCAGAGCCAGGACAGAGTCAGGTCTCCTGGCTCAGGACTCCTGTGTCCGGCCCACCCCGGCCCTGGCCGAGGGTGGTCTGTGGTGGATCCTGAGCCTGCCCGCCTGCCTGCGGCCCACAGGAGCTCGAGAAGGCTGTGCAGCGGGGCCAGGAGCTGGGTGCCCGGCTGGAGCGTCTGCAGGGGGAGCTGGAGCAGGCGGCTGTGGAGCGTCAGGAATTTCTGCGGCAACAGGAGAGTCAGCATGAGAGGTGGGGGCAGTGCCCAGGGGCAGAGAAGGGGAGGCAGGGGCTTTGGGGGAGAGGTAGAGGGGTAGGTGCCAAGGCTTCTCCTGACAGGTACCAGAGCCTAGAGCAGCAGCTGGAATCTGAGTTGCGGGCAGCAGCGACCAGCAAGGAGGAGGCCCTGAGGGAGCTCAAGACTCGGGCCCTGCAGCTGGAGGAGGAGCTGTTCCAGGTGAGGCCCTGGGAGCCAGTTCCAACCATCTCTCCATCCCTGCATGGACATCTGGGGCACATGTGCTCTTGTCCCTCCGCGTCCCCTCGCCTCTTGCCCCTTGATGCTTGGCCGGTTGCTCACCTTGAGCCCCCATTCAGAGCCTGTTGAGGGAGCACTGCTGGCAGTCAGGCGGCTCTGTGCGGACACGTGGCCTTCACGAGGCCTTGTCTCCCCTCCTCAGGTGGACAGAACCTGGCCGCTCTGCTTAGCTGTGACTGCTGGGGCCCCACCCCTTCACAGTAGGCTCAGTAGTGTCATTTCTGGGCCTGGCTGTGTGCTGGCCCAGTGCCCAGTGTTGGGGGTGGGGGTATCTTATACCAGGCCACGGCCCCCCCCCGGGAGCCCGCCGTCCAGCTGGGACAGAGGCATTAGAGCAGGCGACTCTGTAACAGGTGCAGGCCCGGCGGGCACTCAGCAGATCACCTAGGGGAGGCTTTCTAGGGAAAGGGGTGTGGAATGTGCCCAGAGGAAGCATAGGGTGGGGAGTGCCTTGTGCAGAAGCAGGGGCTTGGACAGAAGGCAGGCTCTGCAGTGGCTGAGAGGAGTCAGGAGGGGGCAGGATGGGGGGTTGTGGGGTGGGATGTGTGGTGGAGGGAGGGTGGCCAGTGTTGTGCTGTTGAAGGGGTAAGCGTCCACCTGTTTAGGTCCCCCAGCTGCCCCCACCCCCTGTGTGACCTGCCAGAGTCTCCTTGCAGCTACGCCAGGGCCCCGTGGGGCTGGGCCCAGAGGAGCACCCTGAGCCGAAGGTCGCAGAGGCCCAGAGTGGGCGTCTCATTGAGGTGGAGCGCAACGTGAGTGCTGGCCATGGTGGGCACTGGGGACGGCCTGGTGGCCTGGCCACTACTGACCCTCCTCCCTTCTGGGCAGAATGCAACTCTAGTAGCCGAGAAGGCGGCTCTGCAGGGGCAGTTGCAGCACCTGGAGGGGCAGCTGGGAAGCCTGCAGGGTCGTGCCCAGGAGCTGCTGCTGCAGAGTCAGCGCGCACAGGAGCACAGCAACCGCCTGCAGGTGCCCTGCCCCTGCCCCGTCCCTGCCCTGCCTGCTCCTTCATGCCCTCTGCCCCTCTCCTGCCCCAGCTCCCGCCAGCTGCCTCTGCCTATTCCTAGTCACAGGGATCCATGCCCTCTGACCCCAGCCACCAATTCTGTACCCCTTTTCTCACCACCACTTTTGTCTGCTTGCCCCTCCCTCCTGACCCTGCCTGCTTCCCCTATTCTTTTTTTTATATATTTTTTAAGATTTATTTATTTATTTATACAAGAACTGGGGTACAGGCCAGAGGTGCAGGAGGGGGAGCGGATTCACCAGAGACAGAGTGGGGAACAGGACAGGCAGACTGACTGAAATACACTGCTGAGGTGCTCCCCCTATTCTTACCCCCCTCTACCTACTTCTGGACCCCACGTCTGTGCCCGTTTCCCCTCATCTCCAGTGCTGTCCTCTGTAGCACATAGCCCCCTACCCTGTTCCGTGCCCCGATCTCAGCTCTGTTTGTCCCATCCCTGCCTTGTGCCTCTTGCCTGGCCCTTCACGGCCTGGCCCCGGCTCTTGCCTCTGTGACACCTCTCGCCTCTCCTTGTCCATGAACCTCTGCCACTGTCAGTTCCCTGCAGAACTCTCGCTCCTTGGCATCTGCCCCACCCTCTGCCTTTAGCCCCTTAACCCTTCACCCCCTTTCTGGCCTGGGGTTTCACCCCAGCGTCTCTGCCTCCCTCCCACATCCTAGGCTGAGAAGTCCGTCCTGGAGGTGCAGGGCCAGGAGCTGCACAGGAAGCTGGGGATGCTGGAGGAGGAGGTGCAGGCAGCGCGGCGGTCCCAGGAGGAGACCCGCGGACAGCAGCAGGCCCTGCTGCGGGACCACGAGGCTCTGGCCCAGCTGCAGCGGCGGCAGGAGGCCGAGCTGGAGGGGCTGCTGGTCCGGCACCGCGATCTCAAAGCCAACATGCGGGCGCTGGAGCTGGCCCATCGGGAGCTACAGGGCCGGTGAGCCTCACCCCACACCCAGCATCTCCTCCCAGCAGCCCTGCCTGCCCTGAGTAGACAGATTTCCTTAGTGCGTCTCTCCCCACCGGGGCAGCAGCCTCACCCAGCAGACCCTCCTCTACTGCTGTGCCCCCTGGTGTGGCTGGGCTCCCTATTCCTCCGGGGTGGGGTCACCCTGGGGCTCATCTGTTGCTGGCAGGGATGAGGCCTCCAGCAAGGCATTCCACCCTGTGGCTTTGCCGGGGGCTTTGGCTTAGGAGTTGGCAGAGCCCCCGATGCAGATGATCCTGCCACCCGCTCGCCCCAGGTCCCTGCAGTGCTCTTGGCCCCTTGTCCATCCCAGGCACGAACAGCTGCAGGCGCAGAGGGCCAGCGTGGAGGCTCAAGAGATGGCCCTGCTGGCAGAGCGAGAGCGTCTGATGCGGGACGGGCATCGCCAGCAGGGCCTGGAGGAGGAGCTGCGGAGGCTGCAGAGTGAGCACGACAGGTACCAGCCTGTGCCACCCGCCCTTTGGGGCTGGGTCTCAATGATCCTAACTGTGAAGTGGGTTGGTAGTGAGTCAGCCACCCTGCCGTGGGGCCCTCCTGAGGGGACTGGGGGGGCGAGTCCCCTTGTGACTAGCTGTCCCGTGTCTGTCTCCGCAGAGCTCAGGCGCTGCTGGCGGAGGTGTCGCGGGAGCGAGGGGAGCTGCAGGGGGAGCGCGGGGAGCTGCGGAGCCGGCTGGCACGGCTGGAGCTGGAGCGGGCGCAGCTGGAGGCGCAAAGCCAGCGGCTGCGCGAGTCCAACCAGCAGCTGGACCTGAGCGCCTGCCGGCTGACCACGCAGTGTGAGGTGAGAGGGGCAGCGGCCGCTGGGGCGGCGAGACAGCGGAGGGCAGCGCCTCGAACGCGGTCGCGCCCACCATCCTGCTGTCGCCCTGACAGCTGCTGACCCAGCTGCGGAGCGCCCAGGAAGAGGAGAACCGGCAGCTGCTGGCCGAGGTGCAGGCCCTGAGCAAGGAGAACCGCGAGCTGTTGGAGCGCAGCCTGGAGAGCAGGGACAACCTGCACCGCGAGCAGCGGGAGTACCTGTGAGCGCCGAGGCCCCTGGGCTGCTCCTGGGAGAGGCCGGAGCCCGGGAAAGGGCGAGCGTGTCCGCGGGGGAGCCGGTGGCCTGGGAGCCAGTGCAGCGCGTGTCTGCTGAGCCTGGGCTTGCTCCTGCGGGGGCCTCACGCCACCTCCTCCCCCGCGCCCCAGGGACCAGCTCAACGCCCTGCGCCGTGAGAAGCAGAAGCTGGTGGAGAAGATCATGGACCAATACCGCGTGCTGGAGCCCGGGCCCCTGCCCCGGACCAAGTGAGCAGACCCCCCCGCCCCGCGCCGGGACGCTCCCAGCTCCGGCCCAGCTCAGGTCCAGGCCCAGTGAGGGTTGCCTGACCGCGGCCATCCCCCGCAGGGCCCTCTTGTCCCTCGTTCCTCCCCGGTCTTACCCCCTTTTGTGCCCTCTTGCCCCCAGGAAGGGCAGCTGGCTGGCAGACAAGGTGAAGAGGCTGATGCGGCCCCGGCGGGAGGGGGGCCTCCAAGGAGTCCCGCGCCTGGGGGCCGATGGGGCTGGCAGCACCGAGAGCCTGGGGGGCCCCCCAGAGGTGGAACTCTCCGAGGGCAGGGAGGCAGATGGGACAGGTGGGTCTGGGGGCCAGGTGACCAGGACGGTCCCTACCCCGCCCGCGCCTGCGCCGCCACTGCACTGCCCTCTCCCTTCCTCTGCGGTTTGCACACGGGTGTCCGCTGGCCTTCCTTGCTGCAACCCCCACCTCCAGATGCTTCCCGTGGCCCTTGGCCCTGCACCCCTGCTGCACCCCTCTCGGCTGGCACCTCTCTCTGGCCTGTGCTGCCACCCACCCCACCTGTCCGCTGCAGTATCTGGGAGCTTGGAGCAGTCAGGAAATTTAGTGAGCGGCCCTTGATCCCAGGCAGCAGATGAGACCAGGGCCCGGGGAGGGGAGCGCCGTGCCCAAGGTCACACAGTGGGCTAGTGTCAGAGCCAGCAGAGGCGCTGCCTCCCCTTGCCTCCTCATTCACCCAGACCCTCCCTGCCTCCGCGGCCTCCTCTGGCCCTGCCCGGCTTAGCCCTGCTGGCCCCTGTTCTGCCTGGCCTCTCCCCACACGCTCTGACACCTCCCTGCCTGTCCCTCTTGCAGGGTCCCCATCCCCGGCACCCATGCGCCGGGCCCAGAGCTCCCTCTGCCTGCGGGATGAGACTCTGGCAGGTGGGCAGCGGCGGAAACTCAGCTCGAGATTCCCTGTGGTGCGAGGTTCTGAGTCATTCAGCTCCGGTGACACCCCCAGGCAGAGATTTCGACAGCGCAGACCAGGGCCCCTGGGGACGACCAGCTCCCTCGGCGAAGGTGAGGGGCAGTGTCCCGCTCCCCGTCAGCCCCCCAATTCCTAGTGAACCTGTCTACTCTGCAAGCCCTGCCTGCCTCTGCCCTGCTCCCCATGGCCCAGTGGCTGCTCTGTGCCCCCTCCCTTACCCCCCAGGACCCTACCTGCGATGGGACAACTCTGTTGAGACCCTGGAGGAACATGAAGCAGATGCCAACCGAGAGGGTGAGTCAGGGCCTCAGAAGGAGGTGGGGTATTTGCCCTCTCCGGAGGACCTCCTCTACCCAGTCCCTCACCAGACAATGAGCCTGGACTAAGTGCCAGGCCACATGCCTGTGGGGGCTTAGCAGGGAGCACTCAGGCGCAGGGAGCACTCAGGGGCTGGGAGCACTCAGGGGCAGGGAGCACTCAGGCGCAGGAGGAGAGCAGATAGGACAGGGCGTGCACACGAGTGATAATGCTAGTCTCGTGCCCTAGAAAGAGGGTGTGAGCTGCCGGTGCGATTGAAAGTTTTCTAGCGGTCTTCTCAGGAACAGGAAAGAGGCAGGGGAAGCTCATCTTAACATTTTATCTAACAAGACACCTGCGTGATTCCCACTTCACCATGCAGTCAGTGGGAGCAAAACCGTGAATGAGAGCTATTACTTTTTCATAAATCCATGAAGTCCAGTGAGTATCTCCCCCTCAGCTCACGGCAGTTCAGACCAGCCACCCCTCGGTCCCTGTCGGGCATCTCAGCCCTGGCCTCTTAGGAGGTGATAGTGTTCTGGGGACAAGTGAGACCAGGGTGCGGAGACCAGGGGTGCTGGGTGGGCTGTGATTTTAATTAGGGTGCTTGGGAGCCCTCAGGAGGAGGTGAAGTTGGAGCAAAGGATTGGAGGTGAGAGTTGGTCACAGTAACATATGTGGGGAACAGCATTCCTGGCGAGGGAACAGCAGAGGCAAAGACCTGGTGTGGAGGATGGTCAAGGCAGCTGGCACAGCTGGAGTGAGGAGGGGAGAGCCGAGAGGAGGGCAGGGGGTGGAGGCTGGGGGTGGGGAAGGCCCTGAGGGCCGCAGGAATTCCGGGATCCCAGGGAACAGGCCTGAGCTGAGCCTTTCCCTCCAGGCCTCGAGGTGCAGGAACCGGAGAAACGTCCTCTCACCCCTTCCCTCAGCCAGTGACGTCCCGTGGCCCGGGAGCTGGGGAGCGCCGTCCTCTTCCCGCTGGAGCATCAGTGGGGGCTCCAGGCAGCCCAAGAGCTTGGGGAGCCTGGGCTTCTGGAGCCGGTCCTTGGACAAGGAGTCCTGCACCTGGTCCCAGAGATGCAGCTGGGAGGAGCCTGAGGACAGGGGCGATGGCTGGCCCACAAGAGTGGGGCCTCGCCGGGGCTCTGGCTATGCCACGAGGCCCTCGCTGAGGCGGTGGTCTCTGGAAGACCCCCCAGCGGAAGGGGGCTGGCGGGAGTGAGCGGAAGCACCTTACTGCCCTGGCCAGGACCGCTCCCTGGGGTCTGTGGCCTGGACACACCTCTGAGCGTGGCTGGACAGAGGGGGCATGAGAATAAAGCTGAATGCGGAGCCGTGAACCTGCGCTCTGTCGACTGGCCCCATTCAGGAGCTGCCCGGGACACCTGCCCAGGCCGCTGGCTTCCTCGCCGCACAGGGCAGCCGGCGGCTTTCCATGAGGAAGCAAGGGGCGAGCAGGCTTGTCTGCATGGGGGCTGTGGGGCAGGGGTTCTGGGTGCGAGCAGTGGGAGGGGCCTCAGTCTGGGCTTTTTAAAAGCCTTTGCTGAAATAGGTGAGGTGAGGGCTCTGCACTGGGGGGCAGTGAAGCCCAGAGGCCATGCCCACCCCTCCCTCGCGCCCTCTTCCACACTCTCCACCTCATCGCCTCCGCCACCTCTTTCACAGCCTGATGGGGCGTCGCAGAGTGTCTGGGCTGCCACGCAGGGTCACAGGCGCTGGGAGGGGCCCGGGGACTCTGACCAGGGCCTCTAGGGTGACGCCTGTCCAGGAAGGGGGCAATTAGACGGGGGTGCAGGACGTGAGTCAGGCACCTGGGGCCGCCCAGGAGAGGGTGGGGCTGCCCGGGGCTTGGGTGAGGCAGCCCGAACCTGGGGGTGGGCAGAGCTGGGAGGTGGCACAGCAGCCTGACTCATGGGGTTTCCACAGCCCCCCTTGGACATGACCCACCATTCTGCCCCCTCCTCTCCTCTCCTCCGGGCTGCAGCCGGAGCCAGTGGGGTGGTAGTGGACCCCTGACCGCCAACGGGGTGAAGTAGCTGAAAGCTCCCTTCCAGAGGCTGCCCCTTCTGTTGGTGGCCCGTCAGGACGAAGCTCTGGGGGACAGGTCAGACGGGGGACCTGGGCCTGCCTGGGAGAGGAGGCCATTCTCGTGTGGCTCTGACACCCCCTTTTGAGGCCTACTTTGGGCTCTGTGTGGGCAAGGGACAGAACCAGGTGAGGCGTGTGGCAATGGGCGGGTTGCCAAGGGTCCTGGGGTGAGGGTGGGGGTGTTGGGGGGGAGGGGGGCGATGGTGGCTCAGGTGCTTTTACAGACCCCCTGCCACAGGGTTGGGTGCTGGCATGGCTCCAGCGCCCCCTGTAGGTGCTCCCTGGGTAGGGGCCCCCAGAGACAAGGCTTGGTCTTCAGGGTGCCCCAGTCCCCAGGCGCTACCCTTCTCCAGCCTAGAAGGGTAGTGGCCCTGGCTGGTGGCCCTGGGTGCAGACAGGGGCCGGGCTGGGCTGGTGAGGTAGGGAACCAGTCTCTCTCTTAGCCTGCCCAGCACCAGGACCGGTGGGTCACCCCGGGCTGGCAGTAGCCGGGCGAGGTGGCTGTGAGGCTGCAGGCTGCTCACCTGTCAAGGGGCCTTACCGGTCCCCTCATTTGCCGGGTCAGGAGTGGTCAAGAAGGAGCGAGTGGATTGTGATTTTCACGAGGTCCCTCACTTTTGCTGGTGGCTAAGAATGGAACAGAGCTGCTTGGCTGGCACCCTGGAGGGAAGGGCTCTAAAGTGTGTGGGCGCCCCTCCCCAGCTTGGGGCACAGGCTGGGGAGCCTCATCACCCGGGCTTGGGCAGGCATCCTGGGGCAGGCACCTGGCCTGGGCACGGACCCCCTCCAGAGGCTCCCCCTAACCCACAGACCCCAGGCACGGCTCCCAGGGTGCTCCCAGGTCTCCAGGAGGGTCGTGCGTACCGGGTCCTCGAACACGCAGCCTTGGCGCGCGCCCCAGCGCGCGGGAGACCCGGCGCCCCGCCCGCCCGCGCCCCCGCCGCCCGGCGCTGTCACGTTCCAGCCGCCTGACTCAGGCCGCGCGGGGCGGGGAGCCGGGAGGCGGCGCCGGCGCCCGCCTCGGCCCCGGAGGCGGCACCAGGAAGCGCCCGCCCCGGCCGGAGCCGCCATGTAACCGGCGCCGCCCGGAGCCGGAGCCGAGCCGCGCGGGCCCCGCGAGCGCGCGCCATGGGGGACGAGGACGAGGACGAGGGCTGCGCGGTGGAGCTGCGGATCACCGAAGGTGGGGCGGGGGCGGCCGGGCGCGCGGGGCCGGGTCCTGGCTGCCCCGGCCGGGCCGGGAGGGGTCGGGACTGGCCGGGCTCATTGGCCCCCGATGCCCACAGCCAACCTGACCGGGCACGAGGAGAAGGTGAGCGTGGAAAACTTCGAGCTGCTCAAGGTGCTGGGCACAGGAGGTGAGGACCCCCAGCCGCCCGCAGCTGTCCCAGGACCCAGCGCGGGCCGGGCCTGGGCCAGCCAGGCCATGCCCCCCACCCCTTCCCGGCACATCCCGCCTTGCCCGCCCCGCCTTGCCCTGCCGGGGTTTGCATGCACAGTGCCAGGGCAGCTCCACTTTGATCGCGCCTCCTTGCGAGGTCCTAGGGGATTTGCCAACACCCTCGGGGGCTTGCAGCCCTCCCAAGTGATTCGCACAGCTCCTCCCCTCGGCGCCGCCCGCCCAATAGCACATCCCTCCCCGTCTGTCCAGCAGCACCTCCGCTTCCCCACCGTGGATTTGCATCCTCTCCAAACGATCTGCTCTTTGGCACGTTTGCACAAGCCCCGCCCCGACCCGTGCTGCAGACCTCCGGGAGTTGGTGCCCCCCCCACCCCGCCTGTGCTGCTTGCCTGGTGTTGCTGAGCACCCTCCCGGGCGTGCACGCCTTTCCCAGCTTGTTGCACAGTTGCCTCTCACCCCAGCTCCTTTCTCCAGTTTGCACACCTTCAGGGTGGGCATCAACCCCTCCTCTGCCACTCTGCACCCCCCTCCTGCTCACGGCCCACCCTCGCCCACTCGCTGCTCCCACAGCCTACGGGAAGGTGTTCCTGGTGCGGAAGGCGGGCGGGCACGACGCAGGGAAGCTGTATGCCATGAAGGTGCTGCGCAAGGCGGCCCTGGTGCAGCGCGCCAAGACGCAGGAGCACACGCGCACGGAGCGCTCGGTGCTGGAGCTGGTGCGCCAGGCGCCCTTCCTGGTAACGCTGCATTACGCCTTCCAGACCGATGCCAAACTGCACCTCATCCTGGGTAAGGGCCGGCGCGCGCCCACCTCGGGGGCCAGGGAAGCAGGTGAGGCTGCTCGGAGGGGCTGCTGCCTAACCTGCCCTCCACCTCTCAGACTATGTGAATGGTGGAGAGATGTTCACCCACCTGTACCAGCGCCAGCACTTCAAGGAGGCCGAGGTGCGCGTGTATGGGGGCGAGATTGTGCTGGCCCTGGAACACCTGCACAAGGTGGGTGGGGCAGGGCCCTGGGAGGCTGGAGCTGGGCCTTATCAGAGCCTCCATGCGTGGCAGCCTTGGGGCTCTCCTTGGGCTTCCAGGGGTGGTGGTGGGGGGTGGTGGTGACAGCCATGGGGACTGGAGCTGTTTCCCCGGGCCTCCTGGAAGGGAGGCGTGGGTGCTGCCTGGTGGGGTCCCCCCACCTCCCCCAAGGGGCTTTCCTCTCACAGGGAACTCTGGGCTGCCTCCTGGGCCGCATTCACAGAACTTCCTCAAATGGAGACCTCACGCCTTGGCGCCACAGGCCTCCTTGAATCGGGGCTCTTTACACAGGCTTTCCTTTCTCTGGGACCTTGGGGCCTGCTCCCCTGGGGCAGCCTGTGGGGGTCCCCCTTTCTTGCTTTTACACCTTAATGGCCCAGTTGCACCCAGGAGCCGTTCCTGGTCTGGAGATGGCCTCCTGAGCAGCCGGGTCAGAGGCATAGCTGCAGCTGGGCTGGGCAGGGAGCCTCAGTGTCCCCTTTGCTCCCGCCAGCTGGGCATCATCTACCGGGACCTGAAGCTGGAGAACGTGCTGCTCGACTCTGACGGCCACATCGTCCTCACAGACTTCGGGCTCAGCAAGGAGTTCCTCACGGAGGAGGTGCGTGATGGGCCGTGATGGGCTGTCTCCCCGTCCCGTGCCCCTCCCCCGGGTTTTCTTCTTCCGGCTCCTGCTCTGTGCCTGGCTCTTCCTCTTGCGGGGGGCTGGGAGGGGGCACAGAGGCCCTGCCTTGGGGGAGCTCCTTGCTCTAATAAGTCCAGGGAGTCCTCCGCTGAGCCTGGGGGCTGCCGGTGTCCACACGGCTCCTCTCACCCTCCCAGAAAGAGCGGACCTTCTCCTTCTGTGGCACCATCGAGTACATGGCTCCTGAAATCATCCGCAGCAAGTCGGGGCATGGCAAGGTCGGTGGTCAGGGGAGTGAGGGGTGGGTGCCGGCTGGGCTGCGGGCGCTCACCGGCTCTGCCCTGGCAGGCAGTGGACTGGTGGAGCCTGGGCATCCTGCTCTTTGAGCTGCTGACGGGGGCCTCGCCCTTCACGCTGGAGGGCGAGAGGAACACGCAGGCGGAAGTGTCCCGGTGAGCGGGGCTGGACGCGGAGGGCGGCCAGGGGCCACAGGGCCTGCCTGGGCAGGGCTGTGGGGAGGGGCTCGCTGCCCCTGACGCCCCCCCAATCCTCCCAGACGGATCCTGAAGTGCTCCCCTCCCTTCCCCCCCCGGATTGGGCCTGTGGCGCAGGATCTGCTGCAGCGGCTACTTTGTAAGGACCCCAAGAAGCGGCTGGGTGCGGGGCCCCAGGGGGCACAGGAAGTCAAGAACCACCCCTTCTTCCAGGTGAGGCTCCTGGCTCCACCCCACATCTCTCTGTACATACCCAGGCTGAGACTGACCAGTTCCACCCATTTAGAAACTGCCCAGATAAAGGAAGCAGACGTCCCATCCACCTAGCAGCAAGCTGTGTTCCTGGGGGACAGCATTCTGGGCTCATCAACTGTCAGGGCCACAGGGACTTGAGAGTGGACCCCTCATTCCTGCCACCGGACAGGTTCAGAGAAGGGTGGTGGCCTGCCCCAAAACACACAGTAAATGGTGTAGCGCTGGGAACGACCCCAGGTCCCTGTGGGTACAAATCAGAACGGCTCTTAGTGTCCACCCAGGGTTCTGCTCTTTGTCCCTGGAAGGCCTCTGTGCCTATGATTCAGATGGACGTGCGCTCAGCCATGTGGGCTGCGTGTGCTTGCTGGGAGCGCACACAGTGGACAGTGAGGTGCAGAGGGAGCTCTGGCTCTCCAGAGACCTTGCGGCCGGGTGCCCTGCAC